AGGATTTTGAAATTGCCACATTCTCCTATTAAATTAAGGGAAATATACCACACAAAATTGTTTGCAATATGGGTGCCATGCAACAAAGACAATTTCCATTAGTCTCATATAAAGGAAAAAGAAAGAGTTAAATTGTGGAATTGCAATTTTCTCACTCTAACAACTGTTATTGTTATAATCTTTCTTTGTTCAACTCATAGATTGAAATAAGTCGATAAATAAAAAACAACTCCAAATACAAACAAAAATAATAATTTTGTTTGTTATTTTATAAATAATAAAGCATAAAAAAGTACAAACAATTCCAATTATTTACCAAGATTGACGTTTCCCGTCAAATCTTTATTAATTTGATATTAGTTTTTACATTTACATAAGTACGAGAGAGAACACAATTTAATCAGAAAATATGTAGAAAAAACAATGAGAAAATATCTTGGATAATTCTATTATTTTAATTCATTATTAACTTCAAAAACCAAATTTCTATTTTTTTAGCTGAATTTCTTTTAATTTTCAGTAAAATGTATTGCAAAAATGACGTTTAAGACCAATGATTTATTTGACATTTCAATGACAGTCATGGCATACTAATAAAATCCTAATAATATAGATACTAAAACAAGAAAAAAAAACAATTTAGCTTCATCATTGTATAAGATTTAGAAGTAACAAGAACAAGCAGAAAGACGAGTCGTAAATAAAAGTAAAATATAGCTAGGCTTCGTACAATTTTCCTTGGAGATTCTTGTTTCATCAAGGCATTTTTTGCAAACTTATTACTTTCTGCGGTCTTCGGGACCAGCAATCTCGATCCGAAGGAATCAATCTTCATCGTACGGCGGAAGCTCTCGCAACAATAATATCGGAAAAAGTTTTTAATTAGAGTTTTTGCTATCATTTTGCTAACTCAACGGTCGAAACGACTACATTCGAATCTCCGGAGCGACGTTAAAGAAACGGACTCGAAACGAGCCAAGCAAAACAACGCTAATTGGAAACTGGAAAAATACGATAACATTATAGGAAGAAGGAAATTACCTACGTGTTTATTTCGTTATTCCAAGAATATAGGAACTTTTCCGTTTGTTTTTTTTTTCTTCTAAAACTATCCAAAGTCTGTTATGTGTGTACGATTAAACAACATTACCTGATACTAGCACACTCCGTAGTCTCCGTCGAGTCACATCATCAGCAACACTCCCTCCCAGGAGTTTCCTGACCTGTTATACACGACCGTGCAATCTAGTAACCTTTTGACATATACAGTGTTAGAAAATTTTTCGCGCATAATAGGGAAATCAATGTTAAATTCTTAGCCGGCTGAAATCCAATCTACCAGTGTACATTTCAATAGAACGTCGCGATCAATTCTAATAAATTTAATTGTTCTACTGGACTTCACACCGCGCTTTGGCTTGATTAGATTAAAAATCAAATAATTTCGACGGTTTCAACACTTCGACAGTATCAAAACGGGTTCGGATGGGTGAACGTCGAGTCGATTACAAAGAATTGAGAATTTTTAAACGATAATTTATTGAAAAAATATCACTAATAATAAAATAGAATTATGTAGATATGTCTTTTTGCCACAATGGCTTGAAAAAGAAAGTAAATTCTAAGAAAATAATAAAAAGAATACTCCAAAAATAAACTTAAAGATTATTTTAAAATAGAAAATAAAAGAACTCTAAAAAATAGTCCACCGCTTTCTGCTAAACAATAGCCAAACCTGTCATACAGATGTCATCTCATATTACTGAGCTGAGGTGTAATTTTAAGAAAATTGAATTATTTTTTCCTTATTTTTCCTTATTTTAACAAGATTTTGTTGCTATTTCAAAACTGTACCTACCGATACACACAATTTTTTGAAATATCCCCAAAAAACCTATTAATTGTAGTTTCTAAATAATTTTGTACCTCATACCTAACACAAATAACTTTGTACCTCTACAAATCGCGGCGTGCGGTCCAGTAGAACAATTAAATTTATTAGAATTCATCGCGACGTTCTATTGAAATGTATACTGGTAGACTGGATTTTAGCCGGCTAAGAATTTAACATTGATTTCCCTATTATGCGAAATTTAATTTCCAACAGTGTATATGTCATTGTCAATAAAGTTTCGTAACATATGTAATTAATAACAAACCACTTGATGAATGTAAGAATTGTACAAAATAAACTACCGGATTGCGCTCGAGATGTAAAAATGTAAAAAACCGATAAATTTTCGATTCTAATCATACTCTTTTGCCAAAAGTTTCTTTGTCTCGGTTCTCTATAATTATTAAACGAATTTCCCGAGTTCAGTAAATACCGAAGGAAGGGTCGCTTGACCGGGCCTAACAAACCAAAAACTAAGGGTAGAAGATTGCGTGCGGAATAAATATCGAGTACCGGACGCTTCGATGAGAAAAATCAAACCAACAACATATGAAACATATCCCAAACACTAATAAACAAACATAGGGGAAAATTCCTTTTGCAACCGATGTATCTACAGCTCGATACAAACAGCTGAAGACGCAACATGCGCGATAAGTACCCTCGTTTAATCGCTACAGTAATCTTTTTAATTCGAAGCAAAGCAAATCCTGCAAGATTTTTTTTTCGGGCGGAAAAAGCGTAAACCATTCCGAAATTCGTTTTCATTATTTCGCAGGAAAATAGCTGTTTATGTAGCGTTTTCTCGGGCCAGAAATTCAGATAAAGTTCCTCCCGTTTTACGAGGTCGCTTCGTCGTCGCTCAAAGGGGACGGTTTTTGTGTACGTAACGTGTTTTCTTTATCAGCGTTTTGGGACACCATACTGACGGAGCTGATTAATTTTACGGCACCAGGAAATGCCCTTGCTCTCTTTTAAGTAATCTCGGCGCTCTTCGAGAGCATGCTGCCCCTATTTACATGGAGAGCCCCTTCGAGAATTAACCAGGGGTGTATTCTAATTTGTTATATTACATATTACCTTCATAATAGCTTACTTTGAAATTATATTATTTTATTTTATAGTTTGATATACATATAGGGTTAAAATATGTATATTATATTATAATATTTTCGGTTTAATTCTCTATAACTCAGTAAGAAGGAATAATTTTATAACACCCTGTAGGTAAGTATACTTATTAGGAAATTTTAATCGAGTAATCAAATTAATTGGGTATAGGTAGTAAGGATTAATAAATTAGAAATGAAATTGCATTGGGGGGATTAAGTTGAATTAGAGAGGAAATCCGTTCCTGCGACCGAACGGGCTTAAGCAGGAACTTCGGAATAACGAAGTTTGTTTGCATTAAGGAATTTTTGCAAAAAGGGAAAAACGAGATAAAAGGCGGAAGCCGATTATGCCCAAGTTACTTTTTTGATTAAGATATGTCCGACGACGGGGCTGAGCAGTTAACAAAAGTACTGAACTAGCAGGAATTTATTCGAGATTTTCAATTAGCGAAATGCCGGATTTTCCATTATTCCACGATGATGTTTTTTAAACTTCTTAAACTCGAATAAAAATAAACTAAAGTCATTTTCAAATAGTGCTAAATTCTTAATTTATATAATTGACAATAGATTTTTCCTGCAAAAAAATAAACAACTTACCTTTCGACGGGAGCGCAGACGAGAAACTCGGGCGATGCGAGCAGATAGGAGAAACCCACGCGAAATTCGAATGAACTCTCTGCCGACGCGAGTCGAAGATGTCTGCACGCGGACGTCGCGACGCACGGAATACTGAAGGAGTTGCGTTGCCGGACGTTTATATAGGCGTCGAATTTGACAGTGCGCGTACTCGAATTCTTTTTTGTCGCCCCCCGTCATTTCGTTTATTACCCAAAGAATTATCTTCTCGAGTTATGTACAGTTTTACAAGGGCCAGTGGGAAACTTGTATTAGTTAAAAATTAGATAGGGGGTTTTGGGAAGTTGTGGGTGTATTCGTTGGGAAAAGTTTGCTGTATAACAAGTTTAGTAAAAGTTCGCATTGTGTTTTTAACGACAAGAAAAGAAACAAATAGGTAATCGATAATTTTGCGGAAACTGCCAAGTTGTAAAAACTGTTTAAAATGGGTTCTAATTCAAAGAAATATTTAACTTATTTCATTTTAAAATTAATGATTATACTTATTAATAATTTAATTGAACACACTTTATTTTAAAAAACAAAGTTAAAAACTGAAAATCACTTGAAGAAAGTTTATTTTGTTAATATTCCAGTTTGGGGGTCATCTAATGTATGTGAGTACTGTATTTTTAATGCTTTTTAACCCTATTTGTAACGCTAAAAATTTAATTATAGACCCTTTATTTTGATGGAACAAACTTAATAATAATCAAAAACTGTTAACAACTTATTTAAAATCAGTTCAAACAAATTTATCGTCTCGGGTTTGTGACCGATAAGTCTGCGCGCAGTCTCTCTTTTATTCAAAAAATAATATCCACAATCTTGATAATATTTTAATGTCCATTACATTTCACCGGCCGTAAAGGGGGTTAAACGGCTTAAAACTTTCAATAAATAACGCCAAATTGATCTGAGCAAATCAATAGTTTCCTATTATGTACTATCGAATGTTTGAGCACTACGAGTCACTGACCCATGTCGATGGCCCCACAAAGGTGGACAAAACACGTATCACACATGAAATAATACTTGTTTAGTTGTTGTTAGCATCATATCTCTCTATAAAATATTACTCATCCTTTTCCACTACTTATACATATTCAGAAATTGTAGAAACCTCCCAGAAAAATCATCGAAAATCAAAAAGCACCATACAAAATTTTCTTTAATACACAACAAATATCACCAATCTAACCATCATAATCGCTAAATAACTATACCAATTGTCCCCAACAACCTCCATGTGGTGTGCCTCTTTATTCCGTCCAACTAGCTCACCACAGGTAGGCATGCCAGCGAGTGCCACTCATGAAATGCATTAAATACGACACGAACTTGTCGCGCTATTGGCCGGTAACCAGTTATAAACAATTATCTCCGCAATCCCGCTTTTTGATAAGTGACTAAAAACAAACAGCGATAAAGCGTTTATAATGTGGCTTGAGATTTTCGATACATCCGAGTCGAACTAGCGAGTGTAATAATGGTGATTGAAGTGTATATTAGCCTAATTTGCGGCAATACAGAGGTACGTAAAAGAAAAAGAGATTAGAAAGTTTATACGTGTAAATATAAAAAGGATTGTGTAAAAGTATGTAACCTTGAATTGATACACCTATAATGTTTTTGGTATTCGTTGAATGTTTTAAAAATAAATCTGATAATAGGTATTGTCATTGTCATTGTAGATAGTTTGTATTATATTATTTGCGTGAAATGATTTTTTTTAGATAAAATCTCGCCAGCAAAGGATACTGTCAATATTAGACTCCAAGAGTATTAAATACAAGATAGTGGATATATCTGGAGAAAATAATGAGGAATCAAAGAGATTTATGCACGAAAATGCCACGGAAAAGGGAGGGACAATGAGCGATCCCGATCCGAAATTTCCTCTACCTCCCCAATTCTTTAATGATGGGTCTTATTGTGGGGTAAATTTTAATGTACGATTCAAACGAGCCTGTTTAATAATTATTTTTTTAGGATTACAATTCGTTTGACGAGGCGAACGAACTGGGAGAACTGAAGAAGTTCCTAAGAATAGAAGATAAAGCCTTTGTAGAAATGGAAACAGGGATGGCGAACAAAGAAATAGAAGTAGAATAAGCGATTTATCAAGAATTTTTGTACCTGTTTGTAAAATGAAATTAAAAATTATAGAAAATTTATAGTTTGATTTCATTCATACGGGAAAGTAAAAGACAATTTGTAATAGAACAGTTTTGTTAAAATATTAGAAAAATAATACAAATTCATACAAAAACAACTTAAATATAACTCTTATAGTACGTTGTTAATTAATTAATCTCAACAATTAGTACGTTAAGTACGTTATTTCATGCCTAATTTACAACAAACTAATGCAGCAAAAATAAGCATCTATTATAATGTATAAATTAATTTGTATTAATACAATATTTGAGGTAGTTATTCAGGTAGACTTCTATAAGACTATAGACTCATTATAGACTAATTTATATCTAGAAAGAATTTTTATAAACGCATAATATCAAGCACCAATTATTAAATATTCACTTGTGATTATCGTAGAATAATAAAACAAAATAAAAAACATTTTAATTACTGCATTATACATGGTGTTCCATAATGACATGATAATATTTAAGGAGGTGATTCTTGGACCCATTTTAAGAAAAAAACTTCATATGAACCTACTCGTATGTCCTAAAGGTCTTTATTTTTGAGATACAGGGTGGTAAAATTTTTAGAAAAAATATATTTTTTATAATAGCTAGGTAATACTGTTGTAGATATCTTTATGAAACTTGGCACACGTTTTCTATGAATCAAGATGCATTTTCTGATGTACAAAGAATTTTAGTATTTTCGGCAGTGTCGTCCGTACGAGTTGTGCATTGAATATTTTTGGAGAAAAAAATAGTACGCCACTGCCTAATCTTGAAATAAAAATTATTGTTATTTCCCCATTAAATTTAGACCAATTTTGATTTCTTGACTTTTTTCCGTTCGATTCACCGTTTAGCATAAAAAAAATTAAATGCATTCATTTGCACGCTATACTGCTGCATTAGCGGCTGTGCTGAAATTAGATAATAATAAATTTCAGGTTTAGGACATCATAAAGTCCATCTTAAAATGGATCCAAGAATCACCCCGATAAATATTAGCATGTCATTATGGAACACCCCTTATATTCCAAGTTTTATTACTCTAGGATAATCTCAAACGAACTACTATTCTTCCATATTCCTCAAATAAATCTCATAGTAACTTTTAACGATCACCTCGTCGCAAGCTCCCAGAATTTCAGTAATTCGATTATAAGCAGATTTTAAACTCTCGTCGTTTTCACGGCTCGTCCGCTCTAATTCCAATAATTGAATTACCAGTACGTAAGTAGCCGCCGATTGTTTGTACTTCAACATGGCGTACAACACTTCGTATTTGGACGCCTCGTCCGGCATCCTGCCCAGCAAATCGCGGAAATTCGTCTTGAAAACGTCGAAAATCAACGGGCCCAGCTCCAGTATCAGCTTCTCCAAATACTCCGCCGCGGATTTGGCATAATCCTCCGTGCCGCGGGCCACGCAGCGCCTGAGCAGGAGATTAAATACTACGTGTTCGTTGATCGAATCGGTCAGAGGGAATTGTTTGTTCCAATTTTGCATGAATGTGCTTATGAAATGCGCCTCTGGTTTATATTCGTACACGAAATCCACGAACGCCGAACAGAAGGCTCTTATAACAGATTTATTCAGCTTAGACATGAGCGAGAACAGAGTCTCCGAAGAGTCAGGTTTGAGTTTTAAGCAGAATAATATGAGTTTATCGATATTTTTCAATCGATTTTTACCTTCGATCGGCATGTATCGGTTAACTACGTTGTTAATAAACGAGTTTGAAATAGATTGTAAAATTTCCTCGTCGATGAGCTGCTCGAGTAATTTATCTAAATGTTTGTTAACTTTCATTTCTTCGTCGTTTAAATTTTCTAGTATCTTCCAGCAAGCTTCAATGTATCGAGCTCGGTACATCCTAGGAAGTTTAATTTTCACCAAAATCGAAAATACCCTTTTATCATCTCTACTAATACTTTCTAAATGCTTTAATGCCACAACGAACAATTCTTCGGAAGGATTCCTAGCGAAGTACTTCAAACCAGCAGTGCACAAGCTCCCAGTACTAGCACTAGTAGAGAGTAAGCTACAAATCGAAGCGTAATCGAGTAACTGGCAGCTCAAAAACACCCCGTGTTTCCGCAAAAGGGGCCCGTTAAGCATCCCCTCGATGTGAGGACGTAGTACGTTTTCCGGCGACCTGGAAAACAGACTGTACAAAGGCCGCAAAGCGTCCGGCAAAAAATCTTTCTCTTCGCAAATCTTCACCGCAATCGACAAGCATTTCGACGGGCAACTAGCTTTCGTTAGCAACCCGATTGCGTGCGATTTATGCTCGTTTGTGAGCGATGAGGCCGGCGGTAAAACGTACTCGTTTAAAAATTCGATGAACTCCTCGTCCGTGAGCAGGTCCTGGAGGATTTCCAGGAATATTTTCCGGTAATGAGAGATTTGCTGTAGCCAATTTTTCTTCGCGAGTGCGCACAGTTGTTTGTCGAATCCCAAATGCGAGTAGCACTTGATTGATTTCACGAAAAAGGCGCTGTTGCTCTTCGAATAGACCTTCTCGAAATGTCCCACCAGATGCCTCGGGTGGTGTTTTAACAGGAGGGTTACAATGCGCTCGATGTGCCAGTATCCCGTTACATCGATGTTTTCCTGCGACAAAAAGCGGGTTAATATTTTTTCTTGTGTGTCTGTTAACTTCGGCTTCTCTACTATCGATGTTATTATTTCTCCATAGAAAGCGTTTGGGGGCGCTGTTAGGGATATTCTATTGAGGAGTTCGACGATTTTTTCTGCGTTGAAAAACGGTAGCGAGTACTGTGGGAAATTCAAATGATACAACACGGCGTATTTGAGAATCCGCTCATCGTGGTACTTGAACGGTTGGCCTACATTTTTCTTTAAAATGTTCTCTATCGAAGATACAAAATAGGGAAATTCCAGCAAGTTTAGGCAGTGCTCGGGTTTTTGATCGCATATACTGTAAAAATCGCTCATGATGTTCATTAGATTTTCGTTGAAATATTTGTGAGTGGGTGTAATAACGGTTGGAAAAATTCTACAGAATTGTTTAAACACGTCGATCTCTAATTTAGGATCGTTTACGTACAATCTATAACTTATTCTATCAGTTGATACTCCAATTACATACTCTTTGCATTCAGCTTCAAATAAATCTCTATCATTTTTATATGCATACACGATAAGTTTCTCAGCTATTCCTTTATAATCGTACAAAGTGATTACTCCTTTGGTGCGTATTAAAACTACTTGCTGCCTTATGAAATCCCAATGGTTCTTACTCAACTGATCAGTGAATTTGTTGCAAATAGATTCAATGATTTTTCTGTAAGTATAAGGATCCTCGTTCTTGTGCCTAGATGCTATGTAGTCCATAATTTGAGAGAGCATTTCCATGTCTTTGCTTTCTGCGCAAGTGGATAGAAGAAGAGTTACTAATGCTTGGCGCTTCGCTTTATCTGAGGTTACGTTTATTTTCTCTTTCAGTATTTTTACTGCCGTAGAAATGGGGTAATATTGTAAATAAATTTCGTCGTTTTTCAGCTTGTAATTCGCCTCTGCCCAAGCTTGTATGATTTCTTTACCCGGGTTTAGTGTAACGATCGACTCATAGAATATTTCAAACAAATCGTTTGTCTCTTTATCGATGAAGTTAGCTTCGAAATGTGTGTTAAATATTCCCCATCTTATTGCTTTAGGTAGATATTTAAGTATAGTAACTGCGGTACATGCGTCTTGGATTTCTCCGAATTTTTTGGGGAAGATCTTCTCGTAAAGTTTTACGAAGTTTTTCTTCAACGCTTTAACGAGAGCTCTGGTGTTTAAAATGCCTAAGAATAGTTCAGGATTCTCATATAACTCTTCTTTCGCTGCATTTATTACTTTTATACTACCTGCCCTGGTTAGCTTCTCTACAGTTATTTTCTTAGTGCGTAACAATGCTATAAAAAGATCTGGATTTTTGTTAGCTAATAAATTTGTAATGCTTTTTTCGGCATAAGGAACCTTTCGTAAATCGTTGTAGTAATGAATATAGAATTTTAAGAGCTCCTCGCTTCTATTTAATATATGAGAGACTTGATAAGCATTGAAAACTATTTCGTTTTGCTCAAGTATGTTCTGAATTTTTGCTATACTGCAAGAATGTAGTACGTTTAACGCAATATACGTGCCGTACCTAATAAAGAAAAATAATGTAAAGATAACATAAAATAATACAATAAAGAATGAAAGATTATTAAAAATAATGTAACGTACCTTTTTTGAACACAATCGAATAAAGTATCAGCTTTAGCATCTCCCCAGTAAATAGATATGCGTCTTAATAACTTCAATCTAGTGCTGTAGGAAATTGTTGGGAAGAAATTATCCACCAAATCAGTAGCATCGACGTTATTGAACACATCTTTAATAAACCATGGCTGTCTTAAAATAATCTTCACATATTCTCGGTTTCCTGTTTTAAGAAGCTCCAGTAACGGGCCGGATTTTTTAAAGCGTATTAATGTTTCTAACCAAAATAACTCCTCTAGGTAATTTTTAGGATGAAGGTTTTGAATCTGGCTGTCTATTAATGATTGGTTACAATTTAAAGTGGTTTCTTCGAGTAATTTAAAAAAGTTTTTCTTCCTTTCGTTCGGTAAATCTCCATTAAGGTTGTGGAATTTCGTTATGAAATCGGTCATTTTGGTCCGATCTAAAATATTCAAACAGTTATAAGATAAATGAGCAATAAATAGTCGATTTATTTAATGTCACTTACTTTTTAAATTATTGTAGCTTATTTATATTTTGACAAAAAACTAACCTCACTCAATGGACAAAAATGTCTAAAAATAGAAATGATTTTTTTGGTCTAGATTTCATGACTTTTCCAGCCATTTTTCGTTTTGACGTATGACATTTGTAAAAACGAAGAATTTCCGTTGTTTAGTAAGGTTAGAATACCAAAATTACAAAAATTAAAAAAATAAATTAATTAAAAATTGCTTTAATAATAATGGACACAATAAAAGAAGATGTACCAGAAGACAAAGAATGCCCTAGTGAGCCAATCATAAAATCAATAAACAAAGACACTGTCCACAAAATTTGTTCTGGCCAGGTAAGATTTTACAACACCATTAACCACAATACATTTGATCCTTTTTAGGTGGTCTTAAGCCTTTCTATAGCAATGAAGGAGTTAGTTGAAAACGCCATCGATGCAGGTGCAACAATAATCGATATCCACCTGAAGCAACACGGTTCGGAGCTTCTTGAAGTATGTGACAACGGAAGCGGAGTCCTACCCGAAAATTTTCAAACTCTGAGTATTCTATTCCGTAAGAAACGTTTAATAATAAATGACTATTTAAATTTTAGCCCTGAAACACTATACATCTAAAATAAGGGAATTCAACGACTTGCAGAGTTTGGAAACTCTCGGGTTTCGAGGAGAAGCTCTAAGTTCCCTCTGCGCTTTATCTGATTTAATAATAACTACAAGACATCGATCGCTGGATATTGGAACTAAAATTACTTACGACCACAACGGTAAAATCACCAGCACAGTACCGATTGCCAGAGAAACGGGCACAACTGTAACGTTATCAAAATTATTTTCCAGTTTGCCAGTAAGACGAAAAGAGTTTACCAAAAACCTGAAGCGCGAGTTTAATAAAATGTGCCAGCTTCTGTACGCTTATTGCCTAGTTTCGAAAGGTATAAAGTAAGTATATTTATTATAAGAGGCGTGTAAAAGTAACTAAATTTGTAATTACTTAGGTTTACATGTTCTAATACAACAGATAAAGGTTCAAAGAACGTCATAGTTAGTACGGATGGTCAAAATACAGTGAGAGAGAATATCATAAATGTTTTTGGTCCTAAACAGATATCGGATTTAATAAACGTGGAATTGGTAACACCAGATGAACAAATTTTCGCAGAATTCGGAATTAAAATTACTTCAGAACAAACTGTTCAATTCTCATTCGAATTTCTGATATCTAGTGTTATACACGGAACCGGTCGAAGCACTACTGACCGGCAGTTTTATTTCATCAATAACAGGCCGTGCGAATTGACAAAAATAATGAAAATCGTTAACGAAGTGTACAAACAGTTTAATTCCCACCAATACCCTTTCGTTTATTTGAATGTTATTACCAAGTCTGCTCTAGTAGATGTAAATATCACGCCGGATAAAAGGCAGGTTTTCATCGAAAACGAAAAAATACTTCTAGCCACAGTTAAAGCGTCTTTGCTAGCAGCTTTCAAGCAGTTTCCTTCTACTTTTAAATTGCAAAACGCAGATGTGACTAGTTTTTCTCAGCAGGAAAGAGGATTGAAACGAAACTTTACAGATAGTTGTTTACAGAAAAGCACCAGTATGTTGCATACTTTCAGAAAAAAGTCTAAAACCACTAGCAATATACCAGAAACGAAATCTAACTTACTAAATTTTGTTGAAATCAAACAGCAAGAAGAAGTAATTGAAAATGTATCAATTTTTGATAAAATTGCTGATAAAGAGGATCTAAAGGAGTCTCAAAAACAACTAGATAATCTAATAGAATTGGCTTGTAATTTAGTAAAGGATGATAATGAAAAAATCGAATTAAATACAGATAAAATTAAAACAGAAGACTTGGAAATTAGTCTCGACCAACCGAAGGAAACTTCCAAATATCGAAAATCTGTACCTTTTAACATATCATTGGATCAAATAAAAATGTGCCAAGACAAGCAAACTTCGTTGAATGAGAGTATTAAAATCAAATTTCGGTCTGAAATAAAATCCGAACAAAATAAATCTGCCGAGGAAGAACTGCAAAGGCACATTCAAAAATCGGATTTCAACGATATGAGCATCATAGGCCAGTTTAATAAAGGATTTATCATCACGAGACTGAAAGATGATCTTTTCATAATCGACCAGCATGCCAGTGATGAAAAATACAACTTTGAAATGCTCCAATTGAACACAGTAGTCGATTCGCAAGTATTAGTAAAGTGAGTAAAAAATTACTATGGAGTATTTTATATTATATTTAATATTTGTATTTTAGTCCCAAACCTTTGGAATTAACTGCTGGAAATGAAGATTTGTTAATAGAAAAGGTCGAGGTTTTTAAAAAAGTAGGATTTTCTTTTAAAATCGATACTGACGGTTAGTATTTCAATCAATTTTGTCAATGAATTTAACGTGATTTCATCTACCATAGCTCCTTGTACGAAGAAAATATCCTTAACATCGATACCTATCAGTAGAAATTTCGTTTTCGCTAAAGATGATATCGATGAAATGCTATTAATGTTACAGGTAAATAAATAACTGCAAAATTGTATTTTTTCACTACTGGTTGTGTCTTTAAGGAATCCACTAACGGTATTTGCATTCCAAGTAAACTGAAAAAAATGTTTGCATCCAGGGCTTGCAGAAAATCCGTAATGATTGGAAGAGATCTGAGTAAAGCAGAAATGAAAAAATTGGTAGAACATATGGGAGCCATTGACCAACCATGGGTAAGTCGGTTTTACAGGGTGTTGATAGTTTTATTTCAAATATTAAGTACCATTTCCTAAAGGAGAGTTTCTATTTTTTTCCATTTTGCAGAATTGTCCCCACGGAAGACCAACTATGCGCCATTTGGTTAATTTACGTTTGTTAGAATCCAATGAATAATTTTTTTATGTTTTTAAGTTTTATGAAAAAATAGAAAATAACAGACATTCCAATTTTTTATTCATACACTTATCGTCCTAAATATATTAAAACCACTTTCAGCTGTACTTATTATAACACCTGGTAATTGCTGATGCCAGTGAAGTTCTTTAATGTCATTCTGTCCTTGGTGAATGAACAACAATTGTGGTGGTAAGCCCTAAATTAAAGCCATTATAACCCATCATATTATAAAAAAAACCATTTAATTCTTACCTCTACTTCTTCGCTACTGTTTTCCGCATCTTTTTCTACTGATAAATCCCACAGAGCAATTTGATTATCCGCTCCACCTGATGCAAATACGGGTGCATCAGTATGATGCCATTCCACGCTTACAATAGGCGCTGTATGGTGTTTAAAAATAGCCAAGGGGGTTTTATCTTTGAATTTTCTCAAGTCCCATACACGTAAAACTCCATCATCGCCACCTATACAAACAAACATGAACATTTACAATTATGCTAATCTATTCGGGGCTGCAATAATTCACTTACCACTAACAATAAAAGGTTCATTTTTATTCCAATTAATAACATTAACGTCGGATTCGTGCGCGTTATCGGCAGTTAACATGCAGGCTTTGTTGGGTGCTGCTCTCACATCCCAAATCCTTATACTTTTATCTACAGAACACGATGCCAGCACGCTTCTTTCGTTAGGTGACCACTGGATATCCTCCACTGAATCCGTATGTCCAACTAAAGGCCTTTGATCTACTGCCCAGCTGGTGAGATTATCGCCCGGTTTCCAGATATGTATATCACGCTTGCAATCTCCGGTAGCCAACGTCTAAAAATTAATTTATTATTTGTTAAAGAGATATGATAGAGTTAATTGAGGTAACTGTTTCTGCGAGTGTACACTTACACCAGAAGCTGTAGGACACCAATCCAGTGCAAAGCCTTCTTTTTGATGGCCGGTAAAAGTGTAAATAGGTTTAACTGTGTTGGATTGCTCTTTGTTGTATTTAACTAATTTTGCATCGTTATCTACAGCTTGAAGTTGGGTAGTTAAATTCCATAAGTTTACTTTTCCTAATTCGCTCCAAGATGCTGCGATTACAACCTCACCATATACAGTAGACTAAAAAAATATTGTTTACATAAAATATTTACATTAAAACGAGCTGTTTTACCCTTATCCTATTTACTGTTCCTTGATGTTTGATTAGTGCACCGGCCATTTTGGGTTTCTTTTCTTCATCTTCATCTTCCTCGTCTGAATCCTCTTCCTCATCATCATCGTTTTCCTTGCCGGTTTTATGCATGTTGGACAGTTTCATTACGATAATGTTATTCGTATGAGCTTGCGGTGACTGAGTACCCGCTACTACATAAGCTGTTAGTGGAAAAGTATCCCTGTTGTCTCCCAAATTATCCTTAATAACGTCGAAACTAAGGCAAGGACTGCTCGTGGTAGCTTGGTGGTACATAACGTAAACGGACTTATCACAGACGAGTTCTTCGCCTTCCTCTAGCTGTTTTGCGGGCAAATAAACCTCTTTCGGTGCATCACTTTTACCGTTTTCGTCGCCTTCATCCATTTCTTCGGTTTCGTTTAAGTCTTCATTTTCGCTATGGTTGGTTTCAGCAACCTCCATTTCTTCGGAAGACATCTTACGGCTTTTTGAATTGAAAAATATTCAAAAACCGAACTTATTTCAAATGCATGTGCAAAACATTTAACCTAAATTTTCTTCTTTTTCATCAAATTGATCAATGCCTGATTACTTCTAATGTCAATGTCCACGTATTTTGAAAGAAAAGAAGTAGAAAATGTTTCTATCAATAGTCTACCTTCTTCTAACAAATTATCGATGTCATATGCGTCTCTGTCACTCAAGTGATCTAGTTTTGTGATTTTTAAAATTCCATAAATAACGTAAAAACGGTGACATGTGACATTACAAGAGAATTGACGTTTGACGACTTGAATTAATTGAAGGACAGTGACAGTAAAGTGAAGGAAACAATTTACCGTACGCGTTCGTCGTATTGTATTGAAAACAGTTAATTAACGCAATTCGTAGTGAAGTTTAATTAATTGGAAAAGTCATCGCAATCTTGATGGTAAGTTTAGCCTGTAAACGACCTTAATTAGTCGCGTCGTGGCTCTTCGACGGCTCCTTCAAGTAAGTTTTTTATTTGTATTATTTCAGATTCGTACCACTTGTTGCCAGCTACAATGGAAAACAATTATTCATTTTAAGATCCCTATTAGCATGTAAGCCGCGATAATATGTAACAGCGTATACGAATATAATGTACAGGCCCCCGCAAAACAGCAACAGAGTAAAGCTAATAAGGAAGCGGTTCGAAAATGCGGAAAACAAGAGCAAGTCTCCGGAGAGGAGCGCAATCGACGTCAGGGAAAGGAGTAACTTAATCAACTCGAACGGCGAAATTGGCGAGAAAATCGGTTTGCAGCGACAGATAAGCGACCCGAGCAGGAGAAACATCAAGAGAACTCCCGCTTTTAGGGTGGAGAGGAGCGCCGATCGCCTGGGCGATCGCAACAGCTTGTATGAAATCAAAGTCAAACAGTTTAGTGCCGTTAAAAACCACTGTGATAGTAACAGCAATATTTTAAACAAAGATACGAGTGAGATTGAATCTTCATTAGATGATAACAAAGTGCCTTTAAGTAATAATTCGAACAACCGTTTGGATGTTGATTGTTTTAAAAGTAATACCGATAATACCTGCAACAATTGCCATGAGAGTACAAACGCAAATGCGAATTCAAAAACCGATTTTTCGCTGTTATACACACAACCGATACCTAAGGCTCTACGTAGGAACAATTCGAATTGCACTGAGTTCTCTTTATCGCCTACGACTTCGAGCGATAGAGCCATTTCCAGTTTTCCTAATTCACCGATCGCCGATAGCAAATTCCAAACCATCTATAACGTAAGTACAATGAAAATCGAAGATAAACTGGAGGATTTAAAACACCGGGTTTCCTTAACCGACACCTTGAAGCTGGCGTTGAGTAAACCTTTACCCAAAGGACCGGCCCCGAAAAAACCACCCAGAGCCTTTCAAATCCCCACCAAGGAAACTCCACCGCCCAAATCCGACCCGAAATACATGCTAAACAAATTAGAAGACGCCCTGCGAAAGAACAAACTGAAACTAAGGCGTCTCCCGGTTACCCCGCCCGATGACGCCGAGGACGCCAGCCTGCTGCGATCCAAGTCCAGCAGGACCCTACCGAGGCTCCCCAATCGAGACGACAAAAGCGACTACGACTCGGCCTTCAATTTCAACTGCCTGAACGGCTTCAAATTCGCCCTCACCAACTACGAGAAAATCAAGGAGCCCAATTCGTGCTTCTTCGTCGGGAATCCCGAGCGCAACAGCGCCCAAGAGGAGCCCGTCTACGCCGAACCGTTCCACTATCGCAAGGATTTCGCCGATTCTTCGGTGGTTATAAGAAGAGAGGGCTCTTCCAGGAGCAAACAAAGCGCCCGGAATAGTTTGTATTATATGGTGAGTACGGGAAATCGCGAAAGGATTGAAAAGGATTCGACAGGATTGGACAGGAGAAAGTTCAGGAAGTTGGGTTTATAGAGAATTGAGTACATAGTATGGTTTATATTTGTTAAAAATGGTGTTCGAAGCTACATAACTAAATTGCACTAATTCAGGAACCTTTAACCCATTTAGGAACATTTCTAGTCCATTCAGGAACCTTTCTAACCTCTCAGGTAACTTTCTAATCCATTCAGAAACCTCTCTAGCCCTTTAGGAACCTTTCTAGTCCACTCAGGAACCTTTCTAACTCACGGGGGAACCTTTATAACCCTTCAGGTACCATTCTGTTGGTTTTAATTTAATTAGTAATGGTTTGACTGGCATATTATTTAAAAAATGTTATTAACGTTTTGAACATTTGCTTATTGATAACAATTGGAATTATTTTTAAAGTTATTTTTAACGATCACAATTGTATATGGTTTAACAAAACTTGAATGCGTTTTTACAGTGAGAAGTAGTAAAATAAAATTGTACTTGGAAATTATTTCTAGCAATGGCTGGTATAAGTAACTATCGACAGAAAATATGTATGTAATTAAATAACGATAGTCCCTGCGATTTTGCGTTGTTCTAAGGAATTCCGAACGATATGACTAATATGTTTTAAATTTGAATATTTCTGATTCCAAAATATCATTTTCATTCCGACCTCACAAATAGAGATTTTGTTGTTATTATTGATCAAGCGAAAAATCGTAAAAAATGCAACAATAATACTCATTTATTGAATAATATAAGTAAACAGAATTATCTATTTATTACAAGAGAGTATTGAACTGCAGATAATATTTTACAATTATTGTAAAAATCTCGAGTTGTTATAATTTATATCATTTTATATGAATTTGCTTTTTTTATTTTAGAGCACACCATTACTGTCAACGGAAGAATCTCTGATTCGCAATATGACCGACTCTCCTGAAGTTCAAGTAAGTTGTAACCGCATTTTTATATTTACATTTACATGGGAAACGATTCTACAATCAGTTTACATATTATCATTGCTTTGGGTATTTTTAATCACTTTACTGTGGTCGTTTGGATTGTTTCATTGAAACGTCACAGCTACATTTTCCCATCTAAATTCCAATTCTCTACGAGATTACAGAGGTATTTATTATTGTTGAGACAATAACTTTGAATTTTTACATTTTGTGGATTTCCAATGTGAAATCACTAAATAAATAAAATCACTAACAGGTAGATAATTTTTTTCTTGTAAATTAAATTATGGTTTAACCACACAAAATGTTTGCCAAAATTCTCACTAATATGATAAAGTCTTTGAATGCAAATTCAATGTGTGCACTTACTAATATGTTTTTTTTTTTGTTTTGCGGGAATCATTCGATGCGATATTTAATACAAGTGTTATTTCTTGTTTAAATGATACAAAACTCATTACTAATGATTGTTAACTGTCGCATTGAACTGGATTATATTGGTTTTTTTATTTTGCTTTTTTTGTGTGTTTGTGTATACCTTTGTGTTTAATAATTCAATTTACTTACATTCATTGGGATTGTTTTCATACCATTCAAGTGAGTACGATTTGATTATGTAATTTTAAATGTTTACTGGATATTTAAATGTTCCTTTTGGTTTTAGAGTCTCAGGACGTGCTTGTCCCACGATAATCTAATAGTAAAGAAGAAATAATGAGAATATCGAAATATTGGGCTACAAGTGAAGAAATAATGTAAATTAAGTTGTTAATTTTGGAGATGAAACGAAAAGTTTGGATATTAATACTTCAAAAAGTTGATTTTTTAGTATAAAATTGTTCCAATTTGATAGGCAACTTCCATTACATTTAATTTCTTGTGAGATCTTCAAATGCAGAGAATATTTATAACGCACATTTTTGTATTTTCGAATATATTTTTTATGTATAAGCTTTAATGATTGTAATCTCAAATATGTATTGAAAGAGCAATAATGGGAGATCTTTATATTTTTTATTAGATTTTTTTAAATGTTTAATGACAAATATGGAGATATCCTAATTGTTAGTAAAAATAGACTGATTTTTATATTATGAAAAAATTACCAAAGCAATATAAACTATATTTTATTATTAGATTTCAATATTCTTTTCGTGCCTTAATCGTTATGTAAGTTGTAGAGATATGTATTTTATTTTTTAATAATTTTATATACAGGGTGTAACACTACAGGGTGAGCAGAGAACTTCCAATGCAATTTGTAGTTTTACTTAAAAGAAGAATTCGTGAGCTATTTTCTCGGCACACCCTGTATATCTTCAAATGCACTATTTTTAATAGAACTCTATTTTACAATGCACACAAACAACCTATGTATTATAGTTCCAATTAAAATTGTATAAAATATTTGGGAGCCACTTGGTTATTATGCAATAAATAATATTGAAATGGACTTGAAAAGCGGGACATCTTAATTAATTCCTATCATCAAACCCCTTTCTTCTCGGAAGAAAGTTCAATAGGTGAAGAAGCATAATTAGCGTTATATACTCAATTCTGGGAAATGTGCGAACGACTTGTTCGTTTGAATATAACTGTTAACGGTAAGATTAGCGCGCAAAATTTGCAATATTACAAGAGATATAAGAGAAAATTCTTCTCTATATGGGCCTCATGTATTATTGTTGCCAATAGGTACATTAGTTCGAGTTTCCCCGTACAAACTCTCCAATAAAAGCGTAGAAAACCCACCGGCGTCGATGGGAACAACTCGATGATTCATTTCGAACCAATTTGCAAAAAGGAAAAATACCACTGTGTAGGAATCCTCGTCTCACGAAGGTCAAATCAAATCGGAGAGAACAGAGAACTGGTCTTCCCCAAGCGTAAAATTATACATACATACATGATGTTCGTATTTTGTAATAGCAGTATAAATTAGTATGAGAGGTATAAATGGGTACGATTGTATGAATAAAGTAACTCAAATGCGAATTAACAGTGAGTATGAATATGATTCGAAACCGCTTCAAAGTCGCTCTAAAACCGCACAGGAGAATAAAGAAGTAGTTGAGGTTCACTGAATTAAACAAGACTTCTTATCTTCGGGTTAACCGAGTCAAATTATACTTAGAATAATCTTTATATTGTAGAATCTTTGGATGCTTTAGATTAGTCTAGGTTCTAGGCACAGGACAGTGTGTCCCAAGATGGAGTTGATAGAGGAAAAAAATAAATCATTTTCAATTTTACGAAGAAAAGTCATTCATTGGCAAATTACACATTTGATTGAATGTTTTTTTTGAAAATCATATTTAGTCTTTGGCTATGTTATAAAGAAGTTTGTATTATTACAGATAAATTATAAAAGTTAGAATTTTTATTTGAAATATTTCAACTTAATACAAAGTTACTACATTTTTGAGAAGATATAGGCCTTCAAAGTGGAGTTACAAATTTAAAAAAACAATATCTCGGTAATACGCAAACTTAAAACAACTAAATTTGGTATAGTTTATGAGTGTACTAAGAGCATCAATCGATAGTTAGAAGTGGTCAATTTATTCATGTATTTTAAATTAAAAAACCTATTTAATAACCGATTTTTCCCTCTCGTGGACTCCATCCAGGAACGCACTGTATACGTGATACCTTCGCTACTAAATCAAATTAAATATTGTTGTGCTGTCCGCCTTCGTCCATCGAAAGCAGTCCGCACGCAAACTAAGCGCATTAAAAAAGAGTTTTCGGAATTAATCAGATTCAGTATACCTTTGTGGCGAGAACATCCCGATCTGCCGTTTAGAAAGTCTAGAAATAAATGCGAACTTACGCAAAATCCGCGTTCATCGTCGATTGAAAGTTATTTTTAAACACCCGTCGATCGCCGGTCGAAAAATAATGTGCGAATAGTGAGATTAGATTTTGAAGAGGTGTCGAACAAGAACCGTTTATCGAGTGTTTTGCGATAGTTTTTTTTTTAGCAGTATGCTTTACGATGTAAGTTGCGATTAGATTTATTTCGGGCATTTTTATTATCGCAGGAAATTGTCTCTGCGATAATTATTCTTATCTCGGTTAATTTTAATTGTGAATTGTTTTTTTTTGTTGCTTTTGGCGAGGAATTAAGATAGCGAGTTGTATTCTTGTTTTAGCCAAAATATTTGGTGTTTGTTTACAAATGATTACTAAATTACTGATACATATTTAAAATGTTTATTGGATAGTTTGCAGTATATTAGTAAACTGTATGAAAAAAAATTGTGCAAGTACAGTGCATACCAATGATAGTATTCAGTTTTTGGGACACACTGTACAGATTAGCATCAGGATAAAGTTTATTCAACTGACATACTTTTTTATCAATTTAGATCTTATAAATAATCTTATAAATACTATCCCATCAATGCATCTTCCTATCGTTTTATAAAAAAAAATATTTGCTCTATAACTGCGTAATTTTTGTGCAGGCATCTGCTGAAAATTCCTCGCTGTCCTCGGGCGCTTCGGACGTGGAGGAATCCCCCGGCATCCGCACCCTGATAAAATGCTACGAATCGAAGAGCTCGCCGACGAACCGGATAGAAGACTTGAAAATCACGCTGCAGCAAACGCTCGATAGCAGCTTCGGCGCCATCGGCGTTAGAGATACGGACTCGGAAAATGAGAGCAAAGTCTCGGACATCATAAAAAAATTCGAGACCTACAGACAGACGATGCCCAAGTATTCATCGGTGAAAATCGGCAAGGAGAAGCTCTTCTACTGTTGCATGATCATAGAGAAAGTGCGCGATATGGCCAGCATCAAATTTAAATATCCCAGAAACGTGAGTAGCGGCACCTTTGTTTTACGCGCTGTTTATGTAAGTGAATATTTATGTGTTACAGGCGGACGTTCCGCAGAGTATCGAGCATCTTTGCTTTCCCGAAAGCGATAACGCTACGCTAGATATGTCGAATCAAACGCAGAATTATTCGTTGTTGATAACGAATGATAAAGGGGAACGGACGTTCGGTTATTGTAGAAGAGTCCTGCCCGAAGGGTCCACTTGCTGCTTGCCTCTGGCTTATTGCATTCTGAGCAAATATCGAGCGCCCAGGTAATCTATCAAATGCAAATAAAAAAAGTAGTTATTTATTCATCCGATTGGAGAAGTCATTAAATGTTTTGTATTTATATCAAGGTTCTACAAGAAGATACTGATTGAGCTGGAATCGAGACACGGCCTTCCGAACAAATACCGCGACGAGCTGATCAGCCAATTTTACAACCAGAAGTTCCCCAAGCCCGGCGATTCCATTAGAATCAACCTTACTAATATCGAACCCAGTGTTTACAATAAGACTGACATTGAAACTAGTATTAAGGAAAAATTCGAAGAATCCACCGAACTAATATCCTACGTGCAAGTAAATCGAACAGGAGAATTTTTAGGTACTACTGCGAGAGCGAGTAGCGAGATACACGAGCTAATTTGTAATTATCTGTTGCAGGTGTCAACAAAAACGGAGCGCACGTTGAACACATTTTCATCAACGAACAGGACATTAGGAAGAGCTGCTCCACGCCCAGTTACATAGTACAAACCAAAGAAAAAAACGAGCTGGTGTTGACCCTGCACCCGGACACCAGATTCGAGGACTCCGATCTCAAGCAACTGCACGAGCTCCCCGCCGATGTGTTACTGAAGATTTTTTCTTCGCTGTTATTGGAAAGGAAAGTCGTACTCATCAGTTCTATGATAAGGTAATTGAGCGACTGTCCGAAGGAATCCTCTGGCGGAAGAATCCTGAATGTATATAGCAGTGCGTAACATATATTTCTATTTTCAGTAAGCTTTCTTCTTGTATCGATTCTCTTCAAAGTATACTCTACCCGTTCACATGGCACCACACTTGCATACCGATCCTCCCGGAGTCTTTGTGGGATATCGTGGAGAGCCCGACTCCTGTGATATGCGGAGTTATGTCGACGCGAGTACTAGACGAGTATGTTATTGAAAACGTAAGTACTACAATTAGCTATAATAATCTAAAAGGTACTAATTTCATTTAACTCTGTAGGGGATTGTAATCGATTTGGACAGCAGGACTGTTCGAAAGGAAGAAGGCGATGAAAATAAAATCCTGGCGAGTAGCATGCAGAAGGTTTGGAAGAGAAGCCTGGCGTTGGCGAGTAAAGCCGCGAGTTCGATGGAATACGTCCAGTCGGTTTATCTTAGTGATGCCTACTTGCAGGTGTTCATTCTTTGCTTCAAAGACTACAAGAAGTACTTTAGGGATGGTGTTTTTCTGAAAGAGGAATTTCTGAAGAACGCCAAAACGAAAGGGATGAGGCGATTTCTGAAGTTGTTTACTGAAACCTACATGTTCCTGGCGTTTGTCGATACGGTTACTGGTACTCCGGAAAATCTGGAGGAGTTTGACAAGAAAATAGAGATGTACGGATCAGAGGAGTCTAATATCATTTTAGATAAATTACTTGAATGGAATCGGTAAATGCCATTTTGTTACTGATAGTATTATTATTTGTTAAGTGTAAAGCCATTTTGATACTGTGTACTCGTACTGTACTAATGTAATAAATATTTTTTTATTATGTTGTGTAAATTTCATTTATCTCACTTATTTGCCAATGGTAATAAATGCAATATTAGCAATTATACTGTAATAATAGCTTCCCGACAAAATACTCGATTTTTTAAAACAGAACTATGTGCAATAGAACACAGATTGATACATACATGCATAAAATGCAGCCACCTAAAAATATTCATTTATAGGATGTTCAAAAATTAAATTATTGTAATTATCATAATTCTCAGGTGAATATTCTCTGCAATATTATTTCTACTTACCAAAAACCACAAAAACGAAAGCACTATTTATTTTGGAATACTTTTTAGTTATCCTACATTTGTTACTATCCCGGTCAGCTGTTGTTGTCAAATGTCTTACCTTTATGAAATAAAGAAAACCAATGAAAAAGCATTGTTGATTGTTTTAAAATTTCACTAAAATTCGAATAACAAACCAATTTTTGAGAAAAATTGTAGTTTACGGTTCACAATCTGCAAAACATAACGTTAATGAAGTAATCAAATAAATATAGATAGTAAGAAAAGACAATAAAGGTGTTAAAATAAGGAAATTAATAGGTTTTTTACAGAATATTTTTACAAAAATATTACACGAAAAGGTTTTGATTAATGCATAAGTCCCAGCGTAAAGACCGCTCGATCTACAAATTTTACCACATTATGACTGTCGTCTGTCGTAAATACATAGCAAAATTTGCAATGTATTTCTGTAAAACATTTTCTAACATTTTTGTATCGACATTACGAATAAACGGTAGGCTAACAAAGAAATGCACGTTTTGCAAACATACGAATTTAATATAGTACATAGAGATAGGTAGTTTTTACAATCATGGTATTTTTATCGTATGAATTTAACGGCCCACCCTAAATAAGGGAAATTGTATCAGTGTAATGGATTCTGGAAGTATGAGAGTGGCTGGCAATTTTTGTCATCCCACATTCATATATCAACAAATTAATGAATTAATGACATTTATGCAAGAAGTCATAAGAAATAAAACAAATTTGTCAACTGTGAATAATAAACAAATACGAAGTATTTAAAAAATGTTAGAAAAGTGTAGTATGGTACTTATAATGGTATGTAAAATGTAACCTGTACGACAGTGTAATAATAATTTCAACGAAAAAGTGAAAAATGATAAAAAAATAAAGAGGATAAAACTTAAGGAAAAATCAAATTCAGAATTATTATTTATTTTCTTTTATATAATCCTTAACACTAAGTAATCTAATCGATTTATGTTCAGTAATAAATTAGAGGAGGGATGTTTGAATAAGTTATTGCACTGGCGTGGGCGTCAGGATTGTCATTTGTGCCAGCACCGCACCCCACACTTCGTGGAATGTTGTAACATACGAAAAACAGACGATAGGTATATAAATTATAAATATATATATTATATAAAAAACAAACGGAGGTCTAAACCCTTTTTAGGGGAGACCGCCATCACAATAGCTACCGATGCGACACTAAAATGTTTCGGTAAAAATTTTCTAATTTTTACAAGGAGTTTGACTATTTTAAAAGTCACATATTATATTCAATATTGTAATTGTACAAAATAAAAAACAATTTAATAATAACAGTTGCGTAGCTATGCCAAAGTCTACCATTCACTAGGTAACAATCCGTTAATTTAAACACAGCCTCGCAAAGCCATAAAATACTTTTAAGGTATCTTCATTTTTTTTCACTCAATTATAGTTCACTAAAAATTAAATATGTATAATATGATACAGTTGTCTATCAAACATATTTACAATTTTATATATTCATATATATATTCATTATTACATAATACACTTTTTTCACAATCTACAGTATTTACAAATATAGATATATAGATAATATATATATATAAATATATTTTTATCACTTTTTATTAGTCTGATAATCGTCTCGAAAGAAGTACATTGCACCACTAGAGTTGCTCCACGAATTTGCTCAACTGATCCTGCGGAGTCATGGTCGGCACTTCATTGTTCGAGTCTTGATTGGGCGTCGATGCCGGCGAAACGTGCGGATGTAAGGCGTTCGAATGGTTCTGGCCGAGGAGCATTTCCGAAGCGGCGAGATCGTGCGGTGACGGTTGCGGTCCCCGAGGACTCGCTACCGCTTGATTTCGAGGACTCGGCGCAGTCCGAGACGACGGACTCGGTTGGGGGCTTCTAAAACAACTTAATTTACTATAATAGCACGACCAACGCGATATCTACAATGGAACATACATACATACACACCACACCACAATACTTGTTTCATTATAAATTGTACTACTAAAAGCTCTACAGGGTGTCCCGTGACTCGATGAACGTAGCTTAGGAGTACTTTAGATGCTACTTATATCAACCAACAGTGTCGAATAATGAAATAGTATAATACTTCTTACTTAATAGTTTTTATTGGCAACTCAAATTTAACTAAAGTTCCCACTACTTTGCAACAATTTCTTGCTCTTCTAACTGTTAGAATTAGAATATACTCAAATTTTCAAGTCCCCAAAGGTAATAACAGAGGTGTTAGTTCAACAATTTAGGAGGACAGGGAACAGGACCTCCTCTTCCAATTGACCAGTTAATAAACCCATCGAGTCAAGGGACACCCTGTATAAAGTATTCGCCAACACGAAAATCTTGATCCAAGTGCAAATTTTTGATACTTTCATTATTATATACCAATTTTAGCACAATAGTACTAAGCAAAAGTAATAAAATTAATCAAATACATAGTAATATGCTATCCTTGGATAGGATTTATACAAGCTAATGAATGCGAATACTTACATCTAAAGAACTATTAGTTATTGTAGAAAGAAATAAATATTTACCTTATTGGTGGCGGGCTTCGCACGCTTTGCATGAGCTGCTGTTGCTGCACGGATATACCTTGTCCCTGAGGTGGTCCCATCACGCCCTGCGGCGATTGCACAGGAGGCGGCGTCGGTTTCAATCCCTGCATTTGCGGATACTGCTGATCGCCAAACGAATTGTTGTACCCGATGTGCGGCTGTCTGATGCCCGGCAACCGTTGCTGGTAAGTAGGACAGGCGCCCGGCTGTTGGAAACCGGGTTGTTGTTGTTGCTGCTGTTGCTGTTGTTGCACCTGCTGCTGCTGCTGCTGCGCTTGTTGCTGTTGCACCTGCTGCTGCCGTTGCATCACCAGCATTTGGTGTTTGTACCATTGGTGTTGCTGGTTTATCGCCTGGCCGGGCCCGGGGACTTGGTTGAGGCCCTGCGCCGCCGCCTGATTGATCAATCCCCCTTGTATTTGCATCCGATTCTGATGTTGCGGATTCGAATTGGCCTGTTGATTAAGCATGTGTTGCAGTTGTTGTTGAGGAGGGGTTCCACCGCCTGCCTGTTGAATTTGTTGCGCCTGCTAGAATGTTAAACAGAAAAAAAAACGTTAAAAAATTTATGTTTATTGTAAAATGAGTAAGATAAGCGGGAGGTTTTTACCTTAATAAACAAATATTTAAGGAGGAGGGAACTGGATCGTATGGGATTTATTTAAAATGTTCATAACCATCTCGAGTTTTTTTATTTTTTTTAGGTATCATTCTGAAACATTAAAACGTATTTAATGGATATGTGTATAGGAATAATAATTACCTAGGAATTCAATGAAAAAAAGATCTTCAAATTCTCATTAGAAAAGGATTCGATCGGGACGCTCAATACTCAATACCTCTCCATACATACCTGTCTCTGTTTGATGAAGGCGGCCATGAGTTGCGGATTGGATTTGAGTATCGTTAAAATTTGCTGTTGTTGTTCGGGTGAATGAGGCGAACGCAACGTCGCCATCAGCTGTTGCAGCGCCTGCTTCTGCATGTTACCCTGAGCGTTGATCGGCGCCGCGCCGGGCCTGACGTTCGCTTGGGCCTGTTGCATCGGCGCCTGGCCCATTTGACCGGGCTGCATAACCGGCGGTACTTGTTGACGTATACCGCCCGGCGCCACGCCACTGGGATACCTCTGTTGCCACTGCTCCATCGGAAGAAGATTACCGCCGCCTAAAGGAACCACGAAGAATAGTTATATAAAATGCGTATTAGGAAATTGTAATGAATACTCACTTTGACCGGCTCCGAGATGACTCATACTTCTAATTTGCGGCGGCGGCATATTCTGGCCGGGAACTTGTCCGGGATTAACTTTCCCGTAACCGACGTGAGGGGCTTGTTGTCGAGCCGCCTCCTCCTGCACCTGTTTTACTACTTGAAGTACGTTCGCCGGAGGTGTTTGAGCGCCGGGTTTCAAACCAATACCGGGTTGATGGGGCGATTGCATGCCCATCGATGGATTAGGCAGTCCTAAATCGCAAAACGAATCAATCAGCAACAAATTCACGATACGATTTCGATAACAAAAACTCACCGGGATTAATCGAATTGGCGGGACTGACGGCGCCGGGTACGACCGATTGCACGCCGCTACCGCCCATTCCCATGCCCCCGCCGCCCGGTATGGGACTCGCCACCGGTTGGGTACCTCTCGACATGACGGCCATCCGCCTGCGCAACAGCTGCGCCTGCTGCAACCGCTGTTGCAGCTGTTGCTGCTTGAGCTTGTGCTTGATGTTTGAACAGAACGGCACGGGACACTTGTTCTCCGGACAGTGCTTGGCGTGGTAGCAACAGAGCGCGATGAGCTGCTTGCAAATCGGACAGCCGCCGTTCGTCTTCCGTTTGCACACCTTCGTGTGATTGGTGACGCGCTTCATCTTCTGGCAGCTGGGCAGGCGACAGTTCGCGTCTCGGCATTGACAGGCGTGTACCAACGAATGAATGCAACGCTAGAGAAACCATTCAACCATTAGATTAAACACAAACAGAGTAGATAAAATAATAGGTAAAAAAGACTAATAGAAATAGATCGAGGCCAGGCAAACTGTAATAAAATGCACACCTGTATAGATAGCTTCCTGGCATCACCGGGATTGGCTTTGGTGTCTGGTGAACTGCCATCGTCGATGTCCAAACCGAGTTTCTCCATTTTGTGGGGATGACCTTCCTTTTCGTAGCATTTGATGCACAAGTCAAAGTCTTCGCACAAGGTGCAATGGTAACGAGTTTCGACGTGCGCCTTGCAGCTGTTGCACGTGTACACGAACTTGTCCTGGCCCTGGTTGTGTAGCTCGTACAACATGGACATCGTGCTGTATTTCGCCCTTCGAAGCGACGAGAATTCGTAATGTTTTTCGCGGGCCAGCGTCAGAAACGCGTCTCGTCCGTCCATTAAATCACAGTTTATGCAAGGATCGGGATCCTGAATTGGCTGTAAGATGAAATTAATATTAAATAATATAAAAATAAAACAAATCGAATGCGTTACCTTTAAGCTAGCAGCGGACTGTACAGAATGCAACCTAATAACAAAGAATACTTCTTTATGTTTTTCCATTGTAGCAAATATTTTGGCGGATAGATCGTTGCCAGTTTGTGGAGTATTCGATTTTTTGCTGCTGTTTTTCCTTTGATTTGCTTTCGATTTTGTACTCTTTTTCGCTTTCTTTTGACCCTTCTTCTTGCCGTCTGGACCTACTTCGCTTTCTTCCATCGACGAGAATATCTATAGAGAACGGATTATTTAAACAACTAGATTTACACGAATTTTAATTTTAAAGTACAATGTGTTGTGAAAGCAATACTTTCAATGTGATACGACCATAATGTTTTACTTACCGCAGCCTCGGCAGCTTCGGCTTGCTTCCGTTTTTCCTCTTCTTCTTGATCTAATTCTTTTATGCTTTCTTCTAAAACGTTTGGCCAAAAATCGCCTTCGAAATACGGAAGATCAGCGGCCGATCTTAAATTATCTTCCATAGCTTGTTTGAGGATATCCTACAGGAATTATAAAAAAAATTAGTACAGGTATTACTAAAAAGTTTAAAATTTTACCTTATAATCTAATACTCTCCTCTCAATAATCCCCTTATCTAACATCTTTTTATACCAGTCTTGCAGTCTCTTGGGTTTTGGTATCTTTTGGTCTGGAGGATGACAATGAAAGATGTAATCATCGCCTTCCGAAGGAGGACAGGCCCATATATGCGCCATCGTATAACCTAATTGTTTCACATAGTCCATATAACCTAATAAAATCTCATGATACACAGCAGTCCTATATTGTCTAGGTTTAAAAAAATGAACAGAGTCTAAGTACGCAATGTAGACGCGACGCGTGTTGGGCGGTGGACATTCCGAACCGTACTCCTGCACGTGCATGCCGAAAAAACACACGTCGACGCCGTCGATTTCCTCGAAGGCGAACAACGCCTTCGCCCGATAGGGAAACTCGCCGCCCAATTCACCCGTTTCGACGAATTTATTACGCATGCCCGGCTTCACTTCCACCACTTTATCCGAACTGGACACGACGCGAATGGACACCTCGCCGGCGCCCGCCTCCTTCTTCTTCAGAAACATGTTTACCCTGTTCTCGATGTACGTGCCCAAATTCGTGTGCGGCAGTCGCTTCGCCGTGAATTTGTTGTCCCGCCGCTTTTGCCCTTTGAGTTTGAAACATTCGTCGCAGGTGAAACCCTGCGGCCAAATCGCCTCGATGTGTAGTACGCAGATTTGATGGAGTTTTCGACCGCAATCGGTGCAATTGACGAACGCCTCCATTTCCAGGTGATCGTTCTTCATTTCTTTGAACTGATCTTTCTTTATTGCTCTGAAAGCACATAAAAAAACATATTATAAATAACTCGTTCATAATCTTAAATCAAAACTACATCTTTTAAATTTAAATTTTACTTACGTTTGAGCTTGAGTAGGATCGTCGCCCAACGTGACCGTGTCTCCTTGAATATCATTAAAGCATTTCTGGCAAAACGTATACCTATCAGATGTTAATCCGTAGGCCTTTAAACTACTGTTCTGATAACTATAGTACTTGGCGTCTCTCGGTATAGTACAAAGTTGTTTACCGAAACAACACAAAACTTGCGGATTGAACGTGTATTTCCTTCCGCAACAATATCCCATTGACTGCATGACCGGGTCGATTTCTTGTTCAAACACTTCCGATAACTGTAAATTAGAAATTCAATTAGGATATTGGATATAAAGTTTTAAGCGGGCGGACGTACCTTCGTACAATATCTGTACACCCTGCTCGTTTTTCTATTGTACAACCAAGCGTTATCGAACATCAACCAAACATCGTCAACGTATTCCCATGGGTCCGCGTATTGTCCAATGTCGAGTTTTCGTTTTATCGTCGAGAGATCCATCGGTCTCTTGACAATGTCAAAATAGTCCGGTATTCCCAGTGTTTGTGGATCCACAGGTTGCCTAAACGGTATACTCTCCGGATCCTGTCTGAATAATTTTTCTAAAGTAGGCATTAATTTTTGGCGTAGCTCGTCAGGTTTGAATACTAAAAAAATCAATGGTTTAGTCTCAATCATCTTTCATAGGGATAAATCGATCACTTACTTTTCTGTTTTTTATCACCCGCAATGGCAGTAGCGTTGGCAGTGTCGGTAATCGCAGGTTTAATGTCATTAGAATTATCCGAACCGTTCGGTTCTCCATCTTTCATCAACCCGTCTTCTTCTTTAATCGACATATTATCATCTAGAGGCTCCGATTTTATCTCCTGCTTGATCTCCATCTTCATTTCGCTCTTTATGTTCTTCCCGCCGTGGTTGTTCTCCATGTGATTCTCGTTCATCTCCGAATCCTCCTGTTTGATATCAGTTTCCATTTTCATCTGATCCAATTTACCCTTGCAACCCCCAGCGGGCGAAGACGGCGAATCCTCGTCCCGTTCCGAAGCCGCCGTAATGGCGGCCATTTGAGACGAAAGCGAACTTTGCCTGGGAGCATTCAAAGCCGCCCGTTCTGCGCTGTTCATACCTTTACCTAAAAAAAAAACAATAAAAAATGATTGCGAAAGTCTAGGGATTTACTGTCGCGGATTTATGACATAATGAAAGATTAGACTTACCCATACTGACGGCCATAGCGGACGGCGAAGCTTGCACAGGAGTGGCAGGAGCCGGTGATGCACCTCTGGAAGAACTGACCGATTTCGGACCGACGCTGGTAGCCATGGGAGTGGAAACCGATTCCGAAGAAGCGGTAGGTATTCGAGTGCAAATATTTTGAACGACGTTCTGTTGATTGGCCTGCGACATGTTCGTCTGCTGCTGGGCGAAGCTGGATGGCGACGGGGGAATTCGGTTGTGCTTCAGCATATCGTTAAATTGGTTCGATTGCGAATTCTGACCGGCCGGCGACACTTGCGGCAAACTGACGGGGCCGTTGCTCGTCGTCGGGAATGGATTGGACGACGCGTTGGTGGTGCTGCCTTGCGATAGGGGATTACCGAACGGCGATAGACCGGGATTGGACGTCGTCGGACTGGGTCCCGGCAAACCGACGACGTTCGGTTGTTGTTGTTGAGTTTGCTGGCTGTTTTGTTGTACAGGGAACATGAGTCTGGTGCTGTTCGGATTCATGACTCCCAGACCGCCGATCGGCGGTACGCCGAGGGCGGGCGAGCCGCTTCGGAGTTGTTGCGATTGATTAGGTTGTTGCTGTTGCGTAGGTTGTTGTTGCGGTGGTTGTTGGCAGGCTAAAACGTTTACGGGTACGCCGGGAGGTCGCGGTACCATTCCTATGAAGAGATGTTATTATTTAAAAAATGCAACTTGGCGAATTATTATATTGTTGTAGAAAATTGGTGAATGGTTGTGTCAAATTTTCTTTCGGTGATTTCCAAAAATATATCTTGGACAGAATGACGCTCATGTATGAAGCCATTCTTCCTAACTTTTTTTTATGGAACAAAACACTAGTAAATAATATAATATTCTGATAAAATATCGGCATCAGGCCAATCAAATAGTGCTGATTTGCAGCCTATTACAATATAATATACACTAATAAAAAAATGTCAATTTACGAGTACTTGTGAATATGTGAATAGATAATTTATTAATACACAAACACTTACCCTGCATATTTGGTCTAATCGGCGGCTGAGAATGTGCCAATTGCAATTGAAGCTCCTTCCTTTTCAGTCTTTTCTCTTCCAATTCCTTTTGAATCTTATAGATTTTCTCGGCCAACAGATGATAGTATTCGGATCTCGAATTCGCCATTTCGTACATATCCCCTTCGACTTTCCTCGCGTACGCCACCAAATTGTGCATCCGCTTATCCAACAGGGCCTGAGGATCCGGCGTGGGAAATATCGCCTGCACCAGCTTATGAACCAGATGATTTCTGAGATCGGGAGTGACCGATTGATGCCACTCTTTGGTTCCGGTGACGGGCGACGCGGTCACTTGGCCGGGCCCCAAAGCAGCCGGCAACGGATTCATCAAACCCTGATTGGCCGACTCCGTCAAGCCGAACATGACGTTGTTGACGCTTTGTTGGACGCTCGTCGCCGTCTGGCTCAAACCGGCAGGGACTTGGGCCGAATTGGATGGATCGCTGCTCAACGGGAGCGAAACGTTGGGCACCGCCGGTCCCGGGGGCGCCAGCACGCGCACGTTGCCTTGCATGTTTCCGCCGCCTATATTGCCGGGTATGGCGTTGCCGCTGTTCAATGGTAACCTTATGCCGGGTCTCGGCGGCCCGCAATTTGTCATTATACCGGTGGGGCTCGGTCCGCCCGAAGCCGTCGTCGGTATTTGGATTCCGAGAGCGTCGTACGCGCGACGCATGTCGTTCGCCGACGGATTCGGAGATTGATTGTTTTGAGGGGCATTCGTGGCAGCTAAAAATACAGTACAATCTTTACATGTACATAAATGATATCGTTTTAAGTGAACATGTAAGTTTGAGTTAGTTAGGTAAGTTTTCTAAACACTAAATGAATAAAATATAAAAGCTACTTTAATAAAACTACTCTCCTAGCAGAACTAATTTAAGTATATCATTAAGTTTTATATTTTGATTGATTAAGAACATTTTAAGTGAAATTATCAGTTTAATAGGTATAATTTTATGTCGATGGGTTGATAATAAATTCTAGGAAGAGTTTTGAATTGTGATGTATGCTTTCATGCTTGAATTTATGTAATGCTGGGTAAACTAAAATTCTACATTGTTTAAAATAATTACCATTAGGATTGTTTCTGTTTTTATCGGCTTGCTTTAGGGGCAAACAAACTGGACAGTCGGATCTCACGCAATTCTTCCAATGGCTGATAATCTGTCTGGAGGAACTGCAATGGGCGACCGAACAACTTTTCCCAGCGTTACAGGTCGTCATGTGGTTCAAGACGTTCTTCATCGTTTTACAGTGCGGCAGGTTACAAGACCAAGCCTCGCCGTTGGTTTGCGACTCGCGCCTTTGGCATTTGTGGGCGTGCAATAGCAGAACCAACTGTTGTTGTATTAGCTTCCTTTTCTCCGGATCTTTAAACAGAAAACGAATAAAATTAATATCTTTTTCCAAACAATTATTCAAACAGTTTAATCTACGGTAGTATGAAAAAAGGCTCCGACCTTTACCTGTGGATGGGGCCGGCTGACCACCCGATGGTCCGCTGGGATTTTGCGTGGCTTGCTGGGGTCCGGGTTGCGTCCCGCTCGGCGCTCCGGACTGCGGTTGAGCCGGCGAGGGGGCAGGTGGTTGTGTTTGAACTATTCCGCCGTCGCCGCCGCAACCGGGCGGCACTATTCCCTGACCGGGCACGTTTTGAGTCGCTCCAAATCGAGGGCATTGATTTTGAAGGTTAAGTTTTTGTTGAGGTGTCACAACGCCTAAGATACATTATAATCAAATCTCTGCTCGGTATAAAAATGATAGCAATCGCACGATTAAAACGCAGATAAAACAAACAAGCAAATAAAATTAAAACATTCTTACCATACTCACCTACAGGAACACCTTGGCCTGTTTGATTCGGATTATTTGTGTATCCCAAATACTGGGGATTCCCGGTCATGCCTTGAGGTCCCAAATGAGGCGGACCGACCGTCTGAGGTCGAGGACCGCCGATGTGAAGGGTCGGAGCTCTCTGATTCAAATGCATGCTCACTCTATTCATCATCGGCCCGTTTGGTATGCCTTGAGCAACGTTATGATTGCCGGGATGTTGAGGATGGCCCGCAGCAAACGAATTCGCCAAGGGCTTATTTACGGTGCTGCTCACAACCAAACCGCCACCAGCCATTCCGCCCATTGTACTCATATTGCTGCTGGTCATTATCATGTTACCACCGCTATTATTCATTCCTGCAAAGATAATTTTTTGCTTAAGAATATTACCGGCATAACAACAAGTACGAGTATTGAACGAAATCGTACCTTGTACTGAACTCATAACTTGCGTTGAGCTACCATTATTAGCCATAGACTGTAGTCCGGAGTTACTGGATATGCTAGAAGGTAAATTACCGAGGCTCATCTCCACCACGCCGCCCTTCGCTACAGAAACATTCGGGGGCGATTGGAGATTGGGGCTTTTGTTACCCAAGGCGTTGCCGGCTAAAGCTAGCGAATTCGCTGCCAAACCTTTATTGGTCTGCAACAAAATATAACGTTAATAATCCTATTTACAAAACGTCCCGAAAGTTTAAACATCAAAGAACATTCTACTAATAGACAAAATAAACATAATCTATTTAGTAGTCTATTTTAATTCTATTCTCTTAACTCTAGTAGTAAATAAATCAGACAAGATATTGAACTTTATAATCTTGCTTTTTTGTAGTAATTCAATCAATTTATGTACCTGTTGCAAAAGGTGATTGAGCTGCATCTGTCTAAGATTATTACTCTCTGTTGGATCGATGCCGTTTTGCAACCCCGGACCCGGACCTTGAGCAGGAGGTTTGGAATTCGTCATATTATCTGTTATGCCCCATGGTGACGACGACATCAACTCGTCCGGAAGATCATTCTCCAAATCCAACATATCCATGTTTGATAGACCATCTAAAACAAAGAGTTTACATATACTTACTGAGCGGGAATCTAGTATATTAGTGATGGATATAACTGGACATTGAGTAAAACTGGAGATTGAGTAAAACATTTGTTGAGTAGCAATAAAAATTTGAGTGGAAATATTAAATTCAGAAGGTAAGAAATAAATGGAAAAATTAAAGTAAATGTTAAGAAAATGAGATAAATGTAAAGAAAACTTGAGTGGAAATTGTTATTTAATCTTCTAGTAGTAATGGAGGGAAAATAAAATGAAAAAATGTAGGGCAAAATTGTAAAAACTAAAGAGAATTGTTAATCAGAAAGATTATGAGATTGTACAAAAAAACTTGAATTATATCACTTTAGTTATTATTGTTAAAAGCAAGCTGCATAATGTAGAAAAATGATATGAAAGCTTTGTTTGAAAAAAATTGAAATTTAATGAAAACATTCACCTCAATTTCAGTTCATTGAAGAAGAGACTCTTTAAAATGTCTGAGAAAGAAACCCGCGAGTTTTAGGTTAAGCTATCTATTTTTTCGGCAATTTCTTTCTATTTTGCAGGTAAAACGGGCGAATAAAATAGAATTTGTTAATTGTAAATTGTAATTGTCAAAGTAAGAAAGAAACGCCTCTCCCGCTTTCGTCCGTAAGTAAACATGCTGTTGTATATAAATAAACAGAAATCGAGTAGTGAAATTTGTAAAAAGGAAGATAGTCGAAAAACTCACCGGATGAGTCCGATGGTCCCTGAAAAGGGTCCAATTTCTGCCTTTTGGCATTGGGAGGCCCATCTACAAGGTGATCGGCCATGGCAAAATCGGTACACTCTGCTGTTTACCAAGCCAAAACCGAGCACTGGCCCAATGCAACGGCTGACCAAACTACCACCACTGTTATCCACTATTTATTGCACCGCAACTAAGAAATACATGTTTTATGGCTGAAATTATGAAAGAAACATAGCCAAACAGTCGATGTACCGAGTGTTCGAGGGTCGATGCATCTCACAAGGCACATATTTATCGAATAAAAGTCAACCATCAGCCATTATGAGTATCGACTAATGCGAGTGGTCGACTATATTTCGCGACTGCCTTTCTCCATCTACCATCGGAACTGCACAATGATCTCTAATTTAATCGAGCAAGTTTTTCACTATTTCACACACCGACAGGGACCGTCACCGAAATTAAAACACTATTATATTATCTAACACTGATTTTACAAAAACATACCCTTATAATATACATAAGACAGTAGAAGAGAAGAAAATCATCTGAATTTCTACGCGACTTCAAACAGGCAAAATGGCGGCTGTTGAAACTTTTTCTACGCTTGTCAGAAATTCTCTTGTCTATTAAAACCTGTTTATACGGCGATTGGTCCGAATGGGTCACATGGTCGGTTCCCCGAATTTCATTGGCTTCGCGGCTCCGGAAGAAATGTCGTGACGCAGCGTCCGTCGTCATTTGTGACGTCACTTACGAATACACGGAGAAAGCCGATCGCCGATCAGAAGAACCTTGACGAAGTTCATATTACCATTGTTGCCGCTTTTATTTTTATTTCACACAATATAACTATATTCTTTGCAACACTATTAACAGTACTCACTAATGCGTACCAGCTAAACTAATAAAAAAATTGAATATTAGGTGTTATACCAACAAAGATTTATAGTGTATATGCCACTAAACTAGGCATAAATTGTATTTTTTATTAATTTGGAATCAAAATCACCACAATTCTTTAGTTCTTTGATTTTTTATTAACATTTTTTGACAGAAGAGTTTATAAAAAAATGAGAATGTGTTGTACTCAATACCTAAATACTAGGAATACTAACTATTAGGATTATTAAAAATCACAAACCAATTAATTTATTTTAAGGAAATAGAGTTTTTTGTTACCAACATACCCATCAAAAATTCCCGCGTCTTTTTATCAATGCATTTATGCATGCACTCTTCATGGATAGAAGCAAAGTTAGCAAAGAAGTATTTGTATTTGACATTGGCAACGTGGCAGTCGAAAACAAGAGATTTGAGAATCCAGAAAGGAATAATGAATGTAAAATTTACAAAATGGTGTATAAACAAACCGAAAATTATTGTAGGATTTTTATTGCAACACCTTTTCAATAATTCAGATAATAATGAATTTTTGAGTGGCTTTAAAAATATAACAGGTTTAAAATTCCCACATAAAAACCGTCCATTGTACAATAGAAGAATAAAATGACGAAATGTAGGACTTTGGGAACAAAAATCTTTAGTCAGTAAGCCTTTATTTATAGCGGTTCACTTGCAAACACGTTTATTTTACCTATTAGTTTAACGTTTTAAAATAATTCAACCATTTATTATTACCTATAAATTTATTTTAGTCATTTAAAAAATCGTCTAACCACTGTTCTAAGTCTGCATTTTTTTCTGTACTATTACTATTATCTACGTCTTTTTTACTTTCTTTTGCTGTAAATTCTTCAGAACTAGACAAGACAAGCTCTTCCAATTCCTTGTTTATGGGACTTATTTCTTGTGCGTGTAAATTAATGGTTTTGTTGAATTTCTCCATATTTTCTTCTGCTTCTCGATTCATATACTCTATCTGGCTATCCTAGAAATAGAGTTGCTAGTCATTTACTTACTTACAATTAAATACTTACTAGAAAATAGGCTTTGTTAATATCCACTCTTTCGTAGTACGGTACCGTCATTAATTTCTTTTCGAGCTCTTCAAGGTTCACAGTGAACAGTTCATTCAACGAAAACGATTCTGTTTCTTTAGCCAGTAGTTTGTCGCTCTTGCTTTGAAAGTATTTCCCTTTCGATATAGGGGCATCTGCGAATGTAGCAAAATCTTCGATACCAATACCCAAGTCTTCGCCAGTTTCTTCTTCGTTCTCGTATCTGTCCCAATTGGATCCCAAATTAGGCTGCAGTTGCTTCTGTGGGACGAATTTGGGATTTTTCTTCGTGTTGCCTTTGTATTTACTTTTATCTTTTATGTGTTTTATTCCTCTGAAAATTGTAGGTAGTGAGAGTAGAGAATTTTGTAATAATTTTATACTTACCTAGATTTATCCTTTTCCATCGTATATTTGAGATATTAGTGAATTAAATTTTACAACAAAATCAGGTTATTATACACAAAATGATATAAACAAATATTTGCTACCAAGTAGTTGGAATTGAATAATGTAACAGGCCATTCACTGCTAATAATCCGAATAACCAAAGACTCACAAAGAACGAGTGAATAGGAATTGTACTGAATAACTCGAAATATTTAGACCAAATGCTAACGGAGACTGTTATATAAGTTCCAACTTTTAAATGTAGATGTCGATACAGTAGAATTTTTTAAATATTTCGCGGGTATGCAAAGTATTTTTGGAAATAAATAATACAATTCAAGAATAACGATCAAATAGTTCATCAAATTTAAAGCAAATAGTACCACAAAATCACACTGAGTATAATTCTCGAATTAAAAACAAAAAAAAACATATTTTATCCAACAGTTCATGCAAGTACCACAACAGCCTTTCGATTATTTCTTCTATTTGGTTGACAAATTCACTTTTGTCTTTAAACAGGCTCTTCTTTATTTCCAGTTAATTTCATTCGCGCCTTTTTATTTCTACATTTTTTGCGTTTCTTTGCACCTAAAAAAAGTATATCAGTTATGCATGAGAAGGATTTGGATGATTAAACTTACTTTTCCGCTTGGTGATTCCCTTTTTATAAGGTTTAAATTCAGGCATTGTTATTCTTCTTTTAGTACTTCTACTATTTTCTTTAACTGATTTTGCTATGGAACAATATACGGGCGGTAGAGTTTTATCCATTTCGCCCATAATTTGAGACAGAACATCACAGCTCGAATTCGACTCACTCAAAGTACTGGATCTTGTTCTTCTTGATGCTAATCTCTTATCGTTGCTTCCTTCTTGCTGTGTTCCGGGTTCCTGCGATTCAGTAGTTGGTTCGATACGAACGGATTCTTCTCGTAATTCCCCATCTCCGGGAACATCTTCAACTCTATTCAATTCGGTTTCCTTATTACTAAGTGAGGTTTGTTTATCTAAAAAACTATCATCACAGCCGGTACTAATACTAGGGGGTTGCAACTGGAACATTCTTCGTTTTGCTCTCATTTGCCGTATTATTTGCGATTTTAATTTACTGATGGTTTTTGGTTTACGCTTTTTGAATTTGCTTGCACTAGAATTTGATGGTTCTATGTTGTCTTCTGCTTGATTCTTTTTAGGCGAACTCGTCTTTTTTCTAGCTGGAGATTGATCCAAGTTTATGCATTTAACAGTGGAAGTGTCCCTTGAGAATTTTTGTTTGGGATCTCTTTTGATTTCAGATACCCATTTGTTTTGCTTAGTATCATATCCAAGTAAGTTTTCTTCCAATATTTCGTCACTGCTTGATTGAAGTGATTCATTCTTGTTATAATTATCCACCAAACTTTCATTCATACTACCTTCTTCGACGTTTGTTGTTATGTCATTAGTATTCTTACTAGAATCGAAAATATTAGAATGTAGCAGATCAATTTGTTCTTCTAAAACAGTTTCATTGGTTAACATATCATTTATGTAACTGTTATCAGATTGAAATGTAATAGATGAATCTAATAAATTGTCTTTCTTATTGTTAGATTCAACAATTTTTAATTTGTTATCACAGCCCAATATTTTTGAATCCTTTTTAGCTCTATTTTGCTTTATGCTACTTGGTATGATATCTACTGCCAAAATATTAATGTTTGGATTTTTGTTGAATTTTTTGACATCCTGGCTGGTATTTTCATGGAAATGATCTTCGGTACACTCTGTAGAATTCACTGAAGAAGGACTAAACGGGTGGTTCAAAATAAATTCGTTGTGTTGTGACAATGTTTCAGTAACAGAACTGGCTTGACTCAACTGATTTGGACACGTTGGTGAAGAAATAATCGAAGAAACATCGGAATCAGTCCAAAATTTGTTTCCCAACATAGCGGAATCTCTTATTTTCTTCATTAATAGAGCATTCGCTGCAATCACGTCTTTGTTGGTTTCGAATTGTGAAGCATATGGGGAATTACTCCTGGTGCTTCTGTTCAATTTTTCGAATACTAAATCAGTTATTTTATCCAAAACGTTGTTTTTTATTGTCTCTCGGTTCGACTCGTTCGGTACAGTTGATAATTTACCTCCTATTCTATCACAATTTGTTTGTTCAATATGGAGTTTACTGTTACTGTCGCAAATACTAAAGTTAATTTTGGATTTCTGCAAAACCTTTAGTGCTTCTAATAAAGTATCCCGACGTTTGGGTTTGAGTATTCTTCTCTTTAATTGTTTCTTTTTGATAACGGTCTTTTGAATAGGAGGTAAGGGCAAGCTTTCATTAATATCACATGCATCGTCCCTTTGAATATTAACATCAAATGTATCTTCTGTTTGAATAGTAACATCACATGTAATATTAACATCACATGTATCTTCTGTTTGAATATTAACATCACATGTATCTTCCCTTTGATTATTAACATCACATGTATCTTCCCTTTGATTATTAACATCACATGCATCTTCCCTTTGCAAATTAACATCACATGTATTGTCTCTTTGAATATTAATATTACATGTATCCCTTTGAATATTAACATCACACGTATCTTCTGTTTGAATATTAACATCACATGCATCTTGCTGTTGAATATTAACAGCACATGTATCTTCCCTTTGAATATTAACTTCACATGTATCTTCCCTTTGAATATTAGCATCACATGTATTGTCTCTTTGAATATTAATATTACATGTATCCCTTTGAATATTAACATCACATGTATCTTCTATTTGAATTGACTTATCTGCAACAGGTTCCTTGTTATTCAGTACAATTTTTGGTGAATCTGTTCTGAAAGGCGTCAAAAGAGGTGGATGATTAAGCATTTCTCGAAGTATATTTTTTACTTTCTCATCGAGATCCAAATCAGGATTCGGATGGATTGTGTCATCTGTTTGTGTAGAAATAGAAATTGTTGATTTTAATCGAGCAATTGCTTTTTGTTTGTTTATAACGTTTTGTAACTCTTCATTGGTTTGCTTGAGATTTTTCATGTGGTTATTACAATCGAATACATTCATTCTTAGTGTTTTTATTTCGTTATCTTTATTCCGACAGGATTGTTCGGCAATTTTTATTTGATTTCGCAACTAAAAAATAAAAGAATAATTAGTATTACTAGTATAAATCTATTAAAAATTAATTTACCTTTGGTATTTCATGTAAAAATTCTTCTTTTTCAGCCCTTAAAGTACTAACTAACTCGTTTAAATCGTTTAACTGAACTTTCAATTGTGTAATTTCTTTCGTATACGCATTTTTCTTCTGTTTCGTATTCATTTTACAGTCCATTAATTCGTCTTCAGAGTTTTTAGCGATATTCTTATCTAGGTTTTGATTGATTTTCTTTGGGGATGGGCTTTTCGAAGCTTCCGTAAGTTCTTTAAGCATCCTTAACTCGTCCTCCAAGTCTCTTGTGTGACTCTGCGAATCTGTTAAAGTCTGATTGTATTTTTGCTCTAAATTGGATAATTGTGCGGTCATATCTTGATGCTTGATTTCCAATTCATCGTAGCTTTTTTGCAACGTCTCCAGCGTAAATTTTTGATGGTTGTTTTCTAATACTAATCGTTCTCTGTCTTGTGAGAGCAAATTTGTTGTTTTAACGAGGCTTTTTAATTTGTTGCATTTCTTCAGGTACTCTTGGAAAAGTTGGCTAAAAATTGATAATGTGTTAAAAGAGGAAAGACAGTTGATTGTTGTATACTTACTCAATTTGTATTATTTTTCGTTTAACACAATCGAAATCTTCCTGCATTGTTTCAACAACGAAATACCGGTAGAAAAATAAATTGCAAGTTAATCCAATTAAACAAAATACTTGGATTAATCAGATGTTAGAGCAATGGTTTTCGAACATAATATATAACATTTTCATGAGTTAAAATTGTTTCATTTAATATTTTAGCTTAGTTTATTTTATAACCTCAAAAAAAAACACGTTAAACGTTTTCTATTCGTTTGAGATTAGAGGTGAGGTGGACGAAAAGTAACTGGTATGACTGTTATATAATAGAGTTCCAGTTATTATAATTTTTTTAGGAAATGGACTACAGCAATTTACAATAAAAAGTAGGCGATTATTGTTTATTGAAATTAACAGTTTTTACTTCTGAATGAATAGGGCATTTAAGAAGTTGTTACTGATAATATTTTTGAGTGGTTTAATAGTCCTACGAGCAAAGACCAGCTGTGAAGTTTGAAGTGATTTTTATTATTATATCCTGGAATTTTTACAAATATTTTGCAAGAGGTAATAGATATAAATATAACTGTTGCTTTAATTCAATAATTATAATTGTTTTTATTTTATCGACGATAAGCAAATCAAATAATTTTGCGTGAACTTGACCTACTATTCGCTAGATGGCGTTGATAGCCAAATTGGTAATAATTATTTTTTGATTTAAATTAAATAATACTGGTTTAAGATGTTATTAATTGTATTGTATTGATTCGGTATCAAATAAAAATGCGTTTAATAGTGTTTATCGTGCGAATAACAGTGGATTTAATAAATTTATAAATATAGATTTTTAAATCAAGTAGACGCTGTCAGTATCGCAGCTGGCAACACTGGTTCTACTTAGTTGAAAGTTGCCATATTGTTGCGTTTAGGGGTGTGCTACACCATCAAAATACATTTATTCAATTGATTGGAGTTTATCAGTGGTAAATTTGCGGAAAATAAAGCGAAACGCATTAGTTTTTGTGCGCGTTAAATGAATGTGTACGATTCCGGTCTCCGAAACGAGATAAACCAACACACGTGGAGTGGAAAACAGTAATAAAGGTGAATGATCCAAATACCTACATGTGGGCATAAAAACAGTGGATCCGGACGATCGGTGTGCTCATCAGTGAAATACAAGCCAGTTATTCTTTTAACCTAAATTCGATCTCGATTTATCAACGTGCTATGCACGCACATTTATTATTGTTTTGCTCAGTAGTGCTTCCGAGTTTTTTTCTTGTGTACAGTGAAGTGCCGTGAGTGTCGTGTCGTCGTCAATCGAGAGCGATCAGTCCATTCTTCGCGACAGGGGGAGTGAAGTGAACATTTTCGGATTTCTATTCAATCGGGTCGGGTTTTTCGATTCGCCATTCGAATTCCCCGAATATGTTTTTGTATCATGCGGCCTAATCAGTGCACCCCAATCGTCTTGCGAAATCTCCTCGACGGCCTACAGAATCCCGTAATCGAAGTATGCCGTGCTCGTCGGATTGACTGGTTGTTGTTCTTCCGTCTTTGTCTGTCTCGAAACGGAAGTGGCCGTGTCTGTGAAAGCATAATATCGGCTGGCCTTGGAAAGCGGGAGGTTAGTGGCCTTAAGCACGCGGGATTGTTTACCCAGTGACAGCATGGGAGTTGGTGGTGCCGCTGCTGCTGCAACTGCTGCCGGTGCTGGTGGTGGACGTTAAACGGTGGATGCGGATCGTTCGAGTTATATGCTAACCCCGGCTGGACCGTTCGATCAGCCGCGGGTCGACGCCGTAATAATAGGAATATAACGTACACCTACAATATCTCTATAAAGGGGGAGACACCTTTTTTTCCAAAGCTCTTCGACTTCGTCGTTAGCGGTCCATGGCGTGGCACAAGAACGAGCACGTAATGCTAATGGATAAAAATAAACCGAAAAGTAGGTACTTTTTTTATTCTTCTCTCATTTTCGGCTCTCTCCTTTACTTACGTTTTATTTTTAGATTATGTAGGTATATAACGTGCGAAAAAATTCGTGTTCCAGAAATTGGAGGAGAATGCACGGCACGATTTTTCAAAAAAAAATACTGCATTTATTTTCACCTACTCTTATTTATTTTTATCCTCGATTTCTCTTGAAATTCGATACCTTTTCGCTTTTGTTGACAATTTTGACATCTTCTCATTAAACGCTTTTTTTAGGCCTCGGTTGACAGGACTATTCAGTTTTTTTGCCTATTTTTACAAACTTTAGAAATGACGATTATTTCCAATCATACGCTTGAAAATTCAAAATAACAATTCGATAAATCCGTATCTTGAAAAATTCCGCGCTCGCATTCCGCGCAAATAAACGCAAATACCCAAATATGTTTTTTTTCTATTATAATAGAAGATTACGTTTTGATTCTTTTGTTGTCGAAAACAAAGCGAGAAAATTTCGTCGCCGAGCAAATATCGTCAAAACAATAGCGCGACATCGACCATATTCTACTTACGCAAGTGGCCCGTCTGCTTATCAAACGTGCTGGCGCAAATGTGACGCACAGTTGATGTATTTTCTATTAATTCGCATTGATAGAGAAAAATGAAAAAGTGCCCCACATCGATTTACATACATTAATACACACACATACACACCAAATAGTCAATATTTGTATTCGAATGTAAATAAATTGATAATGCATTTATTAATAGCCCATTTAAAACACAGTCCAGAAAATTAACATTCAGTATTTATTTACGCCCAATTATCCGATTTATTTATTGTTTTGCTCGTGTCATTTTTTACATCTGGATGTCAATTTTATCAATTTTATAAATACCACAATTAGAAAAAAAATCGCGGTTCGGTCTAATCATTCGAAAAAAAACAAAAACAACGGAACAAAAGAAAAGCGATCTTAAATGTTCGATTTTTTCGGCCACCTCATGAAAGATATGTTCAATTTTTCAGTGCCGGTCGCGCCCGGAGGAGGCGGAGGCGGCGACATGTCGCTGACCCAACGAAGACACGTCCCTCTCTACGGCCGATTGGTGGCCGAAGACACCCTCGGATTACCTCACATGACTAATTCCTCTTCGACGGACATCCAGGCCATGCAGGCCAGGATACCGCCCACGTTCAGGGACTCCTCGCTGGCCCCGCTCAGGAAGCTCAGCGTCGATCTAATCAAGACTTACAAGCATATTAACGAGGTGAGCCATGGTAAAACGCTAATAAAACCCGATTCTTAATGCTTTATGTTCCTCGAAGGTGTATTACGCGAAGAAGAAACGACGGGCAGCCCAGATTCAAGGCGAAGATACCTCTCACAAGAAAGAGCGGAAGATCTACAATGACGGTTACGATGACGACAACCACGACTACATAGTTAAAAATGGTGAAAAGTTCCTGGAGAGATACGAAATCGACTCCTTAATCGGCAAGGGTTCGTTCGGTCAAGTGGTGAAGGCGTTTGATCACGTCGAACAATGTCACGTGGCCATAAAAATTATAAAAAATAAAAAACCTTTTCTTAACCAGGCTCAAATCGAAGTTAAATTATTAGAAATGATGAATCGAGCCGACGTCGAGAATAAATATTACATAGGTATTATGCCTCAACTACCCATCAAACTGCTCATATTAATGCAATTTTTCCTTTTTATTCCAGTTAAATTAAAAAGACATTTCATGTGGAGGAACCATTTGTGTCTAGTATTCGAATTGCTATCCTATAATTTGTACGATTTACTTCGAAACACTAATTTCCGCGGTGTGTCATTGAATCTCACGAGAAAATTCGCGCAGCAACTTTGTACAGCCTTACTCTTTTTGTCGACGCCCGAACTGAACATTATCCACTGCGATCTTAAACCCGAAAATATACTGCTATGCAATCCGAAAAGGTCGGCTATTAAAATCGTCGACTTTGGGAGCTCTTGCCAATTGGGGCAAAGGGTAAGTCGAGCTTCTGGCTGATAACAGAGATGGCCGACAGTTATGCACCGGTACAAATAATTGCTATGAGGAAATGGTTGCATTGGGTTCAATGAATTAGGTTTTTTATGACCTCCCAATATCCTTTTGTTAAGTTATTATTACATAAGAATACTGAAATAAATTATTCTATCTGGTGCATAAATGATCGTGCACATTACAATATAATTTTTGTACAATAATGATGGATTTAACTGTCGTTTCAGATATACCAGTACATTCAGTCGAGGTTCTACAGATCGCCCGAAGTACTTTTAGGAATACCGTACGACTTAGCTATAGATATGTGGTCGTTGGGATGCATTTTGGTGGAGATGCATACGGGCGAGCCCCTCTTTAGCGGTGCCAACGAAATCGATCAAATGAACAAGATCGTCGAGGTGCTGGGCATGCCGCCGAAGCATCTCTTGGATCAAGCGAATAAAACGAGGAAATTTTTCGAAAAACTACCAGGAGAGAGAAGGTAACGGAACCGATACATCTACAGTTTGTGATAACAAATAGGGTGTTTTCTATTAATCAACACAATTTTGTCGCAGGATTTTACAACAAAGTTGTTAGATATTTTTTTATGATTAAAGGCCTCGACTTTGCGAGTTATACAGCCCTTTAAGTTCGTCTTTAAAAATCGCTTAGTTATAATAGTGTTATTGGTTGTTGCAGGTACATACTGAAGAAGAGCAAAGACGGCAAGAAATACAAAATTCCAGGTACCAGAAGACTTCACGATATCCTAGGCGTAGAGACTGGCGGGCCGGGCGGTCGACGGGCGGGCGAAGTCGGCCACTCCATGTCCGATTACCTAAAATTCAAAGACCTAATACTCCGCATGCTGGAGTACGATCCGAAATCGAGAATCACCCCCTATTACGCTTTGCAGCACAATTTCTTCAAGCGTACGTCGGACGAGAGCACAAACACGGCGAACAGCACGAGTTCCAGCCCCGCTGTGGCTTCCATCGATATGTCATTGGCGAATTCCGGTAGTCAACACGGTAAGTTATTTTATTGCGATATGTAATTTTTACCTACCTCGTTATCATCATATAAATATTAGTTGTTTTTAAATGATTGTTACATATTAGGTGTAAAATATACCACTTGATATATTGCGAGGAAATAGCGATAATAATAAGTTTTAGGATGGAATATTATTGGACTTTGCTTAATACATATTACATTGGAAACTAAAAATATTGACTTAATAATAATAATTTCACTAAACATCGGAAAAGTATATTACATAGTTTATTCAGGAAAAATTTAATTACTTATTGCATTGGTGGACATATTCCATCTATAATTCACTTTGTATTTGGTCTAGACTAGATTATATGATGGAAAAAATATCACGAAAGTAACTTAATAACAAAACTTATTAACCTAAAACTTGTTTACTTTTCTCTTATTTCAAGCTACTACATCAAATATAAATCATTCCATTCGAATTTATCTTTTCATCGAAAGCAATCCTGTCGTTTTTTTTATTTAATTTGTTAATACATATCTATTCCGATATCCCTTTACAAGTCAATTTTAATTATAATTTTTTTTATTCTTACCTCATTGATTCTTTTTGGAAATGTTTCCTGTTGTGCTAAAAAAAAAAGAGTAAGCAGTAGAGATCTTGCAGGCCAACGTAATGGACCTCCTCTTCAATTCGATTCGCTAGGAAATTCATCGTCAAGATAATTTCAAAGTTTGTTTTTTGTAAATCGATAGAGGTTGATGTCTACACGTTGGACCCCGCTTTATTAAACAAATAGTAAGAGGTAAGTTTTAGGTTTATTATTGCCAGTCGAGCATCATGTATTACACTATGTAGCTCTTTTAAACAGCTCTCATTTAAATGTTTTGATTTTGGATTGGTTTTCGTACGTTCGCTTTTGTTTTTATGCACACATTTTAATAGGAATTTATTTTACACCTTGGGTTAGGTTCGATTTATTATTTTTCTTGTTATATTTGTCGCTTTTTATTGCTTATGCTGCCTATGTTTCTAGTATACACACGTTGATTAGTGTGGAAATGGAAAATAGTGTTTCAGATGCAATAACATTTAATTCTGAGACAACACACGGTGATCCACGATGAGTACTTATTACTTGAGTAGTGTTTTATAATAAATACTTTAGGATATTTCACTATAAAGTTTAAGTACATCGATTGCTTCTATTCCTACAAATTGTCTTAAAGAAAACAAATATTTTTCTAGATAGGAAGAGTTTAAGTCTGTCGTGGGTCACCCTGTATATTTACCGTTGTAAAAATTTTTATTCTAAATATTTCAACTATTTTTAGGTCGTCAGCGTTGATTGTTACTTGCATTTGAAACGGATATAAGATATTTTTTTTGTTTTGTTCAAGTAAGTCTCCGATCGCACTATAACTGGACGATTCTAACGGAAGCGCCGTTTCCTTTTTGTTCCAGGTTTAAACTTAGGAGGTCGATTAAAAGAAATATCGGAAAAAAACTACCTGTCTTCGGCGTACCCTTCATCGATGGAATGCGATCCGTCGGCGTCGGCGTCGCGACGCTTTCACCCGCAACGTTTTCAGTCTTCGGTGTTGAATCACGGCCCCGCGTCCCTACAGTACGTGCCCTATCCGACGAATAGAATGGAAAGCACGCCCCCTAAGCACCCTCACTCACAGTCCCAGAACGGGCCCCAAAACAGCAAATCCGACGATCAGGAGGACAGTCCGATGGTTTGTGTTCAACAGAGCCCGGTGGTTATCCACTGAGGGCTCGGCGCCCTTGCATTTGATCGAAAAGAACTCGGCCGAAAAATAAAAATAAAAACGCTAATACGAACTCTAAGGTGACTGCTTGGAGAAAATCATTTTTAACAGTGATTCATTATTGTGATTATACGCAAAACGATTTGACTCGAGTGAAAGGTTTCCAATTAGGCAATATACGTGTTAAGTGTTGTTAATGTCGATTTATTATGAAAACGAATCGAATATTTTCGATTAATAAATTGAAAATGATAATAAACTGTTCGCTGGTGAAAATGGCAGAAAGTGGCAGAATTCGAGCTTGGAGGTGCTTGTTTCGTTGGCATTACGCAAACCCTGTATTATACAAAAGATTTTATTACGTCATTTAAGTCAGTGAAATGAAGAGTAATTTATGAGGATTATTCAAATATATTGATAATAATTATAGTTTTTACCTTCATTTTTTTCCTTTTCCACTATTATCCTTAAAACTAAAAGTACAGTTATCAAGTATGCTTAGTGCATAATTCGAAGTGTGGCTAAGTTAAAATTCTAATTATTTCTAAATTGCTTTTTTTAAATTTAAAGTTTTTTCTTTCATGATTTTCTAGTTTACTTTGAACCAAATTTAGTAAAACTTTATCATATGATCTTCAAGTGTACTACTTGGATAGTACAAAATGTAATATACAAGGTGTTCCATAATGACATGCTAATATTTAAGGGACCCATTTTAAGAAAAAAACATGAACATATGTCTTAAACCTAAAATTTATTATTTTTTAATGCGAAACGAGTCGGAAAAGTCAAAATAAAATTCTAAATTGAATGAGGATTCCGAAAATAATTTTTATTTCAATAGTAGACAGTGGCGTACCATTTTTTCTCCAAAAATATTCAATGCAAAGCCTGTACAGACGCCACTGCTAAAAATAATAAAATTATTCGCACATTAGAAAATGCATCTTGATTCATAGACGTATACAAAATTTCATAAAGATATCTACAATAGTTATTTCCAAAAAAATTTCTTAAGATTTTTTTCTTAAAATTTTAACATCCTGTATCTCAAAAGTTAAGACGTTTAGGACATATGAATTTTTTTCCTTAAAGTAGGCCCAGGAACCAGGAATCACGCCACGAGCACCTTCTATAAGTTAGCAAAGCACTCTTGAGGAATTTTTAGTAATATTGCAAACAAAGTAGTAATGCGTAAATTATTTAAAAATACGCATCAAATCGATAACAATTAATTAACGAAAAAGGAGTGGTTCCTTTACAAATAGTAAAAAATGGACCAAGCAGTGATTTAATTTTTACATCAACCTCTTGTGAGACCCTTTTTATTGTTTCGAACTTGATTTACTATCCATAGAAATCGAATAATTAGCGCAATAAAATCGTTTTACCGCGACTATTTAATAGAAATTTCATTACTAAATTGTTTTCGGCCCGTTGAGTAACATTCCATCCATAACTGCTTGTTTTCAAAATCGTAAAAAAATGAAATTACCGTTTTCAAAACTTCAACATTTTTCACATGAGCCACTCGACCGGTGTTCATGACTCAATCCAGTGCGTCGCACGATAATGTACAAGCTATGAAATTTGTCTTGCTGTTGTTTCGTCTAGTGTTCTTGTATTTTCCGAGTTACCCCTACGCCAGTGCCCTACGGTCAGCGCCGAGAGCAGAAGAACAATGTAAGCAAACCCATTTACCGGCTACGCAGTAGCAATAACGTTCCGGATTTTCAGACAAAATGATACACGAAGGCATCTCAGCCAGGGATTGCAACATGGTCAAACCGAAATCCAACCATTGCGAACTGAGACAGATCATTCCCATTTTAGAAAAAGACTACTACGGCCTCGAATATTACAAACTAAAGTGCAACGCCATAAATCTCGGAGGTAAGCACCTTCACGAAGCTAGCACAATCGCTTCGAAACTACCCTATTACATTCGTATTCGAAGCGATTCTGCGAGTTTCAGACAGCCGATCGTCTTCCTAAAATCAATTTTTAATCGAAGGCAACACCATCGCCGCCCCTACGATGTGCTTCACCAACGACGTCCCCACCGCCGGCGAGTACCTGGCCGCCAGCAGCACCTGCAACTGGTGCTACGACGCCCCGCAGCACCTAGCCGCCGACTACGTGAACATCAGGAAGGGCGACGACGCCAGCGTCACCTTCATAGAGCTCGATCCGCCGCTCGCCGATCCCTGCCAGTCGCTGGAGATCTCCTCCGCCGACCAGCCGGACGCCCTGGAGGGCTTCAACTGGAGCAGCCGCAAGACCTACGACCGCGAGGACGCCGGCCACTGCAAGAGGAGCGTACCCACCGCCGCTCTCTACGAGATGAACAGCTTCTGGGGGTTCCAGCACCCCAACTGCAGGGAGCCCATACCCATTAGGGACTTCTACCAGGAGTACAGGCGGCAGAAATCGGAGACGGCGAGTGCGGGGCCGACGATACCGTCGATGTCACAGAAGAAGGCCGATGAGGCGCCAAGAATCATTGACGATGACAGGCTGGCGGAGTTAGAGCGCCGGGTGGAGTCGTCGGAAAACGAGATAGAGGAACTGAGAACCGATAACGGCAAGCTCAAAGATACTATAGGGAGTTTGAAAACGCTGAAAGGCGACGTCGATAAGAAGATGGAGGAACTGAAAAGAGAAATGAACGAGCCCGAAAGCAACGACAAACTCGTGTACTTAGAGGACAAAATCGACCATGTACGTAACCATTACGAGCAAATGGAGAAACTCCAAGAAGACACGACGCAGAAATTAATCGCCTTAGAAAACTTATGCAAAGAAACCTCACCTAAACAAGACGATAAAAGCTTAGAAAACAAAATCAACGAATTAGAAAACGAAGTAGAAACCGCGCAAAACAAACTAAACGATCTGCAATTCGAGCAATCCAACAACACCAAATCCCTCGAACAAGACATACTCAAATTCGAAGACAAAATAAACACCAGCTGCAGCAAAATCGAGAGACTCGTCGCGCAGATGACACACCTATCGGACAAAGTGAGCGAACTGGAGCAATTCCACGAGAAAATCGACAACAACATCGGCGATTTGAGCGCCCTAAGCGACAGAGTCCAGGAGATGGAGAGCTGCTGCAAGACCGTTGACACCGTCGTCGGCGAGCTCAAAGATCTAGGCGACAAAGTCAGCAAGCTGGAGAGCCCATCCGAGCAGATCGACGCCCCGATGACCAACCAGGAGGACCTCAAGAACAAGCTCGACGATTTCATCGACGGCTTGGAGAAATCCAACGAGAAACTGGACGGGAAGCTGAAGAGCCTCGGAGAAGACGTCGCTAAAATCAAGGAAAGGCTGAGTGACAACGAAAAGGAGATCGAGGAACTGAAGGAAATCAACGACGAGGTGATCCAGAGGATGAGCGATCAGTCTAGTGATTGGAACAAGTACAAATTGGAGTTGAAGGAAGGGTTGGGAATATTCGCCGAGGCTATTGGTAAATTGGAGGAGAAGATGGCGGCGATGGAGAGCGCCAACAGCAGATGGGTTAGGAAATAATCTGAAGGATGCGGAGAAACTAAAGGCTAGTCGCGTTAGCAAATTCTGGTGGTGTGGTGTAAGTTAAATTCGCCAGAATCATGATGAATTAGTGGAGTATTTTAAATAAAATAAATTGTTTTAATGATAAAGTAATAGTGCATTTTGTTGTGTGAATTTTGATTGTAAATATTTCGATTCTTTCGATTTTGTAAATAAAGAGAAAATATAAATGTGTAGTAAGTACTTCTTTTTATTGAGATTGTATTATGTAGTTTAATTCCTTAATGATCTAAATGTACTCATTAAAATTATGTTTCTTTAATTGTTTTTAAAATTAAATTTTCTTTGTGGGATCATTTTCATTAAGATAAAATATTGTAATAATAAATAATGCGAATTTTAATAGAAAAAAATTAATTATAAGATATTTCTATTTATTGTGATTGCATTATATGCAGTTTAATTCTTTAATGCCCTAAAACTACTCTTTAAATTATGTCCCTGCAAGTTTCACGACACATCCTTTTTATGCTAGTATTTTTAAGAGAAAAAATAAATTGTCGTATATTATGTACCTTTTTATTTGTAAGCAATTTTATTTCTTAATAACCTGAAAGTTCCCTTTCGATTATGTTCCTGTAAGTACAGGACACCTCCTTTGTGCGAAATTTAACGAAAACCCCATGTTCCCCAAATCATTTAATTCGTTAGAGTTCGTAATCACCGTAAGCACAAATGGTTTGGAATTACCTAAAAAAATATTAAACTACAACAGTGCGCCATCGCTCCATTAATAAACCCACCACAAGAAGCAACCTAAATAAGAAAACAGTGAAATCACTTACTGGTTACAGTACTAAATCCTCTTCCACAAAACCTATCGGTATTCAAAGCAGTGTTGTTTTGCACCAAAATCGGGCTGGGAATCACAATAAAATCCGTCGTACAATTCAACCCGAATTGCTCGGCGTTAATAGTACCGAGTGTACCATCCGCTATTGAAGCGTAAACATTATCCGTCAGTCCGAAGGAAAACACATCAGTTTGGGACCAAGTTATCCCGCAATAACCTACAAACAATTCCCGTTAAAATTGATGTGATTAGGGGCACTATTTCCTACCTGTAATCGTAGCGATACATATCCCGTAATTCTCGTTCGACAGCTGCCTGGTCCCGTCTTGCGTAGCTGCTGCACCGTAATTGAAGCTTCTCACAACACCTGTTATAGAATTGTAGTATTGCAAACAACCGGAAGGTGCTGAAACAATGCTATTGTAATAAATAACGTACAAACTTCTACAGTGGTGTCTCTGAATGGAGTTGACGAGAGGATAAGAATGTATAATTATCCCCAGAACTCACGCCCCACCGGGAAAGGTCTTATGGAAACGACAATGGAGATGCTAAAAATGCAGCTGAAGTCATAAACAAGTTTTTCCTTTGGTAAATAAAGAGGTTTAAAATCGACCAATCCCAGTAGTAGTTTAAATCCACGAAAATGACTTGGATTAGCTATACACCAATTTGACATTAATGAAAGATTCTGTCCTTTTCACTTTTTCACAAGGTTAACAAACGCTGTCAAAATCAGCTGCGACTGTTGATCAAAGATTTCCTTCCAAATCGATCATTTCAGAAGCTCCGTCGTGCTGATACCAAACCTACAGAATTTTTTATTGCTTCAAATGTGGTTTGAATTGAATTGAATGTTTGGTTTGAATTCAAGCTGTATTCAAGGAACCGGTGTTACATATACAATTATCAAGTATAAGTGGAGCAATACAGGTAAATTATCCCAAATAAGCTTACTAAATAATTCATTAAAAAAGGAGGATTGTTAGATAGCTCACCTCTGTAAGGACAATTGCAATTTATTTGCGTTACTTTGATGTTCCACGATCTACCGGACGCTCCGGATGTCCCTATGCTTATAACAATATTGGTGTTGCCGTTGAAATCGACATACATGTGCTGTCCGCTGTTTTCGCCGCATAAAATGGGTACCGTCGAGGCGCCGCCGGTTACTATCAGGGCGTCGGTATTGCAAATCCCGTTGGCGTCCGGTTGGGCCAGCTTCAGCGTCAAGAAGTCTATTCTGACCTGGGGTTTGTAGAAAAAATTAGCAATTGTGTCTAAATAAAGATCCGTACACTAAATTTGAAGGTGAATTATGTTATTTGTTACTAAATCAAGGAATAAGGGAGTTAAAGTATTGAAGGAAGAGCTTTATAAGTACTACTTATGTGCTTTTCATTTTGCATCTACTCATTTTGTGCTAATTAATTTTTATAAATATTTGTTAGACCTGATACATATTTGCTTGATATTTCTGCTCAGTTTAATTATTTTCTCTCTACTTCTGTTGATAATTTTAGAAGTTTCGTCAATATTTCTATCAATATTTGTATCAGAGTTCTTTCACAGTATTCTACTTATCTAAGCAAGAGGAATTCTAACTTATAAGAATTCTTAATTAAATAGACAAGCCTCTATAAAATCTTCTTCAGTTTCATTTTTTAAGACATTACTGGATTCGCGAGCTTAACATTATGTACTTTAATTACCTTGAAGCAACTTTCTTTAACACATATTGTATGTAGAAATTACCAGGTAATAAAGAAATAATACGAGAAACGTTACTTACTTGGCATACGTTAGCATCAATTTTCTGGATTGTAAAAGAACACACTCCATTGCCTGTATAAGAATTCGGGAATCCTGGACTGACGAAATACGTATTATTTATTTGCGAAGATTGTCCACAACTTCTTGATACTAAAAAAAATCCTTTGTTACTCTTCCTTTGAACACCTTTTATAACTTTCTTCATCCACAATAGAAACTCTTTAAGTTAAATGATAGTTCAACGGAAACATTGAACTACTGTTACTTGCACCATTATACGAAGTTTTTAAATAAATTCAGTACAAAATCTTTACACTTACTAATGCAACAAACGCCGATATCTTTTGCACAAGTCGACGAAGCCACACCGTTAACGTGAGTGCACTGCCTCCTGGTGTAACAAGTACCCGTCAGGTTGCTGTAGCCTCTGCATACACCATTCTCGAATCTGACCAACCCCACTCGCAGAACGGGAAACAGGAAATACTCTAAGAAAATATATGTATAAGAAGCCTAATACATCCAAAGTAGTTATAGATGAAGCGTAGGTTACTCAGGTACTAAAGAGGAATATAATAAATCTTTGAAATTAGAACAATCTGTATACTCACGTTTCGGATGCCTTTCTGACGCTACATTTTTGCTATTTTCATCTATGGAACTGGAAGAGTGGAAAGCTGAAAGTAATATCACCAATGCACCGCCGATGCAAAATCTGCCGTACATTTTGAAGGAATGATGCCCAATAAATAAATAACGCCCACGATCGAATCGGATCTACTAATAAGTTCAGTAAGCTACATTTTTTTTGTTTGTATTTGCATCTCGAATCCCAGATTTTTTACTAGATCACCTAGCGGTAATCTAATTTAGTCCAAGCAAATAAAAAATGGGTAAATAGAAAATTAATGCAATTTCCAAACAAAAATTATTGTGTAGGTATAATCAAATAAAAATATTGTTATATATCAACCTATTTAATGAAAGAGTTAATTTTATACACAAAATTACCAAGGGCTATAATAGCAAAAATTATTCTGGATCTATTTAATAATAATTTATCCAACAAAGTAGTTCTTGTTAATTTTTAACGGTGTTAAATCACAACAAATTAACACCTAAATCAACGATGCTCGTGCAGCAAACAAACGACATATTTTACTCTCACAATTCCTGCGATCACAACGACAAATGGATCCGAAAATTCTCGGCCTGGTGTTCCTGCTAACAGCTTACTTTTACCTGCATTCGGCTTTCGCATGTAAGTACAAACACCATTCGATGCAATTGCAATGTATGCTATAATTCAGATTGGGCGCCGGGTTTCGTGAGATTCCCCAACAACGTATGCAACACGCTGGAAAACTTTTCGGGCGTGTGCCTGAGGAAGTCCCAATGTGCCGAAACGGGCGGCGTGTCGTCCGGTACTTGTGCCAATGGAATCGGAAGATGTTGCCTACGTGAGTAGAATATAAAAGAAAATTTGTAGTTTATTAAGTAGGTGCATTTTAGACCAAGGAACGTGTGGTGGTTCGTCCAGATATAACAACACATATTTTATTAACACCAATTTTCCCAATCCTGCTGGAACGGCGAGTTTCTGCACGTTTTCCATCATACCGGAATCAAGGAGCATATGCCAGGTAAATCGTTTGTAAATAATTCATTGTAATAGTCGAGGGACATTTAATTGAAATTTGTAATGTTTCGAATATAAGTTTTTCTAGCATACCGGAATCAAGTAGTATTAGCCAGGTGTATCGTTTATGAAAATTCAATGTAATAGTGCAGAGATATTTAATTGAAATTCAATTTTTTTCGAATATACAGCTCCGATCTAAAACAATAAGCTCGTTGGTTATACTTACATTTAGAAGATATAGTAGATATACAGGGTGTCTCAAAAGTTGATACTTTTTTTAAGTGCGTACAGTTCTTTTAATTCTAAGCAACTTTTTCAAGTAAAATTTTTAAATAATCTGGAAAATAAGAGAGCATCTTTTTTTTTCAATTTTTAAAAATTTCCATCTTTTTTATTTTGTAGAATTAAAAAAAATTACTTGAAAAAGTTGTATAGAATTAAGATTTATACACAGTTAAAAAATCAACTTATGAGACACCATGTATGAAAGATATATCTAAAACCTATCCAAATTTCAAAATTTAATATTTAAATTTAGACCAGAAGGATTTTTTTGTATGCAGATAAGACTGGACTTCCTCTCATTCACCTTGTCTCAGCCGGACGGAACGGGCAGGTGCGTGTTTGATTCCTTTATAGTGACAGGCGCAGGATCAACGGTTCCGATAATATGCGGAGAAAACACCGGTCAACACGTGTATTTAATGGTAAATGGCGTGGATCCCATTCAACTCTCCATCACCATATCCACCTTGGTGTCGCTCTCCCGGAGTTTTAATATCAAAATCACGCAGATCGCCTGCGATTGCCCCACTTTGGGTAAGCCAATGGGTTACCTGTTGTAATGCTATATACGAATTGTGTTATTTATGTAGCTCCTGCGGGATGCTTGCAGTATTATACAGCCCCATCGGCTACAGTCTCCAGTTTCAATTACGGAATGGATTTGAATGGTAACATCAACAATTTCGGTAACGGTACAATGGTAGCTGGAACGAGGCAGCTGGCAAACACGAATTACGGAATATGCGTGAATATGCTACCTGGTGAGAATCCGTAAACACGTTCTTTATACTTTATTTATTCGAATTATTTTAGGATTTTGTTCGATTACGTGGGCTCAATCAGCTGATCCCACGTCTTTTACTATAACTCAAGATACTGCTGCTGATGCCACTGTTTCCGGGCTTCCCAGCAATCCTTTGGTAGGCGGCAATTGCACCACTGATTACGTGGTAATTCCTAATCCGTATTATCCCAACAGGACCGCCGTTATGGGTACTGATAGGTTTTGTGGAAACCAGTTTCTTACTGTTACAAGTAAGAACAATCTTCACTATAGAAGATGCAATCGAATTTATTGTTAAATATTTTTCAGCTTCATCGAAACCGTTCGTTTTAAGAACTGTGACCGATGGTAATGAAAATGCTGATGCAGCTAATAGAGGATTTGCGCTAACTTACAGTCAACAAGCGTGCTCGAATACTGATGCTTTAGTACTAGGGAAATAAAACAAATAGGTTTTTACTAATGCGTTTTTATTGCTTAATACTGCTTTATTGCTTAATATCTCCTAATACTGGATAGTTGGTGAACTCTTTTTTCTGTCTTAAAAGTTAGTAAAAATGAATATGAAATATATGACCAAAAATTGAACTAATGCCGATTTCATGCATTGACATAAAGGATACTTTAACATTAGGGATCCTTTAATAGATGTAATTGATTTCATAATCAACTTAACAGAGCCTTTATGCCCAAAGTGACATTTAAGGTTCACATTTTTGTGTATGCGAGTCAAAGTTTGATGAGAAGAATGTTCAAAGCGATGATTAATTGCGAAACATTGAGTTCAAGCTCGTCTGATGAAGAAGAATTGTTTATGTTAGAAGACCAAAAGACAGGAAAATAATATAAAAGAAGGGACTGTTTTTAAAAATACGACGAGCCAGACTTTTATTAATCTTTTCGCCTGAAAAAGAACAGTTTTGCATCTCCTGCAAAAAAATAGAAGAGCAAATCATATTTCCCATTTACTCAATTTTTTTGTAACTTTACATTAATTCTATATGGTGGGCTTCAACTTTTCTCAAAACTATATTACAATTTACAAAAAAATATATTATTAATGTAAATATTGTAAATAAATTAACATTGCTTACAGTAAAGTTTGTATGAAGGCTTTTTAATTAAAAAAATATTACATAAATTTATAAAAAATACTATCAACCACTCCACCTCCCTTTCCTACATGCATACTCCCTTCTTTTATTATTCAAAAGTTTGTTTGGTTTTTTCTAACGATGTACTAGATACCTACAATACATCCGTAATTATTATCGATTTGAACGTAGGCGCTCTCATCGTCCACATAAACTCCGAAGTTGCCTAAACTTCCTCGGAAAATCGATAAACTCACAGACACTCAGTCGACGGGTCATTCGAATCCGCACTCGCGAAAATCTCCCGGAAAATGAAACGTACGGAATCGCATTCGCTTATTCCAAATATCGGTTAAAAATCGCGAAGTTAGTTTTCAATTCGCAAAGGTAAGTCATACATATACCGGCAATTTTAACATAAAGTTCATTGAGAAAGGATAGGTAAGTGGGCAAACATGTTGATCTTTAGAGCTAACAGATGTTTGGTCGAATGTAGGACACAATTCCGCCTTTGACCTCAATAATTATTTAAGAAACAAAGGGCGTGTGTTTGAATGATTTAAACGCTTTGAATAAGGGCGAGGTTTGTGTTGAGTGATTTCGGGATATTTTCGCTTTAATTTGTCTATCCATAAACCGTCTAACCTTTCACAGATGTTAGAAGGAACAGTCGCAAGGTTACTCAACCAACTCCTCGGCAAGTACGTCGTCGATTTGGACACGGAGAATCTCAACGTGGGCATTTTCTCCGGGCAAGTCCAGCTCACCGATTTAAAACTAAAACCCGAAGCTTTGGTAATCCAATACGCACCAACAAAAATTAACCAAACTCTAACACTACTACAATTTTCAGTACGAACTCAACCTTCCTATAGAAGTTCGAGCCGGCACTATCGGTAAAATCTGGCTGAAAATCCCTTGGGCCGCCCTGTACAACCAGCCCATCACCATCAACATAGAAGACATCCACGTAGTAGCCGTGCCGATCGTCAGAAACTCCAAGTACGACCCGGAGAGGAACAAGAAACTCGTCAGGGCCGCCAAGAAGAAAATCCTAGCGGATCTGAAGGACGGAGACATCCTAGGCGGGCCCGCTTCGTTCTCAGAACGCCTCATCAGCAACGTCCTGAGCTTCTTCCAATTGAACATCACCAACGTCCACATCAGATACGAGGACGATCGCAGTTTGACCGGCCCCATCGCCGCAGGACTCTGCGTGGGCTCCATCACAGCCGAATCTACCAACAGGTAAATTTGCTTATACTATGCTAAAAATAAACCATCGATGACGTCACGCTGGATTATAAATGAACGTATCATATCTATCCAATCAACAGGTGAAATTGTCTATACTGTGTTAAAGTTGAAATGTTTTTGGCGTCAAGCTAGATTATAAATAAATGTGTCATACCTATCTTGTCAATAGGTGATCATGCATATTCTATGCTAAAGTTACACTAGCGATGATGTCACTCTAGATTATCCATGAACGTATCATTATCTACCCTATTAATAGGTGAGCTTGCATATATCCTGTTAAAGGTAAACTATCAATGACGTCACGCTAGAATAAAAATCGTATAATACCAGATTCAATGCAAAGAGTGATTTTTCTGGCAAAAATTGGAGTGTATTTAATGAGTCCTGGTCTTGATTTCAGCAAATGGAGGCCTATGAAATACGATCGAAACGCGGAAACCTGTTACTACATATTGAAATTGGAAGCTTTTTCTGTTTATTGGAATGATAAAGCCACTTTGAAAACATGGGATCTGCCGAGCGAGTATTACCAATGGAGGAATACTATGGCGGCAAGTCTTCAAAATTACTCCATAAACGATCAAGATTTTAATTTTGGTAAGTTCTCAGTTGCCTTCAATCCTCTGCAAATATGCCCTAATTTTATGATGAAGGAATAGAAGATATAAAAAAGAAAGTAGAGTAGTACACTGCACATTTTTACACAGCTAGTAAAAGAGTACACTGCACATTTTTACAACCAATGGACCCCAATGAAGTGAGCCCATCAAATCAACCTCCATTCCAAATTTCTGCTACACATCTAAATCAAAAATAACTTTAAGACATTTTCCAATAATTCCAATTCATACAAACCCTCCGCAGTGGTCAATCCGATGTCGTCGAAAATCAAAATGGTGCTAGAAAAATCGCACAACAGCGACCGAGTCTCCAAAATCCACACGGAAGTGGTCATGCAGGACTGCAACGTGCAGCTGTCCAAGAACCAGTACGACTCCGTGCTGGCCACCGTCGATTCCATGGAGAGGATGCTGATCAGCTGGCAGTACCTCCAGCACCGGCCGGCCCAGAAGATCGCCGAGAACCAGAAAATCTGGTGGCGCTACGCCAGCTACGCCTCGCTGGAGCAGCGCGTCAAGCCGTACACCTGGAGCAGGATCAGGAGGGTGAGGCAGCACTACAAGGAGTACCTGGAGACCTACAAGCAGATCCTGCTGAATCCCAACGATACCGAACTGAAGCTGGATTTGCAGAAGTTCGAGGATAATTTGTCGATTTTGAATATCGTTTTGGCCAGGCAACAAGCGCGATTGACTGTAAGTTTTCAAATGGATAGTTAAGATAATCTGTTGATGTTTTTTAAAACTTAGGTAAAAGAGCGGAGCATCAGCGAAAAGAGCTTCTGGTCGATGTTACCATCGCCTGAAAGGACCCTCTTGTGCGATAAAATCGGTTATTCCGATAACAAAGAAGGAGGTAAGAACCCTTACTCAACGCACACTAACACAGAGAAGTACCTAATTAAAGCACATTGTTTTTCATCACATCAAACATGAGATTGAGCAATCTACAATGCATCCTCCTTGATGATTTTGCAGAGCACACGTGCAATTTCCGCTTGGGGATTCTGAGCGTGACTCTAACGAGCGATAGCCGGGAAATATTCGTGCTGACGATGACCCAAACTGTGCTGAATTTGAAGCCGAATTTCGGCGACGGGACCTACAGGGCGTCGTTGAAAATCGAGGGTTTGATAGTGGAAGGGGCGACCAACGAGGATCACTTGATACCCATCGTGTCGTCGGAGCATTTGAGCGACAGTCCGGCTTATTTCCTCAAAATCGACTTGGAGAAACTCTCCGCGATCGGCGCGTGCAAGTTCAAATTGAACGTGGTTATGGATTCGGTCGAGTGCATTTATAATAAAGTGAGTAACAGTTTTATTCTCGTTGAAAATGGTGTGTGATAATGATTTTTTGCAGCCGTCTATCGAGGAACTGGAGACTTTTCTGACGACTGAAAAAAATCCTGCAGTCAGCTTATTTAACAATATGCTCGACAAACCAGGGAAAATTACTAAGCTGATTAAAGAGAAGTTATTGGAAGGGTGGGAAATTAATGCGAATGTTAAAATACCCTATATAGTTATTCCCGAAGTTAGTTCTTATTTAAAGTAAGTTATTCACTGATGTCGCTGCTATATGTATCAGAGTTGGGTAAGGTCATGTTAAACTATTGTAGATAAACAATGCTTCAATATTTTTTGAAAGATTTAGAGCGGTTCTAAAGCAAATTTGAAGAGATTTTAAAGTCACTTTGAAGCGCATTTATAAAGGTTTTTGGGGCAGTTTTAGAGTAGATTTTGAAAGGGTTTTAGAGAGATTATGGAGCAAATTTTAATAGCAGATTTTGAGGGCGGATTTTGATCTGGGAGTAGTTTTATAGATGTTTTTAGGGTGGTTTTAGATCGATTTTAAAGCAGTTTTGAAGAGATTTTAGAGGGGCTGTGAAGCGCATTTATAGAGGTTTTTGAGGCAGTTTTAGAGTAGACTGGAAAGGGTTTTAGAGAAATTTTGGAGCAGATTTTGGATGTGGGAGCAGTTTTATAGAGGATGGAGTTTTTTGGGGTGGTTTTAGAGCGGTTTAAAAAGAAGTGATTTGAAGTGATTTTAAACAGGATAAATAATTATTCCAAATTATTTTTAGAATAAAATATAGGTACTTAAGTACAATTGCAATTACAAAAAAAAACAAGAGTAACTTAATTGTAATTTATAAATTACTTTGTTGAAATACATTATCCAGCTCTGTTATGTACGCTAAGTTTTTCAAAAAACCTAAAAATTATACAGAGTCTTGATTTTATAAAATCAAAAAATCTCAATCAGTTTGAATAAACACAAGTTTTGAGAAACAAATCTAAAATATTACCTACTTACCTACTTAACTTCTATAACTTTCTAGTTACTGGTACAAAGTATACTAAAATTCTTTACTCACCCTGCACTTTGCTCTAACATAATATCATAAATTCTCTATACGAAAATCCCCGATTTTAGAGCCGAGTACTTGCTAGTCCTGGACTTCGGAAGATACTCCTTACGCACTGAATTGTGCCCAAACAGGCATGCGGCCGACAATGCCACGCAGATGGAACTGGAGGAACAATCGTATACGAAGCTGAACGTGAAATGCACGGATTTCCAAATATTGTTCTGCGACAACAGCGACAACTGGAAGGACGCGAGACGGGAGAATTGCAGCGAGATGCACGTCGTTCCCAAAACTTGCTTCACGTCGATTTGCGCCATCTCCGCCGTCGATTTGAAATCCATACCAAGGTTAAAAATCACAATTTCACCCCCTATACTACCCCTATAAATTTTACGTTTTTAGTTACAAATTCAACATCGCCTTCCAAAGCCTGAAATTAAACATATCTGAGAGAAAAACGCTGCTGCTGTTGAAGTACTTCAACATAGACCAAATAAAAATCAACATAACTCGGGACAACAAGGGAGCCAAGGCGTTCGTGAAGGATAAAATTACAGGGTGTATTAGTAGTAAGCGACTGAGGATAATCCAAAATAAAATTAGAATTCTAAGTTCTTATACGAAATACAGGAGATATAAAGTTGACGATTACAGAACTGAGATAATACAGAGAAAGTGAGTGTATACAAGCATATTTGGGTTATAAATACGTTAAATTTTTGAAAAAATTACCTGTAGATATGCTTATTGAATGTTATTTTTAGTAAAAGCATATCGAGACATTGCTATGGGGATATGAATGAAGCTTGGGCAAGATGCGTCGATTTACCTGGACTAGAAGACAATGTATCACCTAATAATAACGTGAATGTACTGTATGGGTTCTTTATTAATGAGGTAAGAATATAGGATTTCTATAAGTTGCTGTTATTCTTCAATTCAGATACAAGCTTCCAAGAAAATGAAAAAAAAAACTCGTTTCTAACATTTTTTGCCATCTCTGGAGGTTTTTTCTTCTGCAATTTTTCCCATTTTATGACCTTTTAAACGAATTGTTTAAACTTATTTTTATTCAGTTTTAAAGTCATATTCAGTTACTGTTTAAAATTTAGCAATTTTATTAGATATTAAATTAGCAATTTTTCCACTTTAGAAAGTCAATACCTGCTCTATTTTAGTAATATTCTTTTATCATTCACTTACTCTATCTTATTTATGTGTATACCACCTTTTGAACAGTTAGATATATCAATTCTTTCAATATTTGTTAATGTAATTGGACTCTAATTGTAAAAATAAATGGTAAAATTACCATTATATGCTTACCGGAAATTCCACTTTTGAAACTCATTATCTACTCAATCCCAGCAATATATTCCTTTATCATTCACCTACTCTATTCTACCATTTATGTGTAATACCCTTTTACTAGTTAGGTATACGAATTCTTTCACCATCTATAAATGCAATGGGACTCTAAACAACATTCGTACATAATTAACAAGTACGAATCTTATTCTTCCAGTTTTCCATAACATTCTCCCGGTCCAGCGACAGCACCGACAGGCAGTACCTGTTGCTGAGATTGAGCGTTCTAACAATGGACGTGGCTTTGATGACTTACGGGCCGGCGTACCAGCTCAGCCTAAACTCCATTCTATTAACAGATAAATTGCACGTCGCTCCCAACGGGCAGTACTTGGACTTGGCGTTTAGCCCTGTTGGTAACAACCAGAACGTGCTGACGGTGTTGTTCAGAAAAGTGAGTAATTTTACTCAAGAAAATTTGTTTTAATTTCGAGTGGTATTCGCGCAGGTGGGAGCTAGTTGTCCGGATTTCTGGTCGCATTTCCACGGCGTCGAGACGTCTTTGGTGGCGAATTTGGGTACGGTGAATTTGGTACTACACCAGGAAGCCGTCCGGACTATCTTACAATATTCTAAATACATCAGCAATAAGTAAGTGTATTTTTATACCACTCCAAAGGTTCAGAATGTCTCTTTTTTTCTCAGAATAAAATCTCAAACGTCGCCGTTTTTGAAGAACGTGCTGCTGAAGACGGTCGATAAGATCCGAAACGTTCTGCACGGGAAAACCGAAACTCCGGTGCCTCCTGGTTCTATAAAATTCTCGCACTCTGCGCGACTGGGCGATTTGGTGGTGACCGTTTGCGATTCAGATTTCGATATAGTTAAAATGGAATTGTCAGGGTTAGAGGTGGATTTTCTTTTCAGGACGAACGAGAGGTTTATTTTCAGATCGTTTCTGAGCAATGTTACCGTAGAACATTTGTCTGATGGTACCCTGCATTCGAAGGTAATTGCAAACGTTTCAAAGCAATATACAAGAGTTTAACAGAAATGTTACAGGTCCTGTATACTGATGAAGATAAAGTGTTCGACGTGAAGTACGTGAGAAATTCGACGAATTTAAATTATAACAACGACATTTCGCCTAACACTGATGAAACGTTCATCGACGGGAGCTTCAAATTTCAACTGGGTAGAATTCATTGCACGTTTTTGTATAAATTAATCGTCCAATTGCAAGTGAGTTCGCTCGAAAATCGGCCCACATTATTTCTAATTTTCCCTTCGACATTTCAGCGATTCTTCGCGAATTTGGAAATTCTCCCGTTGATCGAGAAGGTCGTAGTAAAATTCAACAACGCCCTCGTCGACGTTACCAAAACGCTAAAGAACAACACCAGAATTAATTTTTCCATCAACGTCAGCGGCCCGGTTATTTTATTCCCGCAGAAATCTTCATCTCCAAATGTTTTAGTAATAGATACAGGTAAATACAATTATTCCATACCGACCTAAAAATTAATAAATAACCACCTTCTTTACAGGCCAACTTAAGGTTGAGAATTTCTTCAAAGATTACCACCAAGAAGTCACCGAAAATATACTGGTCAAATTAAACGATGCCACAGCTTCGAGGGGAGTCATGACTTTGACTGCTATGTTGGAGATGCAGGTAAATCGTTATTTATATTTAATAATATTCAAGTTTTATAGAAATGTGCATTTTCAAACCAAAGTTGTCCCAGGTTAACTTCCAATTTCTCTACTAATTTAGCAACTAATACTTCTTTGAATTAATATACTGAATTTGATAGGAAACTTTAATTGAACCGTTGAGTTTAAATATGGACATCAAGAGATTCACGAACATGAAATCATCTCAAACTACATGGGATATTGATAGCATCATCGACGGTATTCAAATAACTTTGGGCCAACGCGATTTAATCGTCATAATGTCGATTTACACCGATAACATCGGAGAAGGGAAACTTTTGGACATTTTCCCGGCACAAATTAAATCTCCTACAGACTATTTATGTAAGTAAATTAAAGTTTTGATCCCAAGTACTCGATTAGTAACGTCATTTGTAAACCAAGATGATACAACCTTACTATTTATCTAGTTAAAAATCAGTATGATTTAGTACAAATTCTCAGATAATATAATGATAGGTACCGATGAAACGGTGCGGAATTTGGAAGCCTTCTTCTGCGAGCCGAAGCAGAAAATCGTCGTGGCCAAATGCACCGTGGAAGAGATCAAAGTGACGCTGTTTTTCGACTCGGGCGAATTGCTGAGCTCGCCTGTGAGGGACCTAAATCACGGCCTGTGCAAGCTGGAGATCAACGACATCGACGTCTCCGTGCTGATCTACAACGACAAGAGCCTGGATGGGAAGTTGTCGGTGGACGCGATGCGTATCGAGGAAATCGGACCTGAAGCGCACGCTTTGGATAAAATGTAAGTTTTAGGAGGAAAATAGAATTGGTAGTTCACGTTTTTGGAGGGCTGTAAAATTAGTTGTAGCAAAGCTAGAGGTGGCAAATTTTGAGTAGAGATAGCTTCATGTTTTCTGATAACTTCATCAAAGTAGCATTAACTTCACTTAATTCCAAGGGGTTGAACTAGCCCTTTAATTGAGGCGATGTATAGAAACGTAGTTTTTTAAGAAAACTCAACTTCTTTAGATTTCATAAAGCAAAGTGTGTTTCAGGAGCTCGAGATAAAATACCTGCTCTCCAAGGCTCGAAAAATCCAAAACTTTCTAGTAATCTTTCTGATCAGTTTTCAGTATCATCATCATTCAACTCCAATAAGTTGAACCACCCTTTTGAATGAGACCATATACCTATAGAAACCTATAGTATTCTAGGAAAACTCATTTTTTTTAGGTTTTATAAAGAAAAGGAGCTTTTTAGGAGCTTGAAATAAAATACTGATGAAAAATCCAAAACTTTCTATGTGAACTTTGTGGTATTTTTTGAGCTTCTCTTGAATAGCGGAGAACTTGAATCAACGGAAAAACCAATTATTATTACTGTCATTCTTAATATGATGCATTCATTTCGGTGTAACATCTTCACCTATCTTCGCTACTTCTCCATATTTCTTCACGTCTCTATCTTGGCCGTAGCCAATTTAATAGAACTCAGAAATGAACAGTTTAATTGCCTTAATTAACAAAACATTACTGATAGGTAAATATTTATTTTTTCAGCATATTACAATCGCCTGCGGACGACGCCAAAAACAACAACTGCCAAGTAGTAACAGTGAACAAACCGCCAATCGTCGACATCAACTTCCATTGCAACAAAACTGGAGATAAATCGGTCGATGTGATCATTGGCAAACTGTGCTTGAATTTGTCGGTACCATTCTCCGAGAAATTGGCTCTGTTTATTATCGAATGCCACCCGAAGGACGCCGTCGACGACGGTATAGTAAATCCCTGTTACGAAGCGGAGACGTTCCACACGGTTTCGGAAAGACCGTCGCCCACGAGCCTCACTTTATCAGTAAGAGTGAACAAACCCGAGATCGTTTTCCTGGTGGAAACCGCTTCGAACAAGAAGAGATACTTCGTAACGAAAAGCGAAATTCTGGTGGATTATTCGAGACACGCCAACAGATTAAACATCATAATGTCTTTATCGGGCTTGCACAGTTTGTTTTACGATTTGAACGAATACTCCGAGGAGCCGTACGTCATCCTCCGCCAGTGCGACGTGGAATTGTGCAAATCATTCTCCTCAGAAGTAGGAGAGAAGATCACCCTAGCCGTATCCTCGATCTATCTAAACCTCTGCAGCGAAGTAGTGCACTCCTTCAACGACGTTCTCAACGACGTGGTGGAGCATTTCCGCGTACCGGACGTCCCCCACGTCCCCAACACGGTCACCACCGAGATAGAAAACCTCTGGGAACCCAAGAAACTCCCCGATTCCGCTCAATCCCGCTCGAACTTCGACGACGCCAGAACCGATGAGGCCGTCTTCGTGCACGAAATCCTGCTCGTGCCCAAGTTCGACGTGGTCGTCGTCTTCGAGCTGGAGCGCATCAAGGTCTTCCTCGTCAAGTCCACCGTCGAGCTGACCCTCTACGACTGGTCGTCGATGTTGAACTGCACGTGCGAGCTCACCCTGCAGGCGAACTACTTCAACGAGAGCGTGCAGAGCTGGGAGCCCTTCGTGGAGCCCGTCGTCGTCGACGAGAGGGAGTACAAGCCCTGGGAAGTGGTGGTGAAGGTGTTCCGGGACGGAGCGGCGCCGGCGCTCGACGGCGCCGGTCGCAAGATAGACGCCGACGCGGCCAAAAAGAGAGGTAAAAACGCTTCTGTTACCACCACAGAGGATGAGGATTCCGGGGAGGATATGATGTACCTGGAGCCCTCGAATCATTCGTACAATGGAAATGATAGAAGGGTGAAAACCAGTTTGTCGACTTTTCTGGACGATTCGGACTCGGAAAATGAAGACGGTGCTATGGAAAGACTAGCGGCGGCTATTTCAGATTTATTCACAGGTAATATTCAAACTGGTAGAGGAAGTGAAGAATTTTAAATTTTAATCAGCTTTATTTATATTCAACAATTCCTTAACCATTTAGTTAAGAAAAACTCATAATAAAATTCTCCAAAAAAAACAAAATCTTTGGAATAAATATCATTTTCTAAAGTATATCATTTTTATGAACTTTCAGAAAGTGAACATAATATGGACCACATCCAGATTTTTTCATTTCTAGAATATAATTGACTAATTCATCTTCCAATTCACTCGGTAATGTTAATTGTCTCCTAAGTTTTTGGGTCGTGATATCATTAAGTGATTTGTTTTGGGTGTATGTTTTGGAAGCATTCAAAAAGCCCGTTTTCTTTTTTCGTTCATTTTTAATTACCTCCGCCATTGCGTTTTTATTCCATGCTTGTCTGATCTTCTCTATTGTTTTAGAAGCCATTTTAGAACATAAAAATTAATTTTTAGCCGCTCCATATTTAAAACGTGCCACTGATCCATATTGTGATACTTACTCATTTTGAGATTATTTTTTTCAGAAAATTAGAATATTATAAAATATTAAAACTTAATACAATTAATTGCAAAATGACACCTTCCAAAGTTCGCTAGAAAATTAGTTCGCGCGTTGCAGGAAACTAAAAAAGGCTCTCGTAAATATATGCATGCATCCTGGATCACTACAAGCGACAAATGGGTCAAGGGAGGAGTGATGCTTAGTGTGTAATGATCATTTATTCGATATAAAGAACGTTCTTTTTAAAATGGCGGTGGTCCATATTATAAGACAAATAAAGGTTTTTTTTACGGTAGCCATTCGTTAGGAGTTGTTTACCCTTGCAATTCAGGATGAAAAGTCTCTTACTGAGGGGGTTTCAGTTAGGTGTGAAAATTTCTGATTTTTCCAGGCGATTGGAACGAGTACGAGGAGAGCGACTGCGACCGCTCCAGCGACGAAGAAGACGACCTCGACGAGTTGCAGAAGCCGAAGCAGCGCAGCGACGTCGCCTGCGACAAGGCCTACTACGTCCTGCTCGACGCCAAGGAGACGTTCAACGTGACGGTGACGCCGACGCTGATCCACGTCTTGAACGAGCTGGTCGCGCAGTATTCGAGCAAGATCATATCGGTGACGAGCGATCGCAAGTCGATAGCCGTCTCGAACGACGTCGGGCCGCGATCGGCCGTCGAATTGTACGAGAAAATCAGCGGCGAGGAGAACAAATTGCTGTGCATCAAGAAATTCGAAAACGACGATTCCGCTCCGGGTAGCCCGTGCAAATATAATTCATACGTGCCGGAATATTCGGACGGAAACTACGATGATAAAGATAGGTGAGCAATTTCTACCTACAGATAATTGAAAGGAGAAGTGACTAGAGATTTTAATCCTATAGGTTTAAATTGGGCGCGGAGAATTAAAAATGCTTTTAATCCGACAAGTAAATTGGGCGCCAGATTTTTTAGTTACAGCACTTTCTACTCGACTCTACTCTGAATCAACTCAACTCTGTTCTGAATTCACTCTAGTCTACTCGTTTCTACTATACTATACTCTAATCTACTCTCCTCTATTTTGAAACCACTGTACTCATCTACTCTTCTCTACTATACTACTATGTAATCTATTCTAAGTCTACTATATTCTACTCTAATCTATTCTGAATCTACTCTACAGTACTCCAGTCTAAATCTACTCTACTGTATTCTATTTTAAATCTACTCCATTCTGAATTTACTCTACTCTTTTCTACTATACTGTAATTTACTCTAAGTCTACTCTATTCTAATTCTACTCTAATCTATTCTCAATCTACTCTACTACTATATTCTAAATCTACTCTTCTCAATTCTAAATCTACTTTACTGTACTCTAATCTACTCGATTAATTATAATTCAACTCTATTCTGAATCTACTCTACTGTACTCTACTCTTTTATGTCCAATTTACCACCGCCGAAATAATTGTAGCGAAATTAATTTGCTATAATGTTGTAGCTTTACCGATGAGAATAGAGAATTCGATTCGGCCTACGATTTCGAATCGCTCGCAAGTCTGCAGTTTCCCGACGAAACGACGCCGCAGCTGTACGAGAGGATCAACAAGAATTTCATGAAGATTATCGTCCCGAATTTCCAGACGGTTCAAACAAACTGTTCGAAGAAAAACTGGGAGAAATTGATACGGCTTAATTCGGTAGATTCCAATCAGGTCTATCACTTGGCGGCCAAGCACGTCATCGGGAAATTCGGGCGGAAAATCGTCGTCAGCTCTCCCTTACAAGTACAAAAATGCCCGATAGATCCATCCAACGAATAAATTCACGAACATTTTACAGATAAAGAATGAGACTTGCTACGCCTTGAGCCTGCTTTATCAACCCTCCATATTGCAACAACTGAATCAAGAACCACTGGGCGATATAACGAATCCTTTCGAAACGACCATGCGCATTACCGTCGTGGAACCTCAAGAAGAATACAACGTGCCCCTTCATATAGCATATCACTGCAAACTGTTCATACAACCGGCGCAAGAAGAGTAAGTAATTGCTTTTACCAAAAAATTAATCAAATTAATCCACCACAATGAAAATATAAAAGAAAGAAAGGCGAATGCACTTTTAATGTTTGTTTGATATTCCCCTTTAGTGCCATTACACCCAAAATCTCTCACTATTTACCTCTATCCAGTTGAACATGGCCCAGCCTCTATAGTAGTAGCCATATTTTATTAATATAATCTAATAGCTACATGCGCATTTCAGAGGTCGTTACGTTTCCGATTCGGGCATATGGTGGAAAGACATGGCGACTGAAATGGACAGCACCCACCTGGTTGTATGCACCCCGAAACCCGACACAGACGCGGAGATTTTCTGCATGCTGGCCATGCTGAAGCGCAACGTCGAGGGCGGAAACATCCACCACCTCAACACCCCCAATTACGTTGTACGTCTCCTGCCGCCGTTGGTAATATCCAATTTCCTGCCGCACTGCTTGGAGGTGTCCAGCGCTTCGCTGAAGCGGGCTATCAAAATAGAGCCGGGCGAGAAGTGCGATGTATACTCGCTGGATTCGACGGAGGACCAGAAACTGACGATTAAATTGAGGGAGGATTCGTCCACGTGGACGGGCTGCTTGAATTTCACGCGGCATTTGGACGAGAAGATCATTTCGCTCAGCGCCGATAGCAAGGAGGTCGGAAATTTGGCTGTTAACGTGAAAATCGACAGGGAGACTGGTTGTAATTTGTTCTTCTACGCTCCGTATTGGATCGTCAACAAAACCGGCCTACCCTTACAGATTAAGGTAATGTATAAAAGTATAATTTTAGAGTAGTTACAACAAAAGGTCTTCTATAATTATTTATGGTATGCTAATTAAAATGAATAAATTGATCAGGCTTCAGTCTCCAACACGTTGTACAATTGCCTCAGCGAGGATATACTGCTCTTCACGTACAAACGACACGGAAAACAAACCCTAAATGTAAAGGTGTACGATTCCAATTGGTCTAACGAGTTTGGTTTGGAATGCGTGGGTACAACTGGACTAATAGTATGCAAAGATGTGGAAAGAAAAAAGAAGTACATGTTCTTTTTGAACTCCAGATTGTCCACCGTATGTCCTAGATTGACCAAAATAGTGACCATTTTACCTGGGTTTTTGATCACCAACAACACCGACAAGGCTTTAAGGTTTGTATACTACAGGGTGTAACAAAACGGTGGGTCATAAACACCTGTGTTTCGTTCAGGTTTATGGAGAAGAACGAAAAAACCGATTTATGGATCGATTTGCAACCGTTCCAAACTGTAATATTTTGGCCTGAAACTTCCTCCATGGAAATGTACGTCAAGCGCAGAGATGGCAAAGCAGCGTCGCATTCATTCTTTATTTCCACCCACCACAGAACAGTATTAAGAGTGGACAAAGGGGTAATACAAAAAAACAATTCCATTAATCTCCTCTGATCAATCTCGTATCCTTCCAGAGCGCCATTACAGTGGAACTAACAGGCGGCGTCAACGACTCCTTCAAGATCACCTTTAACGAGTACAAACCGGGCGACGCGCCCGTTTTGATCAAAAACTACTGCTCGGATCTGTTCCTGAAGATCCAACAGCGAGACCTCAGCCCCGTCACGCTGCTCAATCCGAACCATTCTCTATTATACACCTGGGACGATCCAACAGCGCCTCGCCAACTCGTTTGGAACGTTTACAACAACAAAGGCGCCGGATTCTCCATAGACATCACCAAAGATGGGTAAGTTAATTGTTATGGATAAGAAAGATATTGAAGTACATGTTCTGACTTAACCTCATCATCTTGCATTGCATTTTCTGTAGTCTCAACCTCATTTACCATTACAAGAATTCTTAATTTCCAGATATGGCGAACAAAAAATCCGACTCCATAGCGTAGAGGCTTCTTACGCCTCATCGAGCAGCGACGACGACGATTCAGACAGCTCGGAAGCATCTCCACGGTCTCTAGCCAACAAAACGCGCAAGCACAAGCTCCTGATCTACTGGTCGTGTTATCGCGAAGGGCTCCAACGCACCATCTTGTTCACCCAACACTCCACCACCCACAACTCGGCCATCGGCCAGTTCGTGGAGAAGTGCCACCTGGAGGGTTTGTTCGCCCTCTCGGGCGTGGGTTTGTCGATCTTCACGTCCGAAAGCGACGCCAAAGAGCACGTCTACGCCGCCGTCAGCGACACGCCGGCCGTCTGGGAGGTGAACGTCGGCAGGAAGTGGAAGACCCTCACGCTGGAGCTCGCCTCCTGGGTGGAGGACAAGTACCGGCTGCACTACAAGAAGTGCCAGCTGAAGGACTACATCCACATCGACTTCGAGAAGATGTACATGCTGAAGCCGTTCTTCGCCGAGCTGCGGAGGAGCTACAATCCCGCGGTTTATTTCCAGTTCAGGAGGTCCGCGCATCACGCGTACTACGACTTGAGGTTCCAGTACGTGCAAATCGACAATAAGCAGAGCAACAACGTGATTTTCTACCCGTTGTACTCGAGGGGGCTGAAGGAGAACGGGCCGTTCCTGGAGGTGGCCGTGGCGAAGACGCGCTCGCTGGACGTCGATTTTTACAGGTACGTGAAGTTCGACGTGAAGAATTTCTTCTTGCACGTGGAGGACGACGTGGTTTTGAAGATGGCGGATCTGGCGCGGAAGAGCAAACGGTTCAAGGAGGAAGTGCTGGGGGTGTACGTTAGGGAAGTTAAAAGTATACATAAGTCGATTACAGCAAGAAATAACGTAAGTAAATGATATAAATAAACGACAAACAGAAGACACAGTATTTTTAGGAAACCATTCGATGCGCTAAATCTCCTATAGAGCACTTATCATCTACGAGTTTTGGAATACAATTGAATATTTCCAATCGAACTCCGATGAGTTTCACCGCAGACGGTCGACCTTTCTGTAAACTTTTGGACTATTTGTTTCCTTATAATATGTCGCCATATATGCCAATGGAAGGTGTCCATCACAAGTAAGTCCATTATTTAATCTACTTGCGTTCTGAGACAATTTTGATTGTTATAGCTTTGTTCCAACAGGCATGTTGCAATATACCAACGAATATCGATTGATTTTTTTACAGAATCTCGCCCGTCCTGCACGTCGACCTAAACACCACCCTTCCGAACGCAATGCGCAATCTATTCGACCAAATTTGCACGCAATTCCTTCAGCAATACTACTCGCACGTGCTGGGCCTGCAAGTGCTGGTGAACTCGTTCGCCATTCAACCGACTATCGAGGTGATTTACCCACAACACACCCCAATTCCTCCACCACATGAATTTCTTACTAATTCCAGATCGACGGGGCGGAGCGGGATAAAACAGCCGATGTCCTGCTGTACGCGTCGCGGTGCCTCCTCGGCCACGTGGACATGTCCCCGGCGGCCGTGGAGGCGTGCGTGGTGGACATCTTCGCCAACCAGAACATCGAGAACATCCAGAGGATTCGGCGGCACGGGTCCTACCACAAGTCGGAGATCGTGCCCAAGACGGTGACGATATCCAGCAGGAACTTCGTCACCGGCGTGCCGAACGCCTTGGGCCAGTTGATTGTGACCAACCAAAACGGTAACTAGCGTTGTTTGTCCGCTCGAACTCGGTTAATGGGATAATTAGCAGGTCTAAACTGCGACGGGGAGATGTTCTTCAGGACCACGGGGAAGGCTTTACAGTCGCTGATTACGCGCCATCCTGACGACAAGTCCGACAGCGTGGAGGTGGCCAAAGAGGCGTTGAGAAGAGCCTCTATTTTGGGAGAGCCGATTAGAATGCATCTGAGGTTGACCAGATACAAAAACAAGCATTTGGTGAGCTGTTTTTGACTTTATTCAATCACAAAATTCTAATTGAGCATTTCAGGGCCTTCGACCATTGTCTGTGCACGATTCGATAGGTCAATACCTAATGGAAACCATAGGGAATTCGAGATACGCCAACGATACTTATTGGACTCACGCAGCATTGGACAAAATCGGGAAATCCATAATCATAGTTACTTTAGAGTGAGTTCAAAACGTGCTACTTAATATTTAAATAATCACATTATTTTGCGACATTTTTAGGCATATAATCAGGGTGAACAAGTGCCGTTTGTGGGGCCCATGGGAAATAGAATGGGCGGTCGAGTTGGATGATATTATTGCCATTCCCAAGATACATGGTACAGATTTAGTACTAAATTTGAGACAGGTAAGAATTTCTTCAATAATTTTACATTTTTTTATCGAATTTTTCTTAAGAATGAGTCGACAACCGGAAAGCTCCAGCAAATTAAAATCGACGGACAGAAGGAGATGTTGGTTTGGTTAGATGAGAAAATCGAACAGGCGATTTTCCTAAGCATGGAGGAAAAATCGTGGGTATCGATCGACAACTAATAAAGAAATGGTAATTTTATAAACAAAATAAATAAAGATGTTTTATTGTTCATAAATGTTTAACTACATACAAATGGATTTGTTGTATCAAAATAAATTTTATTGGAGTCTATTCAGTGAAAATGTTGTGTGTTTTTATTTTAGAAGAACCAACCTTTTTGAACAAAAAATTGGAGATTAAACAAATAAATATCTATTATTAAAAAAATTATAATTACTTTAACAATTCTATTCATTAGTTTTTTTCACTTTTACTTTTCTTTTTCCTCCTTTTTCTTTTTGGTTGAACTTCCTCCTCTTCATCTTCCTCTTCTATCGATACTACATCATCAACAGCAGGTTCCTGTTCCTCTTCAGGCTCCTCTTCCTCTTCAAGTTCCTCTTCAGGCTCCTCTTCCTCTTCAGGTTCCTCTTCCTCTTCAGCCCCTTCTTCCTCTTCGGGCTCTTCTTCCTTTTCAAGTTCCTCTTTTTTTAGATTAACTGGCGGAAGAATAACTAACGAAGTAAGCCGACAATCAGAGTTTGTTTTGCAAAGTTCCTGCAAATCTTTATCATAAACCTTTATTTCTCCACCGCTAGACCCCGAGATTATCCATTCATCGTAACTCACAAGCGCTTTTATCCTATCTTTGTGGGCTTTGTAGACTTTCTTCTTTAACGACGACAATGTCAGTAAGCACAAGTTCCCATCTTCGTAACCCACCAACAGTTTTTTATCATTATACCAAATGCAGCTGCTCACTTTTACATCGTGTTCGATAACTTGAACCACCCCTCCCGATTCGATGCTCCATATTTCCGTGTATTTACCACCGAATAAAAGAAACCTCACCCCGTCCGCAGCCCACGAAATCTTACACAAACTCTTGGCATCCTTGCTTTTGCTTCTCAAGTTTATAGCGTACGCTTGCCTGCCTTTCACCAAATTCCACGTGCGAAGTACACAGTCCTCCCCCAAACTCAAAGCGAGCTTGCTCGACTGGTGCACAGCCACGTCTAATATCGCAGCGCCCTTGTGGGCCTTGCCCCACATCTTCTCCACCTGCCAATTGCCCACTCGAGTAACGGAGAGCACTCCGTTTTGGCTGCCCGAGACCAGGTGAGAGTGGTTCGGGGTGAATTCCAGGCAAGTCACAGTCGAGTCGTGATGGGAGAGCATGAAGTGCTCCTTGCGGTGCTTGAAGTCGTAGAGGATGATGCGGTCGTCCGCTGCACCGGAGGCCACGAAATGGGCTGATGCAGCGACACATCGAACGCTCGCTGTGTGGTCGTGCGAAGCGAAACTCTGAACGAGACGTTTGCCCTGTACGAAAATAATTTAGTAGTAATTTATTAGTAGTATGTTTTAAATTCATATATCATTTAAATATACGGGGGGAAAATAAAAATGATAATTAGTAAATTTAATTTACCTTATGGAAAAAGTCATATCCCAAAAGAAATTCTTCGTATGTTCCTGCTATTATTTCAAACGTTTTCATTTTAGGTAAATTAGTAGCTGTATTTTCGTTTTGAAAACACAACACAAGAACACATTTATTTTTGAATTGGAGTTTTCTAGGTTAACTTCTCTTTCGTTTCAAAATTGTGCCTCGATTCCTTTAGCTATTAAGCCATTCGGGTTGACAATTTTTAAATCGAAAATGGCCTATTTCTAGTCTGTACTTCGGTGAGCAATGAACATTTTTATTGACACTAAATAACAGAAAAAAACTAGCATATTTTGCCTATGCTTAATAAAATCTATTCCGTCGTTTAAAATATTTGCAAGTTAATAACATACTCATGCAAAATAAACAAGTATTGTGATAATTACATAGATAGAAGTAGCTGAGTAACTATGCCTATACCCGACAGTAGTCACTACATACACAGCCACACTAACAGGTAAAATTTTATTAGTAATAAATCCACTAACTAGAAACCAGGACAAACGTTTATTGAGTTACAATTATTTACAACTTATTCAAATCTCCATACCCATTAACTTCGTGCAAATTCGTATTCTTGAACGTCAACAAAATATCACCTTTGATCAAATGCTTGTACGATTTCTTGGGCCCCATTTGATTGATGTGGTACACCGGTGTTTTCTTGTTCAAATTCGCCAACCTGAATTTCAATTTAGTCCCATCGGGTAATTGTTCGTTGTCTCCGTGCGGGTTACCCACTTCGCCTACCATAATGTCATCAACTGTAACGACATTGGTTTTCGCCTCGTTCAAATCATTTTCCACTTCGGCTTGGCAGTTATCGATGGTTTTAGCGAACGCGTCGACGTTTTCGTCCAGTTGGGTTTGTTGCTTGTTGAAATTGTGGTTATCGACTCCTTTTTTGCTCTTCTTTTTGATTAATTGTTGCAAATCTTTCGTTCGCTTACTAGATTTTCCGTTGGTTTTGGATGTATCGACGGTTTCTTCTTGTGTTACTGGTGTTGATGTTACGTTTAATACCAAGTCGCACTCTATTTCGTTCGAATTAGATAAGTCTAGAGCAGGATTCGTTACGCCTTTGTCCTTTTTTTTAATCTTTTTTGAGGCCACTTCGAATCGGTTAGAATCTTCTTTAGGTGGTTCTTGATTTTCTGTATATCCTAGATTATCTATTGCTAATGATTTGGATTTTTTCTTCTTTTTCGGCTTAATTTCGTAAGGGTTTACTTCGATGGTTGTTGTTTCCATAGCAACTTCATTCGATTCGTTAAAAGTAGGATTATCAATTTCTAGCTGTTTCGTTTTCTTTTTCTTTGGTTTAATTTCGTATGGATTTTCTTGGTTGGATTCTTTCATAACAACGTCATCTGTTGCGTTGAATGTAGGATTATCTTCGGACTGTTTCGTTCTTTTCTTTTTCTTTAGTTTTACTTCGTAAGGATTTTCTTCTATGTTGGATGTTTCCATAGCAACATCTTCAGACTCGTTAAATACTGGATTATCTAGCTCTAATTGCTTGGATTTTTTTTTCTTTTTCAGTTTAACCTCGTACGGATTATCTTCTATGTTTGATGATTCTGTAACTATTTCTCTAGATTCATTAAATGTTGGATTATCCAGTTCCAACTGCTTAGCTTTTTTTTTCTTTTTCGTTTTAACCTCATATGGATTTTCTTCCATATTTGATGATTCTGTAACTGCTTCTTCAGTTTCGTTAAATGTTGGATTATCCAGCTCCAATTGCTTAGCCTTTTTTTTCTTTTTCGGTTTGATCTCGTATGGATTTTCCTCTACTTTCGATGATTCCGTGGCGACTTCTTCGGCTTCGTTAAATGTTGGATTATCTACCTCTAATTGCTTCACTGTTTTCTTCTTCGTATACATATATCCATTAGTATTTTCTACATTATCAATACGAATATTTTCGTGGACTATGATATTTTTATTCTTCCTTTTCTTCGGTTTTATCTCACTGTCATCGTCAACCTTTTTTAATTGTGTCGAATCATCGGATACTTGTGTCCCTTCTGTTTGAATGCTTGTGTTAGAATTCTCATCAGCTTCTTCTGCGATGGGATTTAAAAAGCGTTTTTTAATTTTAATGGGAGTCGACATGGGATTGTAAGCGGGATTCGATACACCACAATCATCGTCTGTTTTCAATTTCTTCTTGGCTTTCTCGGAATCTGAATCAATTTTTCTTTTATTATTTCCATCTTCTTCGTTTGTATCATTTGATTTTAATTTGCTACTAATATAACCGAATCCGAATGTTGGCTTTATGATATCGCATTCCTCCATTTTCAATACCCCGTTGGCACCAACGACGTAACGATTGGTTTTACCAAAACTCGGTAATTTCTTTTTGAAATAATCTGCCATCGAGCCTGCATTTACTAAAAATTCCGATGAGGTTTTTTCAGTTTCGTCTTGATTGATGTTGTCTTTGTTAGTCTCGGTTTCATTTTGTGTAGGTTTTTTGAGCGATTTTTTACCAAATATGCTTGCTAAATCTTTCTCCGAAGCCCTGCTTAGGTCTTTGCCTCTCGTAAATTTATGGTAATGAACTCTAGCCCTCGATGCTTGCGATTTTTCTTCCAGTGAGCTAAATTTTTTGGTGCTTATATCAATTTCCTCACATGTTAGGGATTGTAACAAAGCGCTAAAATTAGACTCGTGCTCTGTCCATTGATCATTCGATTCTTTGAAACCCATACCTTTAAAATAACAGTAACAATTAGAATTGTAAGTGCACAAAAAATGTGAAATTTACCTGCACTATCGTTTTTGTATGAAACTTTTACGTGCTCGGTTATTCCGTTTTCTTTGGCTCCCAAACCTTTGCCGTGTTTCCATCCCATTTTTTCCAACAGTTTTTGGCCAAATTTGTTTGTATCTTGAAAATAATTAGGTAGTTTAGAAATTAATTAGATAGTTAATCATTTCACTTACCTTGCGACCATTCTTTTCCACGAGGATTTAGGGACCATTTTTGCTTCCGTCTAGGCTCTGCTAACATGGACATTTTAAAACATATGTAGTTCTGAATTAATAACGATAAAATAGAGCTAAGAAAGAATAAAAACCACCAAAAAAACGGAATACAAATATTGCCGTTACAAGACAGGTGGTGACTGTATGGTGATTAAAATTAAAGAAAATTTTAGGTTATGTGTCAAAGTGACATGACATATGACTTTTGTTGGTTAAAAAGAAGAATATAAAAAAAGTAGAAAAACGTTGACACAAGATGTCAAGAATGTCAATTTCAACAATTCAATTTTTGTAAAAAGGGTTTGGAGTTTGGCGAATTTTAAACTATGATTTAAACATAGACAATAGAAGGTTTTAAAGTTATAGAGGAAAAACTAGTGCCTTATATATGCAATATTAGATATCATGGATCTTGTTAAAGAAATAAAAATGTACTGGCCTGACATGGAAATCGCTACAAACAATTTAAAAACACCCACCACTTTTTTCATAATGGATCTCTTCACGAGATTTCTTAAGGAAGTTAAAAAAATGGTACGTATTTCTCGTAAGTTAAACAAGTTTTCATTAACCGATTATCTTTATTAGGACCTTATTTGTTGTAACTTGAACGAAGAAGTGGAAGAAATTGATGTGATCGAAGACGAGAAATCAATATACATGAAGTTGAAGACTTTTCCTATATTCGAAATGGTCGATATAAATCTAATGCTCAGCGACATCATAGCACCAAGTTCTAAACGCACGAAAGTCATCACAAAAATCATTGTTAATTTCTTGAACCTTTACCAAACTTGCCTGCCCGATGTTCACGCAAGCATCACACCTGCCTTAGAGGCCATTGATGATTATAACAAGATTTGCAATGAAAGAGAAGCGTTCGAGGAGGAAATACCACAATTGCAAGCTAGGAAAACAGAGTTAATTAATAACAATGCGGTTTTAGTAGACAGTATAAAAAAACTGGAGAAGAAAGAAGAGGAAGCTCAAATTGTTCACAATGAATCGGAGGAGTATAGAAAAACATTGAAGTCCTTCGAAGATGAAGTGGGGAATATTAAAAACTCCAACATCGCTCTTGAAGAGGAAATAGCTCACCTTTCAAGCGAAATCGTACCTCCTGAAGAATTCACTACTGCAAAAGTATCACTTGATAAACTAAAAGCCGAAGTGCATAACATGGAAGCATATGAAACTGGTTTGCAACAAGAAATTAAAAATATCATCAAGATGCACGATCATGCAATGGAGTGCACATACAATATTCCCAACGAAATTAACACAATGACGCCCAAATGGAGTTTATTAAAAGAGCAAAGAGAAGAGCTGTGTAACCAATTGGCTACTTTGAAAGACGATTATTCCGCAATTAAATCGTCCCACGACAAAGTAATAGCAGATATGTTAAATTGCGAGAAGAGCTTAGTGAAATTGAAGCAAAACATCACCACAACCAAGAAGATTGTCGAATTAAAAGCCAACAGTTTGATGAAACTTCGATTGGAGTCTATTAAAACGAATAAAGAAAATATGAGGAAGTTTTCCATTAGAATTGAGGAGCTGAAGCAGTCGATTTCGAAATTGGAAGATGCAAAGGGGAAATTTTTGGAAGAGTTCAAAAAGGAATATGAGGAAGCACTGAAAGAGAGAGAGCAGTTTTTTTGTAGTTTAAATTTGAAGTAAATTGAAGTTACAAGTTACTTACACTTTACATTTTATTACATAAGTATAATTTATAATCAACAATGCTACAAAATACATGACTAATTAATCTATTATTTACATAAAAATTGGTACTTATTGTTTCGTAAATTGACAAAATACATCACTAAAGTGGAGCGATATGTTTGGTACTTGTGGTTATTGTATTTGTACGTATACATATTTTTAAACCCTGATTTTCATGCTATAAAAATGCTACAATGAAATTAATTTCACTAATACTACATTATTCGTTTCTGGTGATCCTTAGATTAAATTTTTTATTTTCGCTTTCTTCAAAATAAACTCCAAGTCTTTCAGTATCTTATTGCTTATGTCGAATCTGCTCTCTTTGGTATCCGAATCAACACAAGCTTCGATGTGGCTGAACAGCTTCGAGTGCCGACTCGTGATGTTCTTCGGGGGATTGTAGAGAAGTCCGCCTTCCATCATAGGCCAGGGAGCGTTTTTCGAAAGTAGTAACTGAAATTTAATTAAAAAAAGTACTTAATCGGTTTTAGTTTATGCAAACTTACTCGACAAATTCCATATACGTTATGATCGCTCAATGTTCCAGCACAAATGGCCTTCGGATCGAAAGAATACTCCACTTCATCATGCCTGGTGTAATGTGTTTTAGAACTGGAAGAATCGCTGGATTTCTTCTTTAAAATGGCGTGTTCGAGGTCGATGAAACTCACTTCGAGATCGTGATCCACTGCTATGTTGTCCGGGGATATATCGGTCAAGTACAGACGGAACTCGCGATGCTTATCCGTGAAGTTTAGAGCTGCGTTGAGTAAGTTAAAGGCCACTTTCGCCCTTTGGTACCACGTGAACTTTTCGATGTTCAACAGAGGCCTCCCGGCGTTTTCTTGAACAGTTAGCCTACCGCAGGCTCCGTAGAACTTGGGTACAGGAAACGCTTGTTCTTTGTTGAATAGTTGAAACAGTATCGGTTCAGCGTTAATGCTCAACACGGTATACGTGCTTTTGATATTCGATAAATTCAGCACCTCCCAAAAAGCATCGAACGTTTCATTATCGCAGATGTAGAAAGGAGGAAACTCCGAATTATCGAGAGTTTGAGTGAGTTTGAAGTTCAACGTGCCCTTCAGCAATTTCAGGTTGATGATCTTATCGTTGATTTCTCTATCGAACTTTCGCAACTCTGAATTGTGCGCCAACTTCTTCAGAATCACTGGCTTATTGTCGTAGGTGGCGAAAAACACGTTCTTCACACTGAGAATGTTGTAAATGAAATCCGAAACGCGCCCATAATGTAAAGTTATTTTATTCTTTGCTATCTCATTACACATGTTCTTGCCGTAACAATACGGGCACGATTTTATTTCACAAAGCTCCGACACAGTTTTCTGCTTGATAACTAAGAAACTAACGCCTAATATTAGAGGAATGAACAGCGAGTAGAAGTAGTAGGATTTCGCCATTTGTGTGCGAATTTTTTAGGTCTACTGATCACTTTTCGCTCCTTGCTGTAGCGCCTTTTGTCTGAACGTGTACAACTCTCGAACCCACTTCTCCATACGAGCCTCTTCATTCAAAAACAACTGCAATAATGAAACAATGTTTGTTAGGTACGTGTTTAAATTGAAACTGTGCCAATATTTCAGAGTAAATTCACTATAAACATATTAAACTACATGATTGATATTATGCCAATAATTATTTGATGATGTGAGTTTGAGATTAAAATTAGATTGAAATAAAATACTAAACTATTTAAAAATATACAAGGTATAGACACATCAGTATTGATCGCTATGTAATAAACATGTTCTTACAGAGCTCTCTCAAGAATGTTTTCTAATTTTAATTACTCTTTAATCTCTCCGAATGTAAAAACTTACACTATGGTGAAATATGCTGTCGGGTTCAACTTGCTCGATTTCCGGTACTTTAATGGTATTCTTCCTCAAATCGATGACAATGTTGTCTGGAACCTTTTTGGATTTGCTAGAAGTAAATTGTTTTGGGGCGAAACTGTTATCGTTAATTTCCTCCAATATGTCATTATCTACTATCACACAGTCTGGTGAGTCTCGTTTATCGCTCTTCTTGCTTTTGTTGGTAATTTCCTTTTCTTTGGAAGCTGTATTTTCTTTCCTTTTGGATTTATATTTGTCTTGTTTGCCGCCACTGCTGCTACTAGAACTCGATTCTGAGCTTGACCTTTTCTTCGGTTTACTCGTAAATTCTGTGATATAATCTTTCGATCGTGATCTTCTAGTTCTGTATCTGTCTCTCGAACGTGAGCGAGATTTCGTTCTCTTGTATCTCTCTCGATGTCTATCTCTAGAGTTCGAGCGTCTCGATTTTGATTTCGATGATGATTTATAAGAAGTACTTCTGCTTCTTGATTTCCTGCATAAAAGCATGAAAATGAGGTTGTTGGGAAATATTCGAATAGTTAGATCTCACCTGTTTCTCGAGTACTTTTCCTTAGACCTATCCCTACTTCTAGATCTGCGAGATCGCTGATCTCGTCTTCTTTTGCTTCTACAATCACTCGAACTTGAAGACGAAGATCTACGAATATTGTTAATACTGCATTTTGAGCCTAAATCGAGTGCCAATTTCGCATCAAGCACTTTTTCAGTCTTACCTACGTCTGCTTCTATTTTTGCCAGAGGCTTTACTGGTACGCTTTTCATTTTCAGAATCACTCGAATACTTACCCATCCTCTTATCTAAACTTATTAGAGCACAAATGTTAGGGATTAGGTTAATTTTGTAGCAAGATCATGCACAATTAATGTTTTAATTGGTGTAACATTATTACGCTCGTCTCAGTTCCTGTTTTTTTATTGCATATTGCAAAAAAATTAAAATAATGCTTTCAGATGACAAGAATGAAAGATAACAATGACGTTTCTTCTTTTTTGTTTGAAGTTTTAAATACCTTGTTTAGCCTTCCTAAGTGTCGCATCCAGCCAACAAAAAAATTGTTTCAGAAACTTCTTCTTCTTTTTATATTTAGACTTCTAACCTTCAATATTCTTCTTATAACTGTTTAATTATTCAGTTTGTGTATAAATATTGAATATCATTCCTTTTTTGGATTATTAGAACAAAAGCAGTGTTTTTCATGTAATTATTTAGAAAAATATATTTTCCAACCTCGTCAGAATTACACCAAAGATGTTTTTACTACTATTATTCGGTAATATTTTAGGAGCTCTGGCAGAATTTGATCCATTGGGATATATTTTATACTGTCCTTGTATGGGTAGGTAAACCAATCATTATTTAATTTCAACATAACTAAAAATCCTTGTTTTCAGGAAGGTTTGGTAACCAAGCAGACCATTTTCTAGGCTCTTTAAGTTTCGCTCATAGTTTGAATCGAACACTAGTACTTCCTCCTTGGGTCGAATATAGATATGGAGAACCGAAGTCAATTCAAGTGCCTTTCAACACCTACTTCAAAGTCGAACCTTTGCGAAAATTCCATAAGGTTATACTCATGGAAGATTTCATGAAAGACATTGCTCCTTACGAGTGGCCAAACGATAAAAGAATATCATTCTGTTACACAGCCAGAGGTGATTATTTGCACGATAATTTAAAGCATACTCTATTAAATTTAATGTTTTCAAATATATAGGAGCTGGCGATAACTGTAATGCGAAGGAAGGAAACCCTTTCGGTCCATTCTGGGATACGTATAATGTAGATTTTATCGGATCAGAATTCTATGGACCATTACATTACGATACCCATAATCATGACGTTGTTAAGCAGTGGAAAACGAAGTACTCGCCTAGTGAATGGCCTGTACTTGCTTTTACAGGTAGCCAATCGATTACGATAATCTCTTTCGTTTCAACATTCATTTCAACTTTTAGGTGCTCCGGCAATCTTTCCGGTACAACAAGAAAACCTTCCCCTTCAGAAATATTTGGAATGGTCCAATAATATAGAAGACAAAGCCAATAGTTTCATCAGAAATATACTGCCAAAGGGTGCTTTTATCGGAATCCATCTACGCAATGGTATAGATTGGGTAAGGGCTTGCCAACACATACCGGAAAGTCCAAACCTATTTGCTGCCCCGCAGTGCATAGGTTACAGGAGCGAGAAAGGCCCAGCTACTAGTGACATGTGCCTACCTAGCCACGAAACAGTAGTCAGGCAGTTAAAACGGGTTATAAAAAATATTAACAATTCTCCTAACAATAACAACGATCGTTCGATTAAGTCGATATTCGTCGCTTCGGACAGTAACCATATGATCGAACCACTGAAAACTGCCTTGGAACGAATGAAAATTAAAGTGTTTAAATATCCGGAATCTAATCCTCATGTTGACCTCGCAATTTTGGGTAAATCGAATCACTTTATAGGGAATTGCATATCGTCTTTTAGCGCTTTTGTAAAAAGGGAAAGAGATGTTAGAGGTTTTCCTTCTTCATTTTGGGCTTTTCCTGCATTGAAATCTACTAAAAATAATTTAAACCATGAAGAATTGTGATCTAGTATCAGGTTTAGAACTCGTTTATTAGTAGGTTTGTATTCGTAGTTATTTTCTACACAAAATCAAACTTTTAATCCTCGTAAAAAACGGATTAATAAAGTCTTATCTCATTTTAAGTAATTTTTAGTTGTAAAATTTAAACTAAAAGCCATTCACGCTCTTATGCCGTGCACAATTATGAATGTTCTTTACATGACAATTTTTGAGAATTGCTAGTTCAGCATTTAAGTATTAATTTTAATAGGAGGCAACTTTATTTTTGAAAGTTTTTAAGACTGTTCTATTTATTTGACTATTATTTCAACTTTATATTTTTTTAATAAAAGTTTTCCCAGTTTTCCGGTTTCTTTTTGAGCAATAAACTTCAAATACATTTGTTTTTATAAATTATGTATACGGAATACGTAGACTTCATAAAAAATGTTAGAAATACCGTTTTAACGGTAGACCTGACAACAGTGTAGAATATGGAATGCTGGCCTCTGATGTTGTATGCGATCAGTACTTCAAAAAGCAGATGTACGATAAAAGTCAAATGTCATATTTTAAAAGAAGAAGAATATAACCTATCTGTGGTGTATTGTTATTATTCTAATGAACGTTCATTTTTAGATTCATCTTGTTTCGTTATAAAAACTCGAAATGGATTCCGAATTAAACGTTCATCGACTTGAAGGTAGCACGTCCACCGAAGGGGGATTAATTGTGACGAAAAAATCCACTCCCAGTACACCTGCTTTCAAAGTGCCCCAAGTTTCTCTATTTGGATTAGACAAATTGGCTGCACAAAAGCGAAAGGAAAGAGAAATAGCCGCCAATAAAATATCCTTCGATATCAACGAAAGCGAATTCAAAGATAGCGATGGCCAATCTCCCACGAATTCAACCGATAAAACAGAATCCGAGTATAAAAAAGATGGCATGAAAAGGAAGTTCAGGGAACCCCGAGAGGAAACGCCAACTTACACGGGAGGTATCAGCAGAGAAGCGCGAGATCGCCTCGTACACCGGCTGAATAACTCCTCGAAATCGAAGGGAGTCTATGCAACCACGAAACACAGCAAACATTCGGACGATCACGAAAGAAAGCGGCACAAAGACCGAGAACGAAGTAGAAATAGGGACAAACACCATCACCAAAACAGATCCCTGAGGCATTCCGAACGAAGCGATGCAGAGCGTACTCCGAAATTCAAAGACGAACCGAAAACTCCCAGCATTTACCCCAACCCCAAGGACATTACATCCAAAACCGCTTGGGACGAAGACGATCCCGAGACGCCTGTGAAAAAGTCTACTTGGGATTACCCCACACCTTTACTGCACAAAACCAAAGGGGTGGAATGGTCGGAAAGGAGCAGCAGATCTCATAGATCGTTAAGGGACAGTAAAGGTATTTATTTAAGTAGCAAAATAAGGTCACACTTGGCTGTTATTCTACTTGGCCTATTGGGAATAATTAATTGACTAATTTTTTATTTTAGGTGGTAAATATGAGGACGACACGCCAAGACCTACTCCAGCGCATAAGTTCAACAATTGGGCGAAAGATAGGAGGAAGACGGGCGCCACTCCAAATCTCGAGGAAAAGGTTAAATGGGATAATACAGTCGATAGGGAGAATTGGGAGGAAGAGCAGAAGCGATTAGACCGAGAGTGGTACAATATGGATGAAGGTTACGATGATGAGAACAATCCGTTCGCTAGCGTCAGTGAAGAGTACACAAAAAAGAAAGAGGAACAGTTGGAACGTAGAAAGAAAAAACGCTTATCCGCACAACAGAGACAGATTAACAAGGATAACGAGTTGTGGGAGCGAAACAGAATGCTTACTTCGGGTTTGTTTAGCACAATTATTTCGTATATGAGTGTATAATATAGTCAATTTTTAGGTGTCGTACATTCCGTTGATTATAATGAGGATTTCGACGAAGAATCCATAGACAGAGTTCACTTGTTAGTCCATAACATAGTACCTCCTTTTCTGGATGGGAGGATAGTGTTCACCAAACAACCCGAGCCTGTTGTTCCTGTCAGAGATCCCACTTCCGATATGGCTTTGGTAGCCAGAAAGGGTTCGCACTTGGTGCGAGTGTACAGGGAACAGAAGGAAAGAAGGAAGGCGCAAAAGAAGCACTGGGAATTGGGCGGTACGAAAATCGGTAACATTATGGGCATAAAGAAAACCGAAGATGAAGAAGATAAGAAATACAATAAAGAAGACGACACGACCGATTACAAAGCGGATCACAAATTCGCCGAACACATGAAAGATACAAGTAAATATGTTAAAATTTCTACCCAATAACAATATAAAACGTATTATATTTTTAACAGGTGCGGCGAGTAGCGATTTCGCGAGGAAAAAAACCATCGTCGAGCAAAGGCAATACTTGCCCGCGTTCGCCGTACGACAGGAGCTCCTGAATATAATCCGGGAAAATTCCGTGGTGATTATCGTCGGCGAAACCGGCAGCGGGAAAACCACACAACTCGCGCAGTATTTGCACGAAGAGGGCTACAGCAAGTACGGAATGATCGGGTGCACGCAACCCCGTCGAGTAGCCGCCATGTCTGTAGCGAAGCGAGTCAGCGATGAAATGGGAACTCAACTAGGTATTTAAATCTATACATTATATTGAAATATTGCCTACCTATCAGGTGCAAACCAGAACCTTCACTCTCCATATGATTGCTGAACTTACAATAATTAAGCTAAACATATAATTTACTAATTAAGTGAATTTGTAGGAGACGAAGTAGGTTACGCCATTCGTTTTGAAGACTGCACTTCGGAGAAAACGGTCATCAAGTACATGACCGATGGTATTTTGCTGAGGGAAAGCTTGCGAGAATCCGATTTGGATCATTACAGCGCCGTAATTATGGACGAGGCGCACGAACGCTCGCTCAGCACAGACGTTCTCTTCGGGCTGCTCAGAGAAATCGTAGCTAGAAGACACGATCTCAAATTAATCGTGACTTCAGCCACGATGGACAGTAGTAAATTTTCCATGTTCTTCGGGAACGTTCCTACCTTTACTATACCTGGTATGAGTCTTAGTTTATAAACAATAGTAGCAGCTTCTACATTCTAGTAAGAGAGTTTTAACCCCACTAATTGGAATATTTTTTTAGGAAGAACCTTTCCAGTAGAGACTTTGTTCAGCAAGAACCCTGTCGAGGATTATGTGGACGCTGCGGTGAAACAAGCCCTGCAAATCCATCTTCAGCCCCCTTCGGGCGATATACTTATCTTCATGCCTGGTCAAGAGGACATTGAAGTCACCTGCGAAGTGTTGACAGAACGTTTAGGGGAAATCGACAACGCGCCAGAATTGTCGATATTGCCCATCTACTCTCAATTGCCGTCCGATTTACAAGCCAAGATATTCCAGAAATCCGCGGAGGGTATAAGGAAATGCGTGGTTGCTACGAATATAGCGGAAACCTCTCTAACAGTAGATGGTATAATTTTCGTGATCGATTCTGGTTATTGTAAATTGAAAGTGTATAATCCGAGGATAGGTATGGATGCTTTGCAAGTAAGTTTGTTAATAAACAGCAACGATATTAATTAGGTTAATATCGAATTTTCTTTTGTAGATTTACCCCATAAGTCAGGCGAACGCCAATCAACGTTCGGGCAGGGCTGGTCGAACGGGCCCCGGCCAGGCTTTCAGATTGTACACCGAACGACAGTACAAAGATGAATTGCTAATAACAACGGTACCCGAGATCCAAAGGACCAATTTGGCCAACACGGTACTGCTGCTAAAGTCGTTGGGCGTGCAGGATTTGTTGCAGTTCCATTTCATGGATCCTCCTCCGCAGGATAACATTTTGAATTCGTTGTACCAATTGTGGATATTGGGCGCTCTCGATCACACCGGCGTTTTGACCAAATTAGGTACGTACAATGCACAAAATAAATCTTAAGGGGAATCACGGAGACGCTCGGAAACTTCACTACAATCTTCCTAAATCCAATAACACTTAAATTAAAAGCTAAATGTTTTTTTTAAGGTCGCCAGATGGCCGAATTTCCGCTGGATCCACCCCAATGCCAAATGCTGATAGTCTCATCGCAAATGGGCTGCACGGCCGAAATTCTCATTGTAGTCTCCATGTTATCCGTACCATCGATCTTCTACCGGCCGAAAGGCAGGGAAGAAGAAGCGGACGGCGTCCGAGAGAAGTTCCAAGTGCCCGAAAGCGATCATTTGACATTCCTGAACGTATACAACCAATGGAAGCAAAACAACTACTCGTCGCATTGGTGCAACGAGCACTTTATACACGTGAAAGCCATGAGGAAGGTGCGAGAGGTGCGACAGCAATTGAAGGATATAGTTATGCAGCAGAAATTGGAGATCAAATCGTGCGGCACCGATTGGGATGTGGTTAGAAAATGCATTTGTTCGGCCTACTTCCATCAAGCCGCTCGATTAAAAGGTAAATAATAGTTCTCCATTATCCAAATTCTTGTAATTTACCTCAAATTTTATTATCCCTAGGTATCGGTGAATATGTAAACTGCAGAACGGGCATGCCCTGCCACTTGCATCCCACCTCCGCCCTTTTCGGTTTGGGAAACACCCCCGATTACGTGGTGTACCACGAATTAGTGATGACCGCCCGAGAGTACATGCAATGCGTGACCGCCGTCGACGGGCATTGGCTCGCCGAGCTGGGTCCCATGTTCTTTTCGTTGAAGGAAACCGGAAAATCCGGCAGGGCCAAGAAGAAACAAGCGGCCGAGCATCTGCTCGAAATGGAAAATCAGATGCAAGTGGCGCAGGAGGAGATGAAGGCGAGGAAAGAGGCGGCGGAGAAGAAAGTGGCCGCGTTGCATAAGGGACAGGAAATCGTGTCCGCCGGCGCTACACCGAGAAGGACCCCTTCGAGATTCGGATTGTAGTTTGTAATATAAAGCGCTTTTGTTATACAGATTATATTATAGATATATCTTGTATAATAAACTTAATTTTATGGTAAACTTAACAATAGGAATGAAACTTAGGTTAACTGAGTTTTGGTACTGACTCGGAAATTCATGAATTAATATACCCGAAACGATAATCCATAATGGTGTGAAATATCTTAAAAACAACTAAACTGTATGAAAAATAATTTATAATTTAAAATAAACTCTTAAATAATGGAAATAGTCAAATAAGAGTACCGTTAATAAAATAAAACATTTCATTTAGTGTACAAGCAAAAAAAAATAACAATAATCAACATTACTTCTATAGGTTTGTTCCAGCAGAACGTTTTGTGTTGTTACGAACATTGTGAGCTAGCGCAATGTTATTTGGTGTTCTGAGTAAATGTTTGTTGTTCCGGCAGAATTCGTTTTTTGCATCATGTCTGAGATCTGCCAAACTGTTCTCGTTTGAAGTGAGAACATTTAGAACAATTCGAAAATAAGTATGGTGTTCCAGCAAGAAATGTTCAATACAGTACTGATACAAATGTAATTTGAACTTGAACATGCTGCTGGAACAAACCTTATTATGTAATACAGAATAAAATGACTTCAACGATCCTAATTCTTTTTATCGCTGATCATTGTTCAACATCAGAATCATAATCGCTTTCATACTCTGAAGTAGCATATTTATCTTGAAAAAATTGCCTTACCATCAAGTTAATAGCGGGTCTATTAGCCGGCTTACCGTAATGTTTGAATTCCCTTCTATGTTGCATATTCAACCTATAACAATATTGTCCGTAAACGCATACAAGGCGATGATCATTAGGATCGCTGTCGTAGTCATCGTCCCCCGGATGAGTGAAATCCTCCTTGTGCATCGGGTTTCTCCTGAAGATTATATTGCTTTAATCACACAATACAGTCACTAATAAAGATTATTTACCTGAAACAGTTTGAACCATACCAGCACCTATCTCGCCTCCAATCAGGATGTTCTATTTTCCAAGGAGGTACTCTGGCAGTACCGGAACTACTTCCTACATTTGCATCACTGGTAGAAGACGTTGGGTTATTTGAATTAGCTTCTAGCGGTTCAACTTTCACGGTAACTGGTAAATTATTATTCGCTTGATTTGTGGCAGTTACATCAGTCGAGCCACTATCTGAAGGTTCAAGTTTAACACTAACTGGTAGATTATTTTCTATTTCCACTTGATTCGTAGATGTTGTTTCGGTTGAAGTGGTATCTGGAGGTTCGAGTTTAACTTCGACAGGTAAACTATTTTCTGCTTCTAGTTGATTTGTATTGGTAATATTATCTATTTCCACTTGATTCGTGGATGTTGTCTCAGCTGAAGTGGTATCTGGAGGTTCGAGTTTAATTTGGACAGGTAAACTATTTTCTACTTCTTGTTGATTCGTATTGGTAATATTATCTATTTCTTCTCGATTCGTAGATGTTGTCTCAGCTGAAGTGGTATCTGGAGGTTCAAGTTTAATTTCGACAGGTAAACTATTTTCTACTTCTACTTGATTAGTGTTTGTAGAAGTAACATTTTCTGAGGAATTATTATCTTGTGGTTCAATTTTAATAGCACATTCCGAATCACTTGAATCTAATTCGTTAGCAGCGAAACAGTTTATATCTTTTGCTCTGATAAAAACAGTATCATCAGTTTTTGACGAACTCGTAGAAGAACTAGCAACGTTGCAACTCTCTTCGACGTTATCGATTTTAATTCTTTTATTAGGTGAAACAACAGTAGTATTTTCAACTAGGCGTCTTTTAAAGGGAACTGTTTCTTCTGATTTCTGTTGAATTAGCTTCACCCTGTACCAATTGCTTTTGCTTACTAATGAAAAAGAATCATCGTTATTTAAAGGTAGAGGTTCGTTCTTTTTAGATAATTTTATAAGCTCTCCACTCGATGATGATTTAATGAATGTCGGATTCTTATGCATCTAAAAACGCACTAAATTGGTGAAATACGTATAAGAAACGCAGTATAAACTTACAGCCTCTATGCTTGCTCCGTTCTGGTGAACTGTAATTAGGGCGTGCTTTCTGGATATTCTTGAGTCATCGGTCTAAAAAATGATAAGGAAACTAGAAAATTTATGAATTTTTGTCGTATGAGTTTGGTACTTACAGTTATAGGAAGCTTCCTTCCCATGATATGATGACCATATGGCAAAGACAAGAGGGCATTGCTGTAATTATGATCATCTTCTTTGTATATCTTAAGTATCGTCATGATTGAATTTTCAAAAAGGATATTATTTGTATAAAACAGAACTAATCCATCAAAACAAAAAAAATATAACCTTGAAAATGCCTTTTTCTTCTTCGTGCAATTTTGACTACTAACAATCCATAATTAGGCCTTTACTTTATCTAATCTCTAGTTACTTAACAATGAATGGCATATGGCATGATTGACAAGAGACATTAATGACATAACAAATAACCTAACTTTATTTTATAATTCCTTTCCTTGTTATTAATGTAATTGTATTTTGTTAAAATGAATACATTATTAAAATGCGTACAGAATTTTAGATTCAATGTATTTAAACAAACAAAACATCTATCTATATACCCAGCTTTAAGAGTAAAAGAAAGTAAGTACTAAGCCCCTACACTGCAAAACTCTACCATTTTTGCATCTTCAGTTCAAGAAAAGGAAACCAACAACGAATTAGTAATATCGGGAAAAATATTGGAATCAGGAAGAGAGCCCTATCTTCTTAAGAATGAACATCCTGAAGCGTGCCCCGTTTGCGCCTCTGGCCTGCAGATAAAGCATACCGATGTGCTTATATTAAGCCAGTTTATGAGATCTACTGGTGGAATGTTACCCAGAAGAATTACAGGTTTGTGCAGAAGATCACAGAAATATATTTCCAGCCTCGTTATAATGGCCAACAAAGCGGGTAAGTACACGTTATTATGTAAACAGTGAATACATTGTATTGTAACATGCTTTTAGGTCTAATGCCGCATCTTAAACCTGCGAATAGCCACAAGGATCCCAAAATGAGAAGAGGGTGGAAGAAATACAATAAATATTTCTATGAAAGCACTATTAAGATAAAATAAAATAATATGTTGTATAGTTTATTCGAGTTTCCTTCGATTCATCAGAACGTTTCCTTCTCGCTTCCATTCTCTTGTTTGCTTCATATCAGACTTACTTTCGTAAGGTGATTCAGAATTTTATTATCACAGATTTTTCAACGAGCTTTCTACTCGAATCCATCTTGATAATCCAAATTCGCCTTTTCCATGACTTTCTTGGGTTTCCTTTCAGAAATGGCATCTGCCAGATCAGTCTCCATTGTTTCGCTCTTCATTAGCTCGTTTTCTATTAGATCCTTGAAAGGACTGCCACTATACGAAGGCGCATTAATCATCTCTCTGATAAATCAAATAGAAATAAAGTAAGTACTATAAGAAATATTATAAACTTACTTGAAAATTGCTAGCATCTGTGGAGGAGTTAGTTCCCTAAATTTAGTGAAAAGTGTAATATCCGAAAAATAATCATCATGCTTCATTGTAGGCACTAAAATATTCGCTCCGCATCCGGGTACCCATTTTCTGGTTAAACAAAATTAAATAGTATGTGAAATTTTATCGAATAGTAATTAACCTACTCGATTGTAGAAACGATGAAATTTTTATTCCCTCTATTGGAAAACTGGTTTATGAAATAATACAAGTGCAATATCTTGTCGATTGGAATTTCAAACTGTTTTTTGAAGTTTATCTTTACCAGGACCATTTCTTCACTCTAAAACATTAGGATATTAATGAACGTATGTATAATTATATGGTAACATACAGATTTTTTTTTATTAACAGATTCCCAAGGTAAAAATATCGCTCGGGGAAAGGTTTCCAATTCTTCATAGTCGAACAACAATTGAAACAGTATTGACGTGTACTGGTATAATCTCAGATCTTGTTCTGGAGTCGTTGTTAAAACCTTAAAACCATTATTAGTATACAATGTATATTATGTTTAATAAATAATCTTACGTTATAATGATGTTTTTTTAATATAGCAAACATCTGTATTCTCCCATACAAAGCGAGGCCTCTCTGTAAGGCAAGTGATTTTATCAAGTACCTTATGAAACTGGTGTTGGGCATTGTACCCACAACCGTCATTACGGGATCTAAAATATACAATCTGCATTAATTTACTCATTAAATTGGAAACATCTCAACAAGCAGTCATTCAAAATATTTACCATCAGTCCAAGACCTTCTAGGTATATTTTTCAAAAGGGAATCCACTCTATTATGACCATCCAATGTATCCATCGTAGAGTATCTGGGTAGATGAAAGAAGTTTTTCGTAAACAATTCCACTCTTCCTTGATACTTGCTGTCGTAATTCTAAAAATAATCTTACATGGATTATCGAGTATTCTCGTGTTTGCAAACAGTTACTTTCAAATCCAAACGAAATTCAGGAGAGGATTCGTACATTCGAACAATCGGAACACCTCTATCAAGGAGTTCCGATGTTATGAGACCCAGACCTACGTTGGTTTCGGCGACAATTTGATTATCGTTTACGGAATTCACAACGTGCTCGGCTATTATCTTCGCCGTTTGCGGGCATATCAAATACAAATACTCCTGGGCTACTTTAGACGAAACCTTTTGGTATTCTTTAGGCACGTATTTCATCATTTGCGACAAATTTGGGTGTTTGTTAACAAATGCTCTGTTATTGATTGAATAGCAGCGGATTATGGAAATTCGGGCGCAGAAATGGGCTTTATAAAACATATTTACTAGTTTTCAGTCTTTAAAATATTCTTTTCTGTTTCGTTTTTAAATTAGTTGGCATTTGACATAACTGACAGTTGTCTTTTTTCTTATAATAAGAACGACTGTTTCGTTGACGTTATTCAGTCTATTTAAAATCGTGAAGTATAGGCAACACATTTTACATTCAAAAATTTTAATCTGTACACTTGAAGTTCTAAGCTCTAAGTTAATTACAAAAAGTATTAAAGTTCTTTAATGAGTAAGTTTAGGAAATACTAAAATATAGTAGTAACTGGAGAACTTAAAAACTAGAAACTCGATAAAGAATTAACTTAATTATTTATACTTAATTGATGCATAAAATGTCTGAAATTTTGGGAAAGTAGGTACTATAAAAAAGTTTTAAAGCGAACAAAAAGGCGATAAGTCAACAGAAGAGGAACCTTTACGCTCGCCCCGTCTCGAAACATTGATCCCTCAACTTGTGCCCGAAGCTGCGAGTGGATTTTTGGCTCAGGGGTTTCCTTAATAATTCTTCTTTATTGCCTCGCCCGCTGTTCCTTTCAGTTACCTCACCTGTTCGCTAGCCTTTACGGCCGCTTTTAATCGCCTCCACTTGCATATTGAAATTTTCATGAAAAATTGCGCGACGATTTATTCCGATGATCGAAACGAAAAATGATAAATAGCCACCCGGTTCCTCCCGTAAAATTATTTCTTTAAACAACCATTTCTTTTAATATAATTTTATATTGATTCGCATTAAATAACACGTATCTAAAAGTATCTAAATATCTAAAAGAAAAAAGAATGTTTGGATTGATTTATTAGAGAATTGAAAAACATATACTTAGGGACAAACATAAAGTTGATGTGATAGGTAATGAAAGATTGAATGAGGCAATAATTTGTTTTTAAGGGTAACTTTTTAATATTTTCTGTAACTTATTTTATTTGGTACCAATAGAATATCAGCTGAACGTAGAATTTTGAAGAGGTGACCATCAGTATCAAATTCACAGTACAAACAACGAATTCTCTACATTTATACGATCTATAATGCACAGGAATTTTCCCACATCAATAAAATTAGTTACATTACAACCGCAAAAATACGTTCCCGAACCAATTGAAATAATTTCTCGAGGGTATCTACGGGTTTTAAACTTCGTAACTTCCTTTCATCGCCGCAGCCATACACAGATAAATCCCCAGTAGTCCATTAAACAAAAAAAAAACCCGCTTCTTGCCGACATATTCGATAGAAAATGCCCTCGCCCCCTACGCCTATGGCTCGCGCCCATTCCGCCGTCCAATTTCCTCGAGAGGCGGCGCCCAGAATGGTCGACACCGAACGCCGCCGCTCCCGAGACGCTTCACAGTCTCATCTCCAAGGAGCGCGTCTCCATGACGACGATTCGGAAATGGGGGAGCGCCATTTTGTCCCCGCCGAGTCGGGAGTTAGAGAAAAGCGCCGCAAATTTATATCCGCCTCATCCGGGGGGCTCAGAAGAGATCATTACCAAAGCTTTCTACTCAATTGCGGATCGTCCGGAGTTTGATCTATTTGTCGACGCTCCTTACCTGACTGAATGCGCGCTTGATTATTTTATATTGCTTGCTTTTTTATTACCTCGGTATTTTTACATGATGGAAATTGTTGAGTTTGAATGAGGGGGTTCAGGCTATTTGAGATGCATGGAAAAGTTTAATGAGTTTTATTCGGGATGTATTTTACTAATAATTATAAGTCATAAAGTATAAGATTACTATACAATCCTATAATAAATTTAATACAAGCAAAATTCTGGTGTGTTTAAGTACCATATAGAATATATGGGTAAGTGCAAATTTGTTTGCAATAGGATCAATTCTATAATTTGAACAAAGAAAGATTATTAAAATAATAGTGGTTAGAGTAAGAAAATTGTGATTCCCCAATATCACTCTATCTCTTTCGTTTATATGAGTTTAATTGAGATTATCTTTGTAGCACCCATAGACCATATTAGTACTTGATTACCTACATACAAATTTGCACTTAACTAAATATAGTATATCATTAAGTCTTATTTATTAGATTTTAATCAATGAGAAATATGTTCCTCTATATAATATTATGTTTAATGAAGGTTATCCACAAGCATAAGTAGAAAGGACACAATTATATCCATGATGATGGAATAAGTTGAGATCGTTATTTTCGAACGATATTACAGTAAGCAATCTGTTAATCCTAAAATCGGTGCCGGGGACTAGGCGAATCCTAAATAAATCCTAATAAGTCGTATCTCCTAAGCTCGTGTACAGCTTTAGATTATAATATTAACAGGGAAAATTGAATATTGTCAATCATATTAACCTGTTTTAATCAACTATGTTTATATTGTATTATAACATGTGTATGTATTACATTTTGTGCATATGCTCTTTAGTGAAATAATTAAGTGGGAAGCTTTTTTTTTTGATTTTTGTGGGTGTTGGTTTTTTTCAGTGGCGGTGTGAAGGAGAATTATTCATAATTTTTTCTCCCATAATAATTAAATATTAGACAGTGTCGCAGGATATAAGGCTAGTTAATTTGAGAGAATATTGCCCATATATGTTTTGAATTTAGCTAAGACTAGTTGCAGTAGAAACATATTTACTAATATAATTTTATCTATAATATATTAAATAAAATATGGTGTGCTAATCCTAATAAATAAATAATGAACGCCAATGTTCCGCTTATATAGCATATGCTAAAATCGCCTATTATCTGCTTCTTTTTTCCCATTATTTGCCTAATACAATTTGTTTATCACGAAAATTAATAACTGCAATATTTAAGTAGATTCGTTTAATCTAATTACAGCATTATCTACATGTGAATTTATTGCGTGTATTGATTTTCAACAAGAAAATGTAATAACATCAGGGGTGACATTATTTTGTGTGGTGTATAGATTAGTTGGGCAATATTAATTGAATGAATTTTTCTAATATAATATAGGTATTTACCATACTTTCAACCACACATATTATAGGTTATATAGAGTATAGTTATACCTACTGAAGAATGATATAATTCTCTTTATACAAAGTGTTCCAAAATTATGCTAATATTTAAGGGGGTGATTCCTGGACCCATTTTAAGAAGATAACTTCATATGAACCTATGTCCTAAACGTCTTAACTTTTGAGATACATTGGTGTTAAAATTTTAAGAACAAAATCAATTTTTTGTAGACTGTGATACTATTATAGCTATCTTCATAAAATTTGCCTCACGTCTTCTATGAATCAAGATTCATTTTCTGATGTACAAATATTTTTTATAGTTTCAACAGTGGCGTTTGTACGGGGTTTGTATTGAATATTTTTGGCAAAAACAAAATGGTACGCCACTGCCTAATATTGAAATAAAAATGGCTTTCGGAAACATCATTCAATTTAGAACAAATTTGATTTCTTGACTTTTTTCCGTACGACTCAACGTTTCGCATAAAAAAATAAATGCATTGCAATAAATGCAAATAATAAATTTTAGGTTCAGGACATATAGTATGTTCATTTGATGCTTTTTTCTTAAAATGGGTCCAAGAATCACCCCCTTAAATATTAGCAAGTTATTATGGAACACTCTATAGTATACAAAATTAATTATTAACGTGTATCTCCAATAACGCACATTGACATCAGCAACAAATGAAAAGCAACAACGGCAAATTGTTTAATTAAACGAAATTCAATTAAATCGGCGCTCGCCCCGCCGAAAAGCCGGCCTGACTCTCTAATCCCGATTCGCCTCTATTAATGATCTAATTTAGTTTTATGCATTAGAGCGCGGGACGGCGGTGCAATGTCATGTAAATGACTTCGGTTTGTGCATGTAATTTCGAGCGGCTAACAAACCCGATCAATCACGTCCGCGATTAATACCCCGGCCGACCGGCCGCCTCATCATGCACGTTCGTTTTCCTATCGAAAACCCCTTAATGTTATATACAGGAAACTAAATTGCGATGAATCTTTGACACCAACTAAAGCAATGTCGAAAAATACTTCACACTCATTTTACATTACAATAAATATTCACACATAATTTATTCTTATTACACACCGTTCGCTATCAGGATATATTAATTGAAGCTAATTGTATGCAAAAGACAGTACAGTACAGTACATACAAGTGGCTTAACGAAAAAAGCAATTCCAAACTTTAAGGCTTTTATCATTGTGTAGTGGTAATATTTATTTTATTTTAGTTGAGCTCCTCTGTATACAAAATATTTAACAATATTAAACCTATTTCTAATCGCAGTTTAGATGAAATGAACTGAACATACTAATTTAGTTCTATATGGGAGTTTCTGCATGGGATATTAAATAGATACTAAAAGGATATAGGTAATAAAAGGGTTTGTTGAAAAATTATATACTTGCAATAAAATTAAACATCGCTTTCATTGATATATATCTGAATCAATACAGCATGCTACCGGTAATTGTTAGTTATTTATCAATTTTTAAGAAGCTTTAAGAAGCTTGTATTACTATCGAGTATAAAAGAAAAATCCTACTAAATAATTGATTAGCTAAATATACAATTGTAATAAGTATATACAATAAGCAGTCAAAATTATATTTATTAAAATTTTTGTGCCTCACCCTATAGAATAATTAGTGCAAATACATGATATGTGTGTAATATTTCCATCAGAAAGCATCATATACGAACAATATACTCGTATAGGATATATTCATAAGACCAACAGCAATAATTCCCGCATCCGTATGAAAATGGTAATGAGACAGCGACCGGCGACAGAATGAGGTCTGGCCCCCTCGCACGGGGGCGGTGCCGACGCCCGTCGCCACTCCGCGTACCCATAAATAACCCGCCGTCGGGGCCTGCGAGCATATTGAGGTTGCATTGATATCAGTATCAGTGCTGGTTTTATTGCAAGTGTAATCCCGCTATCATAGCTCGATCAGCATAATAATAGTTTAAATGCGACCCCCGGCGCATCTGGGGATCCGATCGCATAATGTGCGGCCTTCGTGGGGTGGCATGGAGGCGTCGAATT